GAGAACGAGAACTTCAGTCCGGTCTATCTCACCATGACCGCCAACATGAAGGTCAGCCAGGCTGCGAAGCCTGTTCCCAATTTCCGAGGATCCGAGCTTGCCAACCGCCTACGCCAGATTGGATCGCCGCCACCAGAACAGTACGAGACTGAGCACGAGGAGAGTGCTCTAGGACACAGTCGCGAAGACTCATCCTTCGCCAGGCTACAGGACGAATCGCTACCGGAAGGCCTCCCCGCCGGTACCCCAGACATGGGCGAGGTCCATCGCAATGTGGAGCTCCGAAGAGGCGGATACTCTAGAGATGGATCATTCCATCGGAAACCACTCAGCCCATCGCCCGAAAGAGTAGCTGGAGCACGACCGTCTAGCAGCCGTGCTGGCACGGCCCAGTCTAGCACCACCGCGAAGCACCCTACTCCTCCCCCAGCATTGAAGACCAACAACCCAACGACTCCACATCGTCGGCGCGAACAATTCCTCAGCCCGGATCGCGCAAAGGGCTCTGGAAGTCCTTTAAAACTCTTCGATGCACACGACACATTCACTAGCAACCGGATACAGCGACGACTTAGTCAGTTGGAGTACAAGTCCGAGAAAGCTTCCAGCGTGAAAGCCCCTAGTGTCAAAGAGGGCACAATAGAGTCAACCAAGGCGGCGCCGAAGCAATCGAGATTGACTTCTGTAGAAGAGAAAAGCTTCCAGAACCTCGATCAGGATCAGTCACAACTACCCTCCAGAGTTGTGTCTTTCGGTCAAGGTCAACTAAACCAATACGAGTACTCCGGCGACTATTCGGCGATATGTTCTGACGATGACTACGATGCACACGACGATAGCGCACCCGATGCTTCGCCTTCTACAGACATCGCACCCCCGGGCAGTCGTCAACCATTCAAGTTCCAGCTTGACGAATCACCAGGCAAGGTGGAACCTTCAAAGGCCAAGAGGCACCTGTCTAGCCATACAAGGAATTCTTCTAGGAATGTTAGTGCTAGTCGGCCAAAGTTCGTACCACACCGAAAGGTCTCTGAGCCTGAGCCAGAATCCTTCTCAGAAATCGTGCACGAGTACGCAGATGGGAAGAGAGGTCCGACATCTCCTTTCAAGAACCCGACGCCCAAGCGTAGAAGGACGATAACCGCCGTGGATGAGGATGAAGACGACGAGAATGCGGCTAGTGACGCTGAGCAGGGCACAGTACAACGCTCGCACGCAGCCATACAAGCCGTTGTTGGACGTACACGACAGGAAGCTGGCCAAGACCCCTCGAAGAAGATTGCCGATTCAGAAACACTGGCACGCAGACACATACTGAGACCTCGGAACCCTACGCCTAGTCAACGGAGGCGAGAGGAGATACAAGCAGAGATTATGGAAGCTACTGAAGCATTCATCCTGTCGTCACCGAAGCTCAACACCATCCGCGAACACCTAGACTCGTCAATCATGTCAGATACTGACTCAGAACGAGATCGGGCAAAGGCAGTTGCCAATCAGATTGCCGCTTTTACCTTGAAGAGACAGCCCAACATACGCGATAAGAACCGCAAACGATCTGTCACAACACAGGATTTCCTCGACGAAGCCCTCAAGATCATGGACTTCATCCGCACCAAGGGTAGGCCAACTAGCGGTTTGGGCAGCCTGGAGGAGACGGAAGCCGAGACGCAGCTGCTCGAGGAAGTCAACGACCATCCTTCTAGTATGTTAACATTTGAGAGGCCTCCAAGCAAAGAGGGCCGACAGTCCTCCTGGCAGGACCAAAGAACGCAACGCATGGATGCGGATATTATGGACCACCTCCGCAAGTACCAAGAGCACGAGAACGATACATTCTTGAACTCTTCAGTGAATTCCATACGAGTATCACGTCTCAGAGGATCTGCGACGCCGGAAGACGAAAGTGTGGTGGTTGAGCAAGATGATATCCGGATCACCGACAATCCCAATAGGCACCGGGCCGATAGCGAAGAGCGGCCCAGCTCTCAGCCTCGCGGAAATAACACACTTCTGTCAACAGCTTCATCATTCGGAAATACAATTGTCACAAACGCATCACGCCGTTCCGAGTGTGTCGCGACCCTTGCACCCGAAGCCGTCGCGCATCTGATCCCTCAGCAGGTAGCCGGAATGAGCTTTGATCGCGACAAAAATATCTGGGTCCGTCAGAAGAGCCCTTCCAGACAACAACACCTACTGGAGGACGAGCCAAGTGGCATGAACGCCAGCGAAGATGATCCCTTTGGCAACATTCCCGATCTGACAGTGGAAGATACCCATGACCAGGACAACAAAGCAGGGTCTCCAGTTCGCCTTCAGCCTACAGCAGAAACCATTCTTGAGGACACAGAAAGACCCGGAGTCGAAGAAGACTCGCGTCCAGTGACCCGTGAAGGCAAAGGTGTCGCTTACACAGATACAAGCTCGGCTCCTTCCAAGGCCTCTAACTTTGGGTGGAGCTTCCCTAAGACTGACACACGGGCCACTTCTTGGAGCACGCAAGCTCCGCGAAACTACAGTACACATAAGATGCCTCATGCACCTACAACATATGCCATACCAGAGTCGGAGGAAGATGGCATCGAACATGAGATCCAGTACTTTGAAGGAAGAGACCATGCTCCTGCAAGTGTGCAACGTCCGCGAGTGCGCAACGTTACTATTTCGATCGCTGAGCATGAGGCTCCTACGCGGGACCAGCATTCCGAAAGCGCACCACCACAGCGCCGCCAAAATCAATGGGGACCATCAAGTGCGCAGCAGAGGTCAGAAAAGAAACAATCTGCTTGGGAACAGACGAACGGTACCCGTATTGTATCGCATGGGCGGCCCAGTCGTTTGCCAGTTTTCAACGGAGATGGCGATCTGTCGATTTTGGACGATGCCCCGTCAAAGAACTATCGAATGCAGCTGTCAATGAACGTCGCGCCTCCGCTTAGACATGAACGACGAGACACACTTGTGGCCGCACCGTCATCACCTGTCAAGGATGTTACATTCATGCTCAGCGATCTCCCCGAGTTCACCCTCAACCAGATCGACGAGTTTGACCTTCCGGATCGAGTTGTCGTAAAGCACAACGGGAGTCGATTTTCCAAGGCCCTGGAGGACCGCTATGCACAGGGTACTGCGGAGCTCGTCAAGGCGCTGCAAGACGTGGAGCCTGATGAGCCGTACTGGGAAGATCTTCGCAGCGTCAATCTTCGGAAGAAGGATCTCAACAGCTTACACCGCCTTGATGAGCTCTGCTACTCACTCGAAGAGCTCGATGTTTCGGACAACAAGATCAATCAGGTTGAAGGTATCCCCTACACTATGCGGCGACTACAAGTACAAAACAACTGCCTGAACGGACTTACCTCCTGGACGGCACTCGTCAACCTTCAGCACCTTGATATTTCTGGCAACGACATCGATAGGTTGGACGGTCTCGCTGAGCTGGTGCATCTCCGAATTCTCAAGGCCGACAACAACAAGATCAAGTCTCTCCAAGGCATTCTACATCTCGATGGCCTGATGGAGCTGAGTGTTCGCGGTAACGAGATCGACATGGTTGACTTCACCCGAACGAATCTGTAAGTATACATGAACTCTATCCTGCTTTGCTCTTTGCTAATTCATGTGGTAGAAAATCTCTCACAGACTTGGATATGCGCAAGAACCGATTGCTTGAAGTGCGGAATCTGCATTGCCTGCCCCAGCTTCAGCATCTCAACCTTGGTATGTCTCTTCTTGCTACGCTCGTTCGACCATGACTAACTCCGAGAAGATGACAACGAAATCGAAGAGTTTCCTCTTCTTGATGGGCCTCTGAAGCCATGCAGATTCCTACGATCGATCCGGATGTGCCGAAACGGAACCACGCTCCTCGACGTCGATCAGTACTTCCCCAAGCTCGAATCTCTCTACGTCGACGGCAACTGCCTGACGCAAGTATCTGGGCTAGAACATCTCCGCCACCTCCGGACCTTCTCCGCCCGCGAACAAATCCTAAACTCCGAATCCGACATGGAAATGTGCGCAAGCAACCTAGTCAGAAACACCGAAGTCCGCAACCTCTACCTCTCCCTCAACCCAACCTACGGCCTACAGATATCTTCACACCTACTCAGTCTCCAACGCCTAGAACTAGCTTCCATGGGCCTGAAAGAACTCCCCGACAACTTCGGGCAGCTAACCCCCAACATCCGCTCCATAAACCTCAACTTCAACTCGCTCACCGACCTACGCCCCCTCCTCAACATCAAACGCCTCAGCACCCTCCTCCTCGCCGGCAACAAACTCGAGCGCCTTCGCGCCAACGCCATGGTCCTCGGCAAACTCGCCACCCTCTCCGCCCTCGACTGGCGCGACAACCCGCTCACCCTCCGCTTCTACGCGCCCACCTGCGAAAACCGCATCCTGTCTCTCCGGCAGAAACCCTCCGACGAGCAACTCACCAATCGCTTCGTGCTCCCTGAGGGCGAAGTCGAAGCTGATGTCCAGCACTTGCAAAGATTGGACTACGAAACCCGGATTAGGCGTAGGGTTACGGAGATGATGCTGGCGAATCTTTGTAGGAGTCTGAGGGAGTTGGATGGGCTGCCGTTTGATAAGACGAGAGTGCTTGTTAAGGATGATGTTTGGGAAAGGCTGTTGTTCCTCGGGGTTATTCAGAGGAAGAGGGCGGATACGGCGGTCGATGAGGGGAAGTAGGGGTGGTGGGTGTGGTGCATCAGAATTTATGAGTTTGGAATTGCGGGGGTTGGACACACTTTTTGCATAGCGTTTTGGTAGGGCGTTTTGAACGACACTCTCAGGGTGTTATGGGCGGTCTCATTGTTTTCATCGCAAAGCATTTAGTACTTGAGCATCTTCTGGGCGTGGGTATATATTTTTAGACCTCGCACGCTTCACTGCGGGAAAGCGGGGATTAGATCTTTTTAATGACGGGATGAGGAGAATTTGGTATTGAACTATACTTTTCAAACATCGCGTTCCAAGTGCATTTGAAGTGAGTGATGATGCCTTACAACAAGTCACCCGTGACTAATATCAAAGGGTGGGTGGGAGAAGCGGAGGGGAGGCGGCGGGGTGGAGGACGGGCGGAGGTGGAAGTCTCTTTCCTCGAGGTCTTTTGTAAGTTCAAATAGAGAGCACGTACGATCTATGGTTCATAGAGCTGATGTATTATCAGAGGTGTAGTTCCAAGGTTGCTTCTAGTGTAGAGGTGATCAGCATCCCCCGCGCTCCACTAAACTTCTCCGCTGAGGCCCGTGCGGCGTGCATCAAAACGATCCAGGCCCCGTGACACGTGGGCATCCATAAACCCACATGGCTGTCACTTAGATCGGTCTTCGTCCATCAAACAATCAACAATGGCCTCCACATCCGAAGAAGACAGAGCGGTGCAACTTGCCGAGAAGGCAAGCGAGAGCACCAAGTCAGGCGATTTAACCGTTGCAGCTCGGTACCTGCGTGAAGCTAGTACAATCGCACCCGAGCATCCGCGGATCAAAGAAGCATGGATTGCGCTGAAAGAAGAGGAAAACAAGAGCGAACTCCTAGGCCACTGTCGAGCTTGGGTACGCAGCAAAGACGAACACGATGGCGAAAAGGCACTCAAAGCAATACGATCGCACGGTCTGAAGCAGAACGAAGCAGAACAAGCAATGGCCATCCTCTTCGACTTCAAAGGCGAAGACGACATCCTCGACCAGGTCTCAGGCGAACTACTCCAGAACCCTGGAGCACAGATGTGGCTCGCCAAAGCCGTCCGCGAGCAGCCGACACGAATTTACTACGAGATGTTTGAGCGCGGCGACGACTCCATCGACGGTCTACTCAAGGTCCTGCTCAACCGAGCGCTCTGGCCCGACGACGAATCTTTCAAGACGGGGCATAGAGACATCTTCATGCTCAGTTTGGCGATGATGATGGAGGAAGCGCTTGAGCACCCAGAAAGGGCGATGAAGGGTATTGCGCAGCTACTTGCTCATTACGCGGAGCATCTTAAAGGTATCATCGATGCGGATAGTTTCGACGTTATCCTCACGTCGCTTGATATCAGACTGCCTGCTAGTCTGCGTAGTCAGGCCACTCTGGCGAGTATCAAGCTGTTTGAGCTTGCGCCGGAGACTGCTAGCGAGTTGATCTCGAAGTTTGTTACGCACCGGACGAAGAAGGGGGAAGCGAATGATCTGGTCATCGCTTTTTCGGCGGCTGCGGCTATATTTCCGGTAGCTGTCAGTGCTGCTGCTGCGCTCTTCCTCACAGATGGCTTTGTCAGCACGTTGGTGTCAAGAGTTCAGAGCAAGAAGTCGCACAATCTTGAACAGGCGACTTTAGAGCTGATCAGCGCTGCATGTGTCGACAAGAACTGTCGAGAGGCGATCAGCAAGAACTGCAGAGAATGGTTGGAAGACGTTGTTGCAGAAAGCCAGAACAAGAAGCGTGCCAACTTGGCCGCGCTCGTACTCGTCAAGCTAGGCGAAGAGCAGCCGTCTGAAGATGCACCAAGAATCGTGAGGGCGGAAAAGGTAGATCAAAGCGACCTGATCGCCAGCTTCAAGTCCATGGTCATAGGTGGCGACACATCCTCAAAGCAAGACTCAGTCGAAGGACTCGCCTACGCCTCGCTCCAACCCAAAGTACGAGAAGACCTCTCCAAGTCGCCCAAGTTTCTCAAACGCCTCATTGAAACCATGAGCGACCCTTCATCACCCAAGAACATCGTATTCGGCGGCCTGACAATCTTCGTCAACATCACACAATACCTGCCCCTACAATCAGAAGAAGAAAAACGCATGGCCCAACTCAAAGCCTACGCCAATGTGCAAAAGCCATCGACCCCCCACGTCCTCCTCAACGACGAAGACGTCGCCATACGCTGCAAACGCGTGCTAGACGCGGGCGTCGTCCCTCTCCTGGTACAAGTCTGCAAGAAAGGCTCTCCATCCATCCTCACCCAAAGCAGTCTGATCCTGCTCTCCCTCTCCAAAGACACAAAGTCTCGCGGCACAATGGCGCAACAAGGCGCGGTGAAACTCCTCATCCAAATCCACGACCACATATCTAGTACAAATGACCTCTCAACAACCGGCACCACGCCCTTCCCGCCCGCCGCCCTCCCCACAACAGCCCAAGCCCTCTCCCGGCTCTTGATTAGCATAAACCCCTCCCACGCTTTCAACGCCGCACTACCCAGCGCATCAGCTATCCGACCCCTCCTCAGCCAACTCACACGCACAGAGTCTTCGACATGGCAACTCCACGCCTTTGAAGCGCTCCTCGCACTCACGAACCTCGCTTCTCTGGACCGGAATACGCAAGACCATATCATCCGCCAGTCTTTCGACACAGTTGTTGATGATTTGTTGCTTAGTTCAAACACGATGATCCGCCGTGCGGCGACGGAACTCCTATGTAACCTCATGGCCTCACCAGTCTGCATTAGTAACTTCGCAGACGGCTCACCGCGGGCGAAACACCGACTCCATCTCCTACTTGCTATGACGGATGTCGACGACTCTGCAACACGATCGGCGGCTGGGGGTGCGCTGGCGATGTTGCTGAGTGTGGATCTTGCGGTGCTGGAGTTTCTCAAGCAGGATAAGAGTGTGGAGTGGTTGGTGGGGTTGTGCAAGGATGAGGATGAAGGGATTAGGTATCGGGGGATTGTTTGCTTGAGGAGTGTGGTGGATGTTAAGGAGGGGGTGGAGGTGTGTAAAAAGAGGGGGGTGGTGGAGGAATTGAAGGGGGTGCTGCAGGGGAGTCGGAGTCAGGAGGTGCTGGGGGTGGGGGTGGAGACTATGAAGATACTTTTGGGGCAGTAAAAGGAAGTCGACAGATATGATTGTGTGGTGAAGGAAAAGGAAGTCTGTATATCATCTCTTAGTAAAGAAGATCCATGTGTTTTCTGAGTTCTACCTATCTACGACAACATATTCTTTAGCCTATCATTTCCACGGTCCCGTTCCTCAATCACACAAACCAAGACTAGCACCTCATACAAAGGAAATACTAAAAAGGTCTGCAGATTACATCGAGATCAACACGTGCAAAGTAAGCGAGCCAACGTTAATGTAGACTCTAGGGTGCCCAGTTCTTCCCTAGGTCAACGTGCTAGATATCCAAGAGCCTAACATGTCTAGTATTCATCTCTTCAACACACTCCCCGGTATCCGCAGACACCCTCCCCTCCTTCGACTTCCCAAACTGCTCATACTCTCCCTCACTCCTCCACGGAAAAATCGTCACAAACACGTCATCCTCTCCCTCCTTCTTCCCAACACACCATCCACCTCCAAGTCCGCCCTCCCCAGCAAACCTATCCAGCTTCTCCTTCATCTCGCTGAACTCAACTTCAAAAGCCTCTCGCTTCCCAGCCTTGATAGTGTAATGAGCAATACTCCACACCAGTTCCCCTCTCACAGCTTTCTCCCGTGCCTCCTCACTCCGAGGCAAGGGCAGCTCCGCATTCGGCACATCGAGATGTTCGAGGTTGGAATCCACAGTAATATAATCTTTCAAGCTCTCCAGCAGCGCTTGGTTATCTGCGCTAGGAATAAAGTCGTGCAGGTGCTGGTCTAGCGAGTCCCATTCTCCCACTACGTAGATGCAGCTCGGATCGGAGATCTGCTGCAGATAGTAGAAAGTACGGTTTGTGTAGTTTTGCAGGACGGTTTTTGCGTGAGAGAGGTTGGCGCGGAGGGTGAGCGAGGATAGGGTCGTGCCGGGGGTGAGGTGGAGGAGGGCGAGTTCGGTGATTGGCATTCTGAGTGGATGGGATCGTTGGAACAGTGACTGTGGTGAGTAGGTTAATGCGGTTTTAGTAGGTGATTAAAGCGCATGTGCGACTCTTTATAGCAGAGATGAGATGAGTGCTGCGAGTTTAAGGTAGACATGGCCGCGTAATCGCGTTCAGGCAGAAGGATGGTTACGCGGAATGGGAGGAATCGCGTAGGAGCGCGTTGCATGACGCAACAGCAGGATGCCTGAGCTGGCTTAGTCAGCGGCCAACGCGACTTTGGTGTTTTCGACTCGCGTCAATGATCACTACGACATAGACACGTACGAAGTAGCTCGTTTCTTATGAGTGATACTATCCATGGTATTTCCAAGGTACAACACCTGCTTGTGCTACTTGAGTTGGAACTCATCGCGTATGTTCCCTGGGCACCTTCTTAGTCGAGGATGCCAGTCAAATCTCATACGGTTGCATCTACCCACCGGCTTCTTTCGGTAGTTGTACGCGGAAGAGATACTGGGCTCTTAATGACTTCTTCCGTATTGGCCAAGAGGCGATTCGGCGCGTCGCGCGGTCTCCAATGAACTCAAAGGTGGGAGCTGTACTGATAAGCAGCCCGTTATCTTCGGAACGTTTCCGAATACACCCCTCACGATCATGCATGAAAGCATTGGATGCCGGTAGTGCCTTCGCACACCTGGACGATGGCATCTATAAGTAACCGTTTTATTGCTTTGCTAACAGATATCTTGACTTGCTATTGACTTCAAGTATTCGTCTCACCAAATTCTCATATGGAGCATCTTCCGGATATCGTACCTCATGCTAGGTATATGCCCTCTGGCCACATAGTAGTGGTATCAATTGTTGCAGCTGTTGTATTTGTAGCGTACAAGGTACTCATTCTATTCGAATCCAGCTATCATCAGCCATGTTGACAGCTACTTAGGTACTCACTCGCACAGACATCCCTTACATACGCGGTATACCAGAGATACCAGGTGCTCTACCGATCACAGGTCATCTCACCCAGCTCGGCGATGACCATGCTACAGTATGCGAGAAGTGGTGGCGGCAGTATGGCAACTCGGTCTTCCAGGTTCGACTGGGCAACACACGCGCCGTGATCGTCAACTCCTTTGAAGACTGCAAGAAGATTTTGGTTTCGAACTCGCAAGGACTAATCGATCGGCCAAAACTATATACCTTCCATGGCTTGATCTCATCGACACAGGGATTCACTATCGGAAGTTCGCCATGGGACGAGAGCTGTCGGAACAAGCGCAAAGCTGCATCGACTACCTTGAGCAAGGGCATGATGAAGAATTACTACGACATGTTCGACTTGGAATCTTATTGTATCCTTCGAGATCTCAGCCGAGACAGCAAGGGTGGGGATATCGAAGTCAGCATCCGACCGTACATCCAGCGCTACGCCCTCAACACGACCCTCACACTATGCTACGGTATTCGAATGGACGCAGTCTACGACGATCTGCTCCGTGAGATCCTCGAAGTCGGCTCAGCCATCTCGCTCCTCCGCTCCGCTTCGGAGAATTATCAAGACTACGTCCCCATCCTGCGATACCTACCTAACAACGAAAAGAACCGGCGTTCGAAAGAGCTACGCGAAAGACGAGACAAGTACCTGAACGAACTTCTAGACAAGGTCCGCGAAATGATCAAGAACGGCACTGAGAAACCATGTATCAGCGCCGCCATTCTCAAAGACGAAGAAACCCGCCTTACAGGTGTCGAAGTGAGTTCCATCTGTCTCTCCCTTGTCTCTGGCGGTTTCGAAACCATACCGGGTACGCTAGTCTCCTGCATCGGTTCTTTGTCTACGCCTGAAGGCCAGATCTACCAAGAACGCGCGTATGCCGAGATACGCAAGATGTACCCGGACGATGCGGCGCTGAAGCAAGCATGGGCAACGGACTTTGAGAAAGAAACTGTGCCCTATCTGAACGCGATTGTAAAAGAAGCGGGGAGATATTATACAGTCAGTAACATGAGTCTACCGCGTAAGACGATGAACGAGGTGAGGTGGGGAGATGCTGTTATACCGAAGGGGACGATGGTGTTGATCAACGCTCAAGCTGGAAATCACGGTAGGCCTCTCTTCCACTATACTCAACTCAAACTCCTTTCGCAGAAGAACTAACAGCCCGCAGACACCGACTACTTCGGTCCCACAGCCGCAACCTTCAACCCCGAACGCTGGCTCACTCCCCCCACCTCCCCATCTTCCCTCTACACACCAACTTCCCACGCCAACCCCCCTCACCTCTCCTTCGGCGCTGGCTCCCGATCCTGTCCCGGCGCTCTGATAGCAAGCAAACTCATCTATGCTGCGCTGTTCCGTTTGCTCGGTCTGTATAAGATTGAGGCTAGTGTAACGAATCCACCAAATACGGATTACGTGGATTACAACGCTATCAAGAGTGCGCTGGTGGCTATTCCGAGGAACTTTGGCGTCAGGCTTGTTCCGAGGGATGGGGAGATGGTGAAGGCGGTGCTGGAGGAGGGGAGGGTGAGGACGGCCGAGTTGTATAAGGAGTAAAGCGTAGCGTGGCGGCAGCATTGGCTTCGTAGGTGTGGTTTCTGATGATTATGCTGCGATGTATCTCTTTTAGGACATGATGACCGCAACGCTTCAATCATGTTATATCTGACCATGATGTGACCTGATTTCACACAGCCTTGCGTCAGCAAGGCGATCTGTTCTCGCACCTGCTCATGATTCCTTCACTCACTTGACTGCTGGGTACGGTTAGCGTATACCGAGCGACAAACACTCTTACTTTGTCTACCTCTCTCCACCCAGTCTTCGATAACACGCCACCACTCACCCTGTAATTTCTAGTTATGATGTTGCGAATCACTCTAGCCAGCACTATCGCGCTCGCTGCCTTGGCAATCGGTAGACATGTTGATAGGTCTGTTGTTACCAAAGTCTTGGGTGTCGATTCCTCACAGGCTTCTCCTCGATTCAGTCCTCCTGACTTCGATGCTCTCGAGTTTAGTCCTGCCCTTGACGCCCGAGCCCCTGATGACTTCAATAAAGGCGTGTATGCCACTAAAGCTCTATGGAACAAATACTTGGATAAGGGAAACCGCTTGATGTGTTTCATGGAGGCCACCGATAGAGGCGCTGGGTGGCTCTCTCAAGATAATAGACAGCCGCCTTCTGCAGCGAGCAGATGGACCGGCGATCTCAGAACTGAGCTCGGAACATGGGGCTGGCGCGAAGGAGAGGTGGACAAGAGCTGGGAGTGCGAGTTCACAACGCTCGGGCTTAAAGAGACGTTCCAAGGCCTCAATCTGGATCCACGATCCATGTATGAAGAATCTGGCCAACCTCAAGAGGGAGCCAATGACTGCTACTATCTTCAACACTACGACGAAAGGTCTAAAGACTCGGAAGATGAAGATGGCGAAGCGGAGGAGATTGTAAACCAGAAGTATCACGTTGGTGGCAAGGAATATACTGTATGTCACCTCTAACCTAACAGCACGTATAGCCGTCACGGACTGCCATGAAACAGGCATTCCTTCAATTGTGATAGGACGTAGCTGATACGGTCCAGGCAACAGGCGCGTACTATAAATTCGCTGTCAATCACGGTGGAGGTATGATTGCTCAGAACATCGAGAGTCCAAGCCATGCCGTTATTATGCCGGGGTCATGGGGTCGACCAGCAAACCCTGGAGAGCTTCCTAAACTCAAGACCGCGTCTGACGTCTTCTGGGGATATTGGGTTCGTGATAACCCTGATGTCAAGAACTTCCGCGTCTATGGCGCTCAACAAGTCATCAACACGGATACTAATCTTCTGATCGCTCGGGCTTTAAAGAATGTGGGTAAAGCACAGTTATCGGTATGGCCGGGTGACGTTTTCTCTCTTGGAACTGATGAATTTCGAGCCTTAATTGGTAAGTTGATTACTTTTTGCAGCATACATTGTCCCTTGAAGAGTGCCTTTGACGTCTGGGATATCCTTGACGACCTCCCGGCATACTTTTCAGCTGACCGCCAACCTCGATACTCACATTGAATGTCTCCAGGCTCCCCTATCGGCGCGACTGCTGCGCACTTGCTCGTAGCACACAAAGCCGAACTCGGGATCAAACGCATCGCCAATGTGGTAGTTGTGACCGATACGATAAAACCGTACAAGAGTAAACGTCCTAACGATTCTTTGCATATGTTCTTCACTATGGAAGACGTACCGCCGGACGACGTGACCAAGCCAGGTGGAGATGCCGCTGCCGTCAAGAGAGAGACCGCACGAATCGGTTCCATGGTCATCAGTGTCAGGGATAACGGGAAAAATATGGTTCGCATGCATACCATGTTGGCCTAGAGCTGGGTGTTGCGCGTGGAAGGATGAGCATAGCTAGAGGGAGACAGTGGGCTTTTTATGAGTAAGAATGGACGTGGAACATAGTGCGGATACCCTCAGACTCTAATAGCACTTGCTGCAATCTCTTTCTGAATGACATCGGCATCCTGGAAGGGCTACAATGTGTGTCGTATTCTGCAAATTTATTGATAAGCCAGAAGTATACACTGCCTTTGGAAGTACACACTTATTAACATTTAGTGACGTGTATTCTGCATCACGAATTCTAGCCACATCCCACGACTACGCGGCTCCCTCAAGCTCGCGCACTCTCGCCAGAATCTCAGCCCTCCACCTCGTATAATCCTCCTGCTGGCGCTCCCCTAGATAATCAGTCGCATCCTGCATCATTGTCCCCAAACCAATATAATCACTCCCCCCAGATCTAAGCCCCATGCCATTCGCCTTAGCCACCGCACCTTCGCCCATCTCCACACCTTCCATCTCCTCCCCCTCGTCCTGCGGCTTAACACTATCGAACCACTGCATCTGCAGCCACCCCTCCTCCTTCGCCATCTTCATCGTCTCTTCTATCTTGGCTTGTAGCTCACCATCCCCGATATCCTTAGTAGCGGGGAGTACCAGAACGGCTTTCACGGCTTTTGCTAGCCATTCGTTGTATTGTTGGATGGAAACGTCGATGTCTTTCATGCGCGAGTATACGAGCAGGAAGACTACGACGATGAGGCTGAGAACGCGTGTGTCGCTCACTTCTCCTGAAGAGGAATCGGTGGTGGCTGTGGTTCGTTTTGGTCGCTTGCTGGGTGTTTCGGCGGCGGCGGCGGACATGCGGGATAGGAGGGGGTAGATAGATTCCACGCCTGTGTATACGTGTGGTATAAGACTGGTAAATTCGAACGTTTTAGCCAGGGAGCGAATCGTAGGCATGACCCATTCTGGTGCTTCGCCATTGTTGTCGTCAAGCCTCCTTGCAGTCCTCGGTGTTTTCCTCGCGCTCAACGGCGTTTTCGGTGTGTTGCGTGCTGATGCGGGCGCTGAGGTCGTTGGCTTCCGTGGTGTTGTTGGTTCGCGAGGCGTTGTGCTGTCGGGCAGTGCGCTGCTGAGGTAGTTGTATAGTTTCTTGTATATCCGTGGAGGACAAGGCGGCCGTGATGCGATGGTGGGAAGGTTCAGACGCTTCTTCAGCCTGCGGAGGTCAGCTTAGAATTTGGTGTGCCATGCAAATCTTCATACCTTTCACATGCTAATTGCGCGCATGCGTATGGTCGCGCGATCTCTTCATCTGGCTTCATGGAGGTCGCGACGCTTCGCGAACGCGTAAGCAGGGAAAGCGCCAATTCTATCAGTTCGGGAGGAAGAGGGCCGCTCAAGGTGGGTATTAGACCCGTGAGGGCTTGTTCAATGCTTGCTCGACTCATTCTGAAAAGTTGACAGGCTGGGTTTCGATGTTGACTTAGAGAGTTGGCTCTTTGTCGATATGTTGGCGCGTCAAGATCTCGCGCTATCACGTGCACGCCAAGGCCGCCCCTCCTTATTGTTTGCCAACTTCGATGCGTCTTCCTTCCATTTCTCCTGACCACGCCTACTTTACGGTCTACTCCACGCGTCACGTCACATCAACCTTTTCGCCGTCAAGACCTGGTCGTAGGTCTGGCGCAAACAAGCCTATGCGCAATGGCACATGTCCAGTCTTCTCGACGCCAATTCTTGATATCTAGAACACAGCATTCGCTGTAATATCACCGCTTTTCGTTTTCGGCTGTATTCGTCCTGATGCTGCTAAACTCGTTCGTAATACACCCGCATAAAGGATTGGTACGACTGCGTCAAGCGCTACTATTTTTCAGTCTCTTTCGTCATACCGTTGCAGTACCACCCATAACTATACTCACCGCTGCCGACATCCAATCGGTGATCGCGCTTTGGCAGAGACGAAGTAGCAAACCGCGCCAAGCACACCAAAGCTATGTTATCGACACAGATATTACGCCATACTAATGCTACTACTGTCTCGAATACATTCCAGCGTCGCACCGGAGAGGCGCGGTTCGGCGGTCAGGCTGCTCCCACTTCCGAACACGTCAACTCGGCTTGACCGACATATTGCGCATATGGCTCCTGATCGTGTTTACCGTGCTTGATAGGGCGCCGTCGTAGGCGCATTCGTCAAGATGGCGAAGGTGACATGGAATCGGTATATGTGTGCGACGCTCAACGTCCATGATAGGCAAGGGAGGGAGTACCAAAGCCACGCTGACGACGGGATCTTGCATTTTGACAGCTCGGTTACGACTGGCGAGAATGTCCGGGATGAGCTCATCGCGATTCAGATGTGGTATTTAGGTCTGCTTCGCATCCTCTCCGTTAATGCACCTCAGCCATCAATACACGCAAGTACATCCAATTGCGACACCAGAGCTATCTTGAAAGCCCCTCAGGTCTCTTGTTCCATCAAGTCTTGCTTTGCACGCCAAAACCGCCTTCAAAACAAGAATAGTTGCATATCCTATCCTTATTGAAGCAATACTCATCGACAGCTAAGATGTATCTTGCCACCTTTCTTACAAGCTTACTCTCCAGCTTGCCCATTACGCTTTCTGCTCCCATCTCAACCACCTCCGAACTCTACGGAGAGCCATACAACTGCGGTTATGTTCTCACCGAACGGAACAGCAGCACCTACGCCAGTGTTTCCGCATTCTCCGAGTGTACTGCAATCTACTACAACTACACGATCCCAGGATTCCAAGACGCGTACGCCTACAGTTTGTATGGGGGATGCCAATGTTCGTTTCATCTGTGAGTACAGGTCCCTTTGAGGAATACGTATCCTTCGACACCGCGCCTGTGCGAGAACATGACACTGCCTGACGACTACATGCACTTTGAACTCATCTTTAAGTGAGGTTATAATAGTGGCTGACGACTACTAGGAGCGAGGACGACTGCAAGGGATCAGCCAATCCACCCATGTATGAGGGACCGACTGGAAGGCCTGGCGAGGAGCCGTGTTTCCAAGACCCAAATCCCAAGTGGTACAAGTGCGCGACCACGGGTTGATAGTATTGCGGAGGGTTTGGATACGATCGGAGACATCGGCGGTTATTCCATTTCTGAGTATCTTATCGGCATGGTAATGGAGACTGGGGCGGCGGCTTTGTAGTGACGATGCTTGTTTACGGCGTTGGTAGGTCACATCATGTTTCACATAGCAGAACAAGATCTTTCTCGTCATATTCTCTGTCTTCACATAGGGGTGTGAGTGATACATTAGCCTAACTATCTTACATTCGACTCGCGATATATCAGCCTGACAGCGTCATGGTGTTGTCACCTGTACGTATAACGAGTAGATAGACTGCAAATATCTCCACGCTTCACTGAACCGCCCACGGAGATCTCTTGTCGCGACACGGTGTCCTCAAAGCCCCCTCCGTATACCACAAACAGGGAGCATATATTGAACGACTGGAGTACGCGAGCGCTGATCAATCCTTCAAAGGAACTTATCTGTAGTTCCCCGCACAGTTTGAACCCCGCGGCGCGGCCCGAGCCATGGGGTTCGTTTGCGCATTCCAAGTCTTCTCGTGTGATTCACCCATCGGCGCACCGCCTCAGATATGCGTATGTATACACGCGGCAAGGGACGCCTGGCACATTCCAACAAGTCGATACATAAGACCCCGGGGAGGCGCAAGGGTCGTCTCCTCCACTGTGTCCCATCAGCTCGACCATTCTACTGGCCGACCAGAAGCTTCCTGCCAACAGTTCAAACCCCCTGAAAACATCAACAACATGCACTACTTCTACTCCTTACTCAGCGTTTTCGGCTTTCTTTCTCTGACCCTCGCAGCTTCTCGATCCTCACGAGCACGCAGCGTTTTCGTTCGTGATGAATGCCACACACGAGGAGATATCTGTGCCGAGACCTGGATCGGAGACAAAGTCCATCAGCGCCTTGAATGGGGTGGCTGTATACCGGTAGCCAATTACAAGGAGATCAGTGGATTCAAAGCATTAAATTGCGACTGTAACTTGTAGTAGTAAGTGGTGCGAAATCAGAACGACCTACCATAGTGTACTAGTTCCCCTCCAGCGCCGTCGACTCGGGTACATGCAATGACGGCGGAGACGAGACTATCGATCAGTTTCCGCTTCGTAGCGGGCTTCTTACTAAGAAAGAGCGGCGTTGGAAGAAGGCGCCTAACTACTACAGCTGCTCGCCTGCACCCCTCACTCAGGGCTGAGGGCTGAGGGCTAGCGTGCGCATGCTATACAGGTTGGGGTTTGTAGCGCTCGGAACTTTTCAGGCTTGCCGAATACATACTGGCTACGCACTTAAGTAGCTACTTCGAGGCGCCGTTGTAGCTTCCAGAGCACGCTAAGACATCTTCTTTGTTTTTTTCTTCTGTTTTTTGCTTTATCTCGCGTTCCACGGTAACGGGCTCGTGTTGGGAAGGCGCTATCACGGTCTCGACTTTGTGCAACGCTGTAGCAGTAGTACAATGGGAATCGGCTTCCTTACACCCCAGGTTATAAACCTCGTTACAGTCACAGTTCTTCTTCTTCAGTTCAGACCCAGGAATCACACATTCTACCAGGCAATTCTCCACAATGATTTCCACACTATTCATCTTCGCTTCCGTACTCACCTCCTCCATCGCTATTGCTTCAGAGGCCCTCCCGTAAGCGCCTAAAAAACCTCACCTCAGTCTCAGCCTTACTAACCCACCTCAGCTCCATCGGCCATGTCACCGACTCCAACGGCAAAACCTACATGCTCGACACCACCGGTCAGAACAACGTTCGCGTCATCACACAGGACCGACTAGATGGCTACTACATCCAACCTGTTAGCTACCACGTAGACCCAGGGAGCACCTGCAATTTCTACAGCGAATCGACGCGTGGGGTTGGTTATCTCATCGGCAAATATTATGGTCCGGTGGACGCCGACTTTGCGGGTGACTGGGCTGCGTTTTACGAGTGCTGGGATGTAGAGTCTGAGATCGAGTATCCTCCTAGGCGGAGAAGGCAGAGCTTCAGAGCCTAAGTGAAGGAAAAGCGATGGATGGTAGCATGTGGATCTTCCAACGGTACGTGTAGTCTTCGAACGGGTATGATGCTGCAGCTTGCTGATCACACCTGCAGTAGTGGACGTGGTCTAAGCGGATCAACCTCGGACTTTGTGGTTGATGATTGCGTGGAATTCGAAGTGGATGTTTGATCTCGAGATCGGGTCTATGAGTATTCCTTCGGCCAGAATATGTCTAGAGCTACATGAGGGTTATGAAGGGACTGGGCTGGGAGAAGGAAGGCATAGAAGTTGACATTCTTGTACATAATTGAGCCGTGTCCGGCAGATACTTAATGCACATTCTGATAACAAACGTATGTAATGACGACAGTCTTGACCATCATGATGTCCTTTGAGTGAAATCGGAGGTCCGAGGTATTCGCATTGGCGTAGCCTTATCGATAAGCAGCGCGACCCACTTTTCTTTTCGTCGCCATGTCGCGAACTTTCCAACTTCCTACATGCGCCCCAAGTGACCTTTCCAATCTACACCACACACCGCCAACATGATCCGAAAACAAGCCCGAGAACGTCGCGACTATCTCTATCGCCGTGCGCTCACCCTGCGCGATGCCGAACTCGCCTCCAAAAGAGCAGCGCTGAAGGCTTCCCTCGCCAGCGGCAAGCCACTCTCCAAAGATGTCGCCAACGACCAGAACCTAAGACAAGACTTCAAGTACGATGAGAGCAGAGCGGATAGAACGGCAGAGGAGGAGCTTGGACTAGACGACGAGTATGCGCAATTGTCGGGTGTGGTAGATCCGAGGATATTGGTCACAACCTCGAGAGGTACAGAAACCCAGGAAGGCTGGGAAGGCAGAACAACACTAATGCTGTAATAGATCCATCGAGTAGACTGGGGACGTTTGCCAAGGAAATCAGATTACTGCTACCTACGTCGATACGATTGAACCGCGGAAACATGGTCCTGCCAAACCTCGTCGAGAGCGCCAAATCAGGTGGACTAAGCGACATCGTACTTCTCCACGAACACAGAGGTACACCGACCGCCTTGACGGTATCGCATTTCCCCCACGGCCCAACCGCCAGCTTCTCATTACAGTAAGCCACCTCCCCCTAAATCCCACCCCATCTACTAACACAATCCCAGCAACGTCGTCCTCCGCGCCGACATCCCCAACGCCTCGCGCGGCACAGTCTCCGAGTCTTACCCACACCTCATCTTCGAAGGCTTCTCTAGCAAACTCGGAGAACGCTGCGTCCAAATCCTAAAACACCTTTTCCCGCCCCGCGAAGCCACCGCCAAAGTGGGAAACCGCGTTGTCACGTTCAAGAATATTGAGGATACGATCGAGGTCCGGCACCATGTTTTTGTCAAGACGGGGTACCAGTCTGTGGAGCTGGCGGAGGTGGGGCCCAGGATGAGCATGAGGTTGTTTGAGATTAGGGCGGGGACGTTGGATAACAAGGAGGGGGATGTCGAGTGGCATCTCAATCAGTATACGAGGACAGGGCGAAAGAAGGAATATTTGTAGAGGGCATCGGAGAAAGCCAGAGCGCGTGTTTTGTGTGGAGGAGAGAAGAGGAGAACGTTTTTGGACGTTACACCAAGACGACGAATATGGCGCAAAGGAGATTTATTTTCAGTATGAGATACCACAAATCAAAAGCGATATCCGGACTCTGATAACGAACAAAGATTAGGAATTCTTTCTGCATGCATTGAGTGTTTTAACACATTTAGATCATAGGGTGACTATTTACTACACTATTCGATTGTAACCCTTACACCTCTATTATCCTTTGTCATCGGCACAAACATGTCATGATCATATGCCACATCCTCTTTTGTCGTATCGAACAATCGCATCTTCGGTATCACACGCAGCACCAAAGCGGCGAGACACAGGTTCAGCTCACATAAGGCCAGACTACAAGGTCAGTGTTAGTCATTCATCTCCAAGTCAGGATAAGCACAATCCACTTACTTCTTCCCCAAGCAAGACCGACTTCCTTTTGACCAGGAAAGTATACTGCGCTCAGGTTCTTTTCTCCTCTGATTGTTCTCATCCAACCACCGCTCAGGCGCAAATGTATAAGAATCGGGAAAAGCGCGTTCATCGTGGTGTGTAATGTACGATGACATGCCAATCGCATAGCCTTTGGGAAGAACGTGTTCGACAGGCTTCTTATTCCATTCGCCACGATAAAGCAGAGTCTCCTCCGTGGGAATACGAGCAGTACGGCTAGAGACGCCATAGGACAGTCTCAGTCCTTCCTGAATGACAGCTCCGAGGTAAGGCAGTGTTTCCAGGACGGTCCATCCAGGTAGGTGTTGCGGGTCTTCTACGACAGTTTGAAGTTCTCGAGTAAGCTTAGCAAGAATTTCAGGTTTGGTCAATAGATGGTACGTCATCACGGCCAACGCCCAACTCGTCGTCTCAGTGCCAGCACCCAGTACAGCCTGTGCCTCATGGACTAGGCGCACCACGCCCTTATCCCCAGCACCAAGGTCAGACTGTAATAGTGAAGCAAAGATCGTTGGTCGGTCGTACGTTATGCCCGCGTCTACATCCGCCTTCGCCTTGAGCACTCTGTTGGGCAAATCAACCTGTAAAGTCTTAACCATCAAAGCGATATCCTTGGGTAAATAGTCGATAAAAGTCGTCGCGAGCGAAGCACTAGCCGACGTCCAAGGAAAGAAACGGAATACAAAAACGGGTCTGAGGACTGCGGCTGTTGGCTCCCGAAAGTTCGGGTACCACCCTTCCTGGTCGAGAAATCCAAAGCTTTCGCCGAAGCTGTAACTGGAGATGGCGTCGGAAGTGAAGCAGCTGTATGCCATGGCGATATCGAACGCTTCGTTATCGCCGGATTGCCGCAGCAGTTTGTCACAGAGCTGTTGGACCAGGCTGTGGATTTCAGGTTCAAGCCGTGTTATCATGGCACGAGAGAAGAATTTCGCCAGGGGTACGCGCCGAAGTCGATGGAGATCGTGCTCGGTAGTGCTGAACCCGGATAACGTGATACTGGGAAAGGTTAGTGAAACTACCCGGCCGATATACTGGTAGAAGTAGAGACTTACGAAGAACCGTTGACCTGGTGCTTTGGCTTGTCGCGTTTTCGGCTACCAGTTGCATATATCTCGTCTGCGAAGCGGATATCGTCGCAGTGGACTTCGTTGGGACTGATTCGCACGATGGGTCCTGGTTAAGAATCAGACGATTAGCTTGCGGGCTGGTGCAAGGTAGCCGGTGATAAACTCACCATAAACCCTATGCATTTCACTGATCTCCTTGGTGTAACAGCCAAACTTGATGACATCGTGGTAGAATTCAGGCCAGTATGTCGCTGCTGCTAATCTTGGTCCCGGGATTGAACTCAGCGGGTGGAGGGGCGAGATGTTGTAGATGGCTTCTAGCACTTTAAACACTAGCCAGAGGACAGCAAGACCCAGGATCTGACGCGTTGATGGCAGCCATGTTGTTGATAGCGTCTCCGTGCCCGTTGGATTCATTTTGTACAACAATGTGAGGAAAAGAACAATACCCTCGCATGAGAAGACATTGCTTTTACCTTAGTTCTCTTCTCTTGCAAGGTAGAAAGCCGCTATGCCATGCAGCCGCTTCCAGCGGCATACGCTACATGTCTAAGTGGGGGGAAGTCCCGGAGCGTGTCATAATGGGAACTTGTTTGGGGGCCATAACGGCTATTTGTGCCCAAACGAGCGTTTTGGATGTGCGACATGTGACAGAGCAGAGCTGAGCGGAACGCCAGCACATACTTGGCTGGGATGGACGTTGAAAATGATGTTCTAGGCTTGTGGATGTGGGGTGCGGCTCGTCTCGAGTCATGGGAGCTAAAGATCTTGATCTGGGCTTGTCATTCGCGAGTGGGCGCAAAGGAACCAGTGTAGCTATTTTGATCTCACGATGTGTTTGTAAAGAGCTGATGTACGGTGAAAGATTTGAGTCGGTTGCAAAATTTGCCAGAAGCAATTCGTTGTCATTCATCATGTTCATAACCAATGATTTCGTACATCCCATGACATGCCAGACCTGCAGGCGGTATTCGATTGTACAACTGTACATTTCCCGGTCCCTCAACCTATTGTCTTCATCCATTACGCAGACCTGGGCCTAGGCGTAACCATCTTCCCCCTCGCGGCCAGCATGAGCCAACCAGCAATCAAACAAGCGCCACCAATCGGCGTAACGGGCCCCAACGACTTGTACTTCTTCGCATCCAGCACAAGCAGATATATGCTTCCGGAGAACATGGTCATGCCGGCGGTGAAAAGACCCATGGCGATTGTGTTTTGCGGCGCGACGACGGATGTCATGGTTAGGACGACGGAGTGGACGAGCTGTCATATCCATTGTTAGTATAGATCCATAATTGGCGAAAACAACATGAGATGCAATGTGCAGCGCGAAGAATACCATAGCAATCGCATCTTGTGAGTGATGGTGGCGGTGCAATCACACATACCTGATACTGCGCCGCAGTCCCCCAATTCGCCAACAGCGCGGGATCCCTAATCCTGCTCTTCAACCCATGCGCTCCAAACGCACCCAGCGCCACACTGCTCGCCCCAAGCAGGGTACCAATCGTCCAGAAAGGCGACATGCTGCTATACGTCGTACCGTAGGATCTGCTACTGCTGCTGCTGTAGCCACTCTCGTAGATGGGGTCGTGGCTGCGTGATTTGCGGGATGAGGAGGATGAGGATTTCTTGGATGAAGACATAATATGGTGGGTGAAAGAGTGTGGGTGGTTGGGGTTGGGGTTGGGGAGGGGAGGGTGGGAAGGTGGTGGGATGGGAGGGTTTGATGGGGGATACCGCGGTTTGGTGCGGCGGGCGACGGAGGTGTGCGTTGTCTGATTGGTCTGTGCTCATAAAGACGGGAAGTGGAGCGTTGATGAAGGGTGTTATATTTGTCTGTGGTGGTATCGTAGATGCTGGAATTCGCATCCTGTTTGTTCGATAACGCCATAACGCCGTCCTAATGCAATGACTTGTCGCGCATCTTGCAAAGTTTGCGACGAAATAGACGCATGTAAAGTGTCCCATCGCCCAACACCTAGTACGAATCGATCTCCATGACTTCTCCCTCTGCCTGCTTCGGTGGCTGTGCCTTCATCGCGCTCGTAGTAGCTTTCCTCTTCCCCTTGCCAGCCTTCTGTTGTGCCGCTTTGATCTCCTCCTCAGAAACCAGCGCTCCATCAACGCGCAAGAAACCCTTGCCCTTTCCTTTTCCGTCCATTCTGCCCTCAACGTCTCGTATCCTCACTCGTAGCTCTCCTTCCACCTTTTCACCGTCGCCGTTCACCCACCAGCCTCCCTCGTCCGACAGTTTACCATCCCAGCTCTGCTTCACTTGACCGGATTCTTCCGAATGCCACGACCAGTCTGAGGGCAGACATTCCCTGAGTATGCTAACGGGGAAAGTGTTGAGGTGTGCGAGTGTGAGATGTGTCTTCGCTTGGTCGGTGATGTGCGCGGTAAGGTATGCATTTCGGGTCGGGCGCCACACGACGAAAGAGGCCGTGACCCAAAGAAATGGCGCTGCGTATTCATCGACATGCCTGAGTAGTAACGGCTCAGCAGGCACGTTATCGTTGGAACTGGATTCGCTCTGTTGTTGCGACTGTGACTTGTTCTTGGATTTCGATGCCGATTCAGCTGGTGGCGAACTCTGCAAGTCTACATCTTCGTATGCGAGAACCACACCCTTTGCAGGTGGGAAATACGTGAGGAGCAGTGGTGATAGTACCGTTGCGCATACTGCCGAGAAGGGATCCGCGAGACATGAGGGTGGGATGCAGACGTATTGCGATATGCGCTCGATGTGAAATAAAGAAGCGTCTTCACTTTGTACTGGCGCCATTTTCGAGAAAGACCGAGTCTGTACTGTCGCGTAACGTGGTTTGCGATCGCGTTGTCGCGCAAATGCTGAGCTTAGAAAAAGTTGGAGATGTCGGCACGCGCAAATACCGACATGTGGGGGGTCAATGCTAGCGTGCATACGGTTAGTCAATACCAGCAGCAAGAGTGAAAGGTGAAGATGGCATAGTGATTTAATTAGAATGACGCTCATGGCAGCGTCCTGATCTTCATTCATGTCTTCTGATGCACAAGCAAGCCTAACGCCAAGCGGCATGACACCAGATATGAGTGCCGTCTATACGACGCTCATGATGCTACCAATGTTCAGCTCGCCCTGGAATTCTGTTTTACATTCGCTTTCACAGCGTATCCGGAGTTAATCATCTCCGTCCTCCCTTCTCCACCTCCTTGCGCTGGAGCTTGGTGACCACTCGCTGCAAAGCCGTCTTGATCTCGCCCTTCTTGAACTGTGACAAGTCGTAGTAGTTTGGTGAAATGTCCTGGCATAGGTCAGTAAAATGTTCGTTAAAGCAGGAAAGGATGCACTCACCATGAGCCACTCTGGCTTGACGGAGGTCACTGTCCGGATGTAGTTCTTGGTTGTCAAGACGAACTCGTTGTAGATGACCCATTCACTGTCCTCTGCGAGAACAGTGCTAGGGTGCAAGAGAACATTCTGTTCGTCCTTGACGGTGATGTAGCTCTTACCGTTACCATCGCGCTTGGCAACTTGCATGAAGAACCCGGCAACAAGTGCACGCTGAATGTTCTCGTAATACTTCTTGTTCTCGAACGGCGTCGACATCAACTCTAGTTCCTCACGCTCCATTATGCGCTTGAGTTGGAGACGGACGTTGTCAGCTTGTTGTAGCGCTCGGTAAGAGAGGAAATGGTCGTGGCACCACTGCTTCGGGTTTGCTTGCGCCTCCTCGCTCTTGAATGCATGGTAGACGTTGAGCATGGTAAGCTGGTCACCCTTGGGGTGTGCGAACAGCTCCTTCATCTCGTCTGCGCGCTTTCGGTTGTTGGCTGGACGGACGAAGATTTGGGGTACAGAGAGGAGCGCAGTGAGCGATAGGATCTCGTTTGAGCAGTAGAACTCAGGCGATGTGATGAGCATGACTGCCAATGCGGGGTCCAGAGGGAACTGCGAGGCGAGCCCTCCGAGTGTGGTCAGTTCACCCTCGTCATCGAGACATGCCAGATAGTTGAGCTCTTCCAATGCACGCATCAGGGTCTCGGGCGCAGGCGGGTCCATCAGATCGAAATGTACCAGATCATCGACTCCAAGCTTCTTCAACTCGAGCACGGTGCTGGCCAGATTTGACCGCAGGATCTCAGGGTAGGTCTGCTCGATGAGCTCTTTCTTGAAGGCTTGCTCGGTGTACAGGCGGAAGCATTTACCAGGACGCGTACGTCCGGCACGACCAGCTCGCTGTTGTGCTGAGGCCTTGGAGATGGGCGAAACGAGGAGGGATTCGACACGGATACGGGGATTGTAGACCTTTTGCTTGCTGAAACCGGGGTCCACGACGTAGACGATACCGTCAATGGTGAGAGACGTCTCAGCAATGTTGGTAGAAACGATGCACTTGCGTCCGGGGCGGCCGCCGGGTGTTGCTGGCGGAGGCGCAGGGTTGAAGATCTTCTGCTGCTGTGCGGGCGGCAAAGTTCCGTACAGCGGGTATACGACCAGTGGTCCAGCACCACCCTCGCGAGAAAGGTCTTGGGCCTCGAGATTTATCTTTCTGCACGCATCCTCAATCTCCTCCTCACCAGTCAAGAACAGCAGGATATCGCCTTCGGGTTCGGTGGCGTGGATCTGGAGGACGGTTCGCAGCGCGGCTTCGACGTAGTCTCGCTCGGGCGCGGGTGTGTAGAAGACCTCGACGGGGTGAGTTCGTCCAGGTACGGCGAGCAGGGGCGCGTTGTGGAAGTACTTCTGGAACTTGGTAGCGTCGAGAGTAGCACTCATGATGATGAGCTTGAGGTCCGGCCGCCTCAAGACGACCTCCTTCAGCAGACCCATGAGGATATCAGTAGCCAGGGTTCTCTCGTGGGCTTCATCGAGGATGATGGTGCTGTAGCGAGTGAGGTTGTGGTCGTTCATGGCCTCGCGCAGCAGCATTCCGTCGGTCATGTACTTAAGGATAGTGTTCGGCCCTGTCTTGTCCTCGAAACGGATGCTGTATCCGACCTCCTCGCCCAGCTCGACATCCATCTCCTCGGCGACACGCTGGGCGACGGACATGGCAGCGACACGACGCGGCTGGGTACAGGCGACCATCTTGGCATTCTCCTGCGGCAGGTCGTCAAAAAGGACAAACTGCGGGATCTGTGTCGTCTTTCCGGAACCCGTCTCACCGACAAAGACGAGGATCTGCGACTCCTGGTAGAGCTTGAGGAACTCGTCGCGCTGCTGGTGAACGGGCAGGTCTCGCCTCTTCTTGAGGATGCTCATGTAATTGCTCGAGAGCGGCCGGCCGGTGAAGGCGTTGTTGGGGCCGTCTTCGGCGGCGTTGGCCTGCGCAGTCGTCGTCGCATGCTTCTTGAAGCCCTGGAGGCCGGTGCCGGTGCCGCTGTACTCGCTCTTGACGGGCTTGTCGTCGTTCCAGTGCGCCAGGTAGGGATTCGCCGCTGCGTCCATCTTGCCCTCGCCGTTGGACTCCGTCTTGACGCGCTTGACACGGGCACTGTCGTCGTCGCCGTATTCGCGCTTCGTCATGGCTGTCATTGTTGTGCTGGCGGTGTTTGCGCGTGTGGATGGCGCCTGCACTCGCCGTCCCAGAAAAAGTTATGCGACGGGCCCAGTAGCTCCACTTACCGCGACTGCTCGAGCTTGGCGCAATCGACGACAGGCTGCAAGGCACCACAGCAATATCCACACGCCGCCATGTAGCGAATATACCTTCTCCACCGCTGGTGGTCCCTTCTGTCTACTCCACGATCTTGCCGCCGTGATCACGTTCCGCATCCCTGGTCGCGCGCCGCAGCATTGCATTCGCGACTTTGCTGACCCCGCGGTAGTCCGCAACATTCACCAACTTTTCTTCCACTAACACGTTTTCTCCATATTGGCCTGACTAACCCGGATACTGTTATGGACTACTCAGAAGGCATGGACGAACATGCGCCCGTATTTTATATTGGCCAACATGAGTCGAAGCGGAGCCTGGATGTCTCGCCCGAGCTGGTTCAGCATGCCCAAGATCTCGGAGTACGTGCCCCCAAGACTAGCAAGAACCCGTACTGACAACCTCCAGTATGATATGCTCACTAGCACCATCACCAACGACCACTTCCAGAACCGCGTTCTGAGTCTGCTAAACTCCTACACCCAAGCCCTCGTTGAGTCGCAATCGCAACCGCTGCCCTTGATACCTGCCCTGGACAACTTCGATACACCACTCAGCCCGAATGAAATCATTGGTCAACTGGTAGCATTCACTAGCTCGTGGATTGACCTGTCTTCGCCCGACCCAATCATCTCACATTTGTCGCGACAAATTTTCCACCTTGAGGTTGCCTATGCAGCTTTCTGTGGTGTTACCAATCTGGTCATCCCTGGACCAAGACTCGCTCACGGCCAGACCGGCGTATCTCAGTATGCTCGCTCTATCAAGGAGGCGCTTGTCACTGGATCTTACATCCAGCTGCACATCCAACTACCCATGGATGGAACGCAGTCAGACTCCAGCAAGGACGACATGGGAGACCTAGCGCGCTTCGCAAGATCTGAGTTCGAGGCGAGCAGTGAGTCGAAGAACATCGACTCTTGGAGCTCATGGGATGCTTGGAACACCATTCGATCAATTTGCAAGTACCACAACAGGTTAGCAGTCATGCTCGATATGCCGCGTCGCCTTCCTTCATTGGCCGTCCAGTCACGTTGGTTCTCTGAGCCTGTGCGACTTCTCAACTTGCAAGCTTCGTCTTTCCTAGTCAACGCTCGTCAATCTTTCGTCCTGTCCAAACCACACCAGGTGTTCATCTTCCGCTGTATGCGCCTGCAGCGCGGACCCTGGTTACTCATCTCGGATGTCGGCCCACTACCAGGTATTGATGACCCGGATATGATAATGTCGTACTCCACAGGCCACCTGTCTCCTCGAACTGTGGAAGATGCACCGAGCCCAGGTTCATCAGGCACGGTGGCACCAACGCCAGCTGAAGCAGCTGAGATCGCAAAGAAGCTGCCCAAAAAGAGCAGTAGCAACAATGACCCAACTCCTCACCTGAGCTACATGCGATACTTGCAGCGTAACCAGCCTCCTAAGAGTCAGATCGAACGGTTCGGTGGTGGATTCCAGGACTATCTCCAGAGCCCGCTGCAGCCCCTAACGGACAACCTCGAATCTATTACATACGAGGTCTTTGAAAAGGATCCGATCAAGTATGCTTGGTATGAGCGCGCTATCGCTCAGGCTCTGAAAGACTGGCACACCGAGAGCAGATCAACCAGTTCCAACAACGGCGCTGTCGTTGTCGCGGTCGTGGGATCAGGTCGAGGTCCGCTCGTGACGCGTGCGCTGAATGCCAGCGCAAGCTCCGGGGTACCCATCCAAGTCTACGCCATCGAGAAGAACCCCAACGCATACGTACTACTTCAACGACACAACATCGAAACATGGGGTGGACGTGTCACAGTCGTCAAAACCGACATGCGCGCCTGGAAAGGCCCAACACTCGCGGACGGCACATTCGGCAAAGTCGACATACTCGTCAGCGAGCTTCTCGGCTCCTTCGCCGATAACGAGCTATCGCCCGAATGTCTCGACGGCGTTCAACACGTCCTGAACCCCACTCACGGCATCTCGATACCCTCCAGCTACACCGCGCACTTCACCCCCATCTCCACGCCAAAGCTCTGGTCCGACCTGTATACTAGAAGTACCAGCGTCGATCCCAACGCTTTCGATATCCCGTGGGTCGTAATGCTGACTCAATTCGACTACCTCTCTACTTCATCTGAAGAAACCGTCGCATCCAAACAACTCAGCAACGGCACAAGAATGCACCATTTTAACCTCGAGGCGCCCCTCACACCCAATGTTCACACAGCCTGGGAATTCTCACACCCACTCCCTTCTGCTGTTCTAGCACAATCCTCGCTGAGAAAAGGTGGATCGGCGGTAGGTGGCGGTGGTGGCTTCAGCGGCGGCGATGGCGCAAATGAACACAACCTGCGCTACTGCCGCATTGCCTTCCCTGTCCGAGAACCGGGTGTGTGTCACGGTCTCGGTGCGTACTTCGAAACGGTCCTGTACAGCGGTTCGGAAGGACCGGTGGAGTTGAGCACAAACCCGGTGACTATGGAGGCGAAGAGCAAAGATATGATTTCTTGGTTCCCCATTTTGTTCCCGCTCAAGGTATGTCATTCACTGACCATGAGAATTTGAGGATGGTGACTAATCTGTATACAGACGCCCATGCAACTTCCTGCCAACTCCGAAGTTGAAGTCAGTTTCTGGAGGCAGACGGACGACCGCAAGGTTTGGTATGAGTGGCTTGTGGAGAGCTATCTAACAGTTGAGGGACGAAGGATACGCTTAGATGTTTCGGATTTGCACTCTAGCAAGTCGAATGGGTGTATGATGTGAGGAAGGGATGTAGTCTGGTCTCATGCATGGTTGTGTAGTTGGAGAAATGATAGTGGCGCGTTGACTTAGTGTCTGTTAGATGCCTCCTCTACTGTGAGGCAAAAGTTGATGCTTTCGTTTTCGAAATTTGGATCTGAAGTCAGTATGTGGAAGCGTCGTTACGAACATTCATATGACCATTCCGCATAGCATTCATTGGCAATAGAGGCATTCGTACTATACCCGAAACTACTTGCTGGGGCCTGCAACAACAGACCGACTACACATGAGAAGTGTATACACCTTCACATCACGGATCAGGTGAAACCGCAAGTCCGAGCTCATCATCTCGAAACGGCGTCCTTTACAATCCTCTACGAAGGCGGCGCATCCGTATTCTGGGTCTTCTCCTTCCTCTGCACCCAACCGAATCGCGGTGATCCATTGTTCATATCGAAGATCTGTCATACCACATTAGCCCAATACAACCACCGCCATCGTTCAGGTTCATCACGACTTACCGCATACATAGCCTTCAACACCGCGTCACCGTATATGTCCATATCCATGGAACCCCTACTCTGGATACTTCCATACACCATACCGTTTCCAGCATCAGCGAAGCCCAAATCCTCCTTCTGGAACGTCACCATCGCGTCTCCGATTGCAAGCTTGATCTCGGGCAAGTCGGCTGCGGAGGTGGAGGTGGGGAAGACGTAGCCTTGGTTGCTCTGGTCGTACTTTGCGCCGGGGATGGCTTTGTAGACGGCATCGACGAGGGCGTCGTCGACAAGGCAGAGGGTGGTACCCGTGTCCATGATGGAGGTGTTGCCGGAGCGGTCGACGGTCTGCCCGTTGATGGTAGCGGATGTGGATTGGATTTGCCAGAAGCCTTGACTATTGTCTACGTCTGCGTAGTTAGGTTCAGATGCGCCGGAGGCGGTCATGACGTCTTGGTCGATGAAACCGAAGGTGTAGAAACTCTGGGCAGATGTCAGAAGGATGTGTGAGTTAACGGTACGAAAGACTTACTTCTCCCTTGTCGGCCTCGTTCGTGTCGCGCCAGCTACCCAGATACGCGGTGAACAGCTGCTCCTTGGCGCTCTTCTGTGCAATGATGTTGTCGACTGGCGTCTTCTGCGGTGTGGGAGAAACAGTGTTGATGGAACTGAACGCCAGACCAAGGAGTCCGCTTCCATTGCCTTCGGCAAATTGCTGCGAAAGCTCCTTTGCTAGCTCCACAGCTTGGTTCTCAACTTTGAGGCCACCCAGGTTCACAACATCGGTACCGACGTCACCGCTTGCGGAAGAAGAGTCACCGTACGAGATCTTCCATGTCTCACCGTCAAGTTTCTTGAATGTGCTTGACTTTGAAGGGTCGAAAGCGACCTGCTGCTTCGAAGCATCTGCTGAACTCAGAATCTTCTTGGGGAGTTCAGTGGACCAGACCTGTGTATATTAGTAATAACACCGATGTCATCATAAGAAAACGTACCCAGAGATCTGAAGAACCAGTATCGAAATCAAGGTAGATCTTCTGCTCGGGTGTTCCAACGCCAACCTCACAGAGATACAACGAGTCATTCTGGATGTCTTCGGCAGGTACTTCACCCTCGGTCGGATTACCGTCGCTTGGAGCTGCGGCTTTGCTTTGCGCACCACTTGGTGCCGATGCTTCGTTGCGCTTCTTGAGAACGTAGCGTGATCGCATGCGGCCACCGATTCTGCCGAACTTGCCTTGCTGCGACATGACCTTGGCTTGGAAGTATGGGCCAGGCTTTGTAGGGTGGAAGCCATCTGCGCATGTCAGTTCAACAGTAAACGGGGGTAAATATGGAGAGGACAAGTGACGGACACTTGGTCATGGCATAGACGTAGCTCTTGACTCCAGCAGGCTTGTAGGCTGGGCTACGCTGGATCGCGAGGCGTCGTAGGGATGCCATGATGATGTTGGGTTGTTGAGTTCGAACGTTATTGTGGATGTCGGTGACGAGAATCTTATTACAACACTGAAGCAACAGGATAAAGTAGAGAAAGAATTACTTCACTCGAAGCAACGACGACGACGACGACGAGGCGGCATATGTACCTTCGTGCCCTCCACCAACGCATGCATCACGCCCGCCTTCAAAGAAGCAAACCTACTTGCCCAACTGCAAACGCTCCAATCACCAGCGCACGACCAGGAACAGGCGGTCACACCGGCCGGATTGTCGCAGCCGCGATCATGGGCCTACAAGCATGCGACCAAGCTTTCCAAGCTTTCATCAAGCTTTCGTTAAGCTCCGGGTGCCGCATATGGTGCGTCTGAAACAACGCATATGTAGATCACACGCACGATGATGCGCGATGGGAGTACGGCTGTAGCGTTTGCTGATAAGGACCCGGACAGCATGACAGGTACAAAGGCAGCTGCGGCTGCGGCCGAGGTATCGACGTGGTCGTCCCTGTGAAGGACATCGGATTGGGCGACCCGCGAAGCGTGGAAGTAATCTGATTGCTCCGAGAGCAATGGGAAGCCTGCTTCAAGATGCGAGTCGAGGCCCTATCGAGGGCCCCGCAGGAGAGCTTTGTCCCCGCGTTGTGGATGATCCGCGATGCCAGAATGTGGCCGCGTACTCCTACATGCGGAGTGTGCACCATAATACAGCGCAAGACGTGAAAGAAGTTCCTGGTTCGTGTAATGTCTTGACTTTGGCTCATCCTCGTGAAGCGTTGTGCGTACCTTGGTATTTGGTGGTGGGCGGTGTTTCGCAAGTCATGAAGTGACGTCATTGAATACGCGTCATCGCTCGCACCTACCTGTTGCGGAGTTAGCAGGCATCTTCTTGTCGCCAGCCACCACCACAATCATGCTTCTCGCCCACGAGTCAGTATCCCTTCGATAATATACCTGATGCACGTAGTATTTGTAGGAATCGGATGGTGAATCTGATCATGCCATAATGTGAGTAAAGCAAGGCTTGAATTTGACGTTATTTTACAAACTTTCTGTGCTTGTAGAAGCACCATCTGGGTATATCTTGTAGCAATTTGAATGAGAGGCACATCCGCTGCTTGTTAGAGACGATGTCCAGATTATCAGAGCCACTCATACAATGAGCACGCTTTGCTCAAGTGAGTGATGTAAGTACTAGAGGAGACAAAAAGAAAAAAAGGAAAAGAAGTTAGAGTGTCGAGAGCCATAACACCCGTCATCACGCCGTCCTGGGCTTGAAGATCAGATCACATCGATCGTGCCTGCTCCTGTATCCATTCGCCTCAAAGGGCGCCATCGCCTCCGGCGTTGTCTCCGGCGCAAGCTCAACCTTGAACGCCCTGAATGTAGCTGCCAAGATGACTCGCATCTGGTACGTCGCCATGTTGCCTCCAGGGCAGCGTCGCGCTCCTACACCAAAAGGAACGAGATGCTTCTTTCTCTCGGCGCTGTATTCATCCTCGACGAGCCATCGTCGCGGGTTGTAGGTATCGAAGTCGGGGAAGAGGTCGGGACGCTGGCGAGACATGCTGAGGGACTGTGTGGTGACGACCGTGCCAGCGGGCAGGTGATAACCAAGAACATTGATACCACCCTCTGGTACGAGGCGGGAACCTGTTAAAGCGACTGGTGGGCGGAAGCGCAGACCTTCGTTAACGCATGCACAAAGGAGCTTCAAAGAATCAAGCTCTTCGTAGCCCTCGTGGGCGGCAACTTCCTCGTACAATTCTTCTTGCAGACTTGGGTTCTTTGCCAGCTCGTAGTAAATGAATGCAAGAGCTGATGACGTAGTTTCAGTAGCAGCGAGCACCTGGCCTGCCATTTCCGCCCCGATTTCCGGGTCTGTCCATGAATCCTCGAGAGGGTACTTTGCGTCTGGGTCAGTGAAGAGTTTGAAGACGTTGGCGGTTGAGTCTTCGGCTACTTCCTTGGCCTGCTTGCACAGCGCTGCGCCTAGGTCGAAGAGCTTGTCACTGGATCGTACGCGGAAGCGCGCATGAGCGAATGGGCCGTACTGAAGCCATGCAAATAGCCATTCTGGGAGGCAAAGGCGCCAAACGACGAGGAAGTTGTACTCGCCGACAACGTGTGGGAATTCGCTAGACTCAAGATCGACACCCGTACCGCCCATGACGACTTGGGAGTTCTTGAGGGTGCAAATGCGCAGGTGGTAGACAATATCTTCGGACTTTTGGCCCTCTGTTTTTCCGAGATTGCGGACCATGGCTTCGATGTTGGTCACAAAGGTGTCGTGCCAGAACTTCATGTTCTTCGTTGTAGTAGCAATCATAACTGGGTGACGTCGTTGTCGTGCGATAGGGTGCTGTGGGTAGGTGACAGTCCAGTCATGGCCGCCGACGCGAAGGGCTCGGATAGATTTGGGCGAAGTGTCCAGATCTTTCCTAACGAAGATCTTTTCCACTGATTCGGAGTCGTTGAGAATGACGAGATTCGGCGCGATCCTGACGATGGGTCCGTACTTTGTCATGAGCTTGTCTGCCTCAAAGGACAGTCTGCCATGCCAACGCTGCCAACGGATCCAGGCAGATGTTGCCGAACTGATCCAAGGTCCGGGTATGGCCCGCAAAGGGTCGATGTGGGCTCGGTAGATCATTTTGGTGATCTGGGTGATAACTGTGGATACCAAAAGGGCCCCGACGAGCTGCCAGCGAAGCACGTAGGCGTTTGACAATACGCCTTGAACCATACTGGGCTTGTCAGTGACCAGCAGGTCGTGAACAGTTTCGTTCAACATGACGAATAATGCAAAGACTGATCCTCAGTGAATGAGGTAGAGATGGTTAACCGCGGGACGGCATTATATACTTTTTGTTGGGAGTTCAACCTGTATCACCGTTCCTCTACCTTTTGCCCCGACTGTGAACCATGTTGCTTCGAAGCTTGTCCTATCAGCCCGACACCCGGGGGTCCCTAATCCCCGCAGACCCCGGAGCCTCAAGGTTCGGACCTACCTCAAACCTTACACAAAAAAGGGTTTCGGTAGTTGATACGCTAGAAATAGCTGTACGCTAGAAGCGCTATAGCGGCCAGGAGCATAATACCAGGTAACGGAAGGTTCGAAGCGTCCTTGGCAACTTCTGCGCTTCGCGAAACGTTCTAGGTAATCTGATCGTTCCTTCTCAGGTTGTAAGTCTCTTGGATGAGGACAAATGGTCTTCGACAGTCCTATCATTGTAGACGGCAGTTGGGAGGAAGACATCTGCGCAGCCGAGGCAAGTGGCGACGTAAATCGTGTGGAGAGCATATAGACGGCCCGAGGTATTGCGACGAAGTACCGGAGCACCCGTGTACGTTCGCCTTGGGTACCCAGTTAGGTGATGATCGATCATCTGAGGGCTCTTAATGCTGAACGATCGCCCGAGTTCAAACGCGTAGCCAACAACGTAAGAGTTGAAGCGCCAATGCAGGTGCCGCAAAGCCCGGGGAGCAATCCGCCATAACATCCCCAGAGATCAGGGTGTATTGTTTAGGATCGCAGGTTGATTAATGCCCGATGTCATGGTGGCAAGTCGGTCTCCAAGTCAGCGCAGTCGAGATTACTCATGTTCACAAACGGTCCACGTCATGGTGATCGCTGACTGCGACGCGTAGTCGTTGTACCGTCGGCGCTCGAAGCTCGAAGGTGTAGGTAGGATTTGGCGAAATTGGAGGACTCCTATCCACGAGAACTCATTTCACATGGAAGACAGTACTTGTGCCCAACCTGGACCCATATTTATTTGACCGAAGTGGCGCACAATACGAAGTTCATGCTGCTGCTTCAAGAAGCGAGTGCTCCTAGCGCTGAGGTTATCGGACGGTGTCGTTTATGACACCGTGGGGTAAACAAAGTTATGGTGATGTAAATTATGCGGTCGAGGATTGGCTAATCTTCCAAGAGAGATCGATTCCTGTTAGAGAAGTCTAAACTTGTGCACGTGAGCACTGTCGCTGAAAGCCAACATCTAAGCGACGAACGCACAATCAGGTTTGTTTGCCTTGGGCAACGTTCTCACGTTGCGCTACCAGACGATATCCAGGAGCAAACAAGGACGTTGGATTGGAATGGTTTCAGTAGTACTGCTGTACGTAGGTGCGCGTTGCTGGGTTGTAGGCATCGCGCCGCCCATCCAGAGCGTGCCTACCAGAGTAGCCATGCGCGATCCGCATGAACAGGAGATTGGCAGGAGGGTTCGATGAATTGGAAACACCTGCATGTGTGGAGCCTGGAGACGAGCTTTGACATGGCGCTCGCGGTCGTTGTTGAGCTCACTAGGGACCTCGGAAGGCTGGGCAGGAAAGCTTGAGAACAGAATGCGCTTCACCGTTTCCGGCGCGCCCCGACACGCGTTCCGCGAAACCTTGAGAAGCTCGGACCATGAGACGTCGCTGACCCCCGTCCTCAAACCTCTCCCTCCCACCATCGCTACCATACCTCGCCTCATTTTCCATCGAACGCAACTTCCCGTATGCTTTTCGGTCCGTTTCAGATTACTCATCCCGTTTCTCGAGCTGGTCGCTGTCAGCAGTGTGGACCTCATGTCCGCGCAACATTCCATCAGACTGCGGCTTCGGTAGATAGGCTGCAACCACTGGCATCAATGCAGCGATCAACACGCCAAGCCACAGAACGGCAGTCGATACGGCAAATCCCTTCAAGTTGCGTGGTCCCTCAGCGCTGGGCCACAAAAAGCTTCCATATATAAAACTCGTGTGACCGAAAGAGTTGACCAACGCGATGGCTATGGATCGCTTGCGTGTTGGCTGGGACATGACTTCGCTCGTCCAGTTGAGAATCAGGGGTACTGTTGTGTACATCGCGCCAGTCTGAAGGCACAACATGGCATATTTGACTCTATTGTTGCTGACAAGGAGGGCTACTAATGTAGCAATGCCTGCGAAGGTAAGTAATCCAGCGTTGTGCCATCTACGGTCTTGGGTTTTGTCAGAAGTCCAGGACCTACCAGCATGAGTGCGGTTAGCGCGTGTCTCTTGCTGTACCTTTACAAGGGTATACTCACCAGAACAATTGAAACACAGCACCGCAACTCCAGATGGGTACCGTCATCCACTGGGCACTGGTGCTCGTGTAGCCCATTCCTCGAAGCATGGTCGGAATGAAGTACGAAACAGTCAAGGCCAGACAATTCGAGGTGTAGATGATCATGAACAGATATGTTCGCCCGTCTCTAACCACTGCAAGAAAAGCTTGAAAGGGTGTGAGAGCGGCCTCATCGGTATCCCAGGACTGGTCTCGATCGCGGAGGATGCGGACGTGAGCAAGAAGGCGTTGCTCCGGAGAAAGCATCTTCGATTCGATCGGCCAATTGGGAAGAATGAAGTACACTGACGTGTAGGCCATATTAGCAGTGCTTGCACCTGCGTGTAAAGATCACTTACGCCCAAAGCCACAGGCGATGGTAATGATACTCTCGATTATGAGCAACCATCGCCAGCCCGGAATACCACGAGCACCGTCCAGACTAGAAATCACGGCACCCGCCATAATCCCACCCAGCGCTGGCGATACGCAGCCGGAGGTGTAGAAGATGCAAAAGCGCTTGCCTGGGGAATCCGGTCAGCCACACCTCAGATTTCGAAGAGTCTGTGGCTAGGTACTCACCGACTTCCTTCTTCGTGTACCAGCAGGTCAGGATGAACAACGCGCCCGGGTACAGTCCTGCCTCGATTGCGCCTAGGAAGAAACGGCCAATGAGGAGTCCTGTTGCGCTCTTTGTCTGCGACATCCCGAGAACGACGCATCCCCAAACCCATACAATGGTCGCTAAATCGGCTTCGATCAGCTCTCCACTCAGTACCCTCCGGCTAATGGGGTACACGTACACAAATAGATCGACGGTTTCACTTTCATCAGGATCATGTTCGAAGGAACCTCAAAGATGACGTAGGCCACAAAGAAGAGCGATACCAGCATTGCATATTCTACGCACTGTCAGCTTCCTCACCTCCGACACTACTGTGTGGTCTTTATTGACAGACTTACGATTGTCCGATAGGCCAAGGTCCTCACTCATGCCCGCCGCGTTGGCGTTGGCGATGTTGCTCCTGTCGAGATGGGCAAGTATGTACATCCACCAAAGGATTGGGAGTAAGATGAAATCGATCTTTCGGACCAAACGTTTCTCTGCCACCGTACCCGGCACGTAGTCTTGCAACGCCGCTATCATAGCTGCGTCTTCCGCCTCTCCATCTTGTATTTTCGGGGTCTTCTCATCGCTTGGATCAGAGGCAGTTCGTTGTGCCAAACTCAATGCTTCACCATCTTTGGAAGTCATGGTCTTCGACTTTTCGAACTTGCAGAGGGTCGATAAGGCGATTTTGGTACACCACGAAAGGATAGTGAAGCCAGGCAACCGACAGAGACAACAGATCCAAAATGCGTACATATGTTCTAATTTGAATGGCTGCAGTCTTCCGGAAATCCATTCGCATGGCACCAGTCAACAGCTCGACGTTATCGCTATCCTACTCGCGACGTACTGAGACCGCCACTGTTGCGATGTCATAACCCCGCTTTCTATCTATTCCTATAGGCCTAGTGAAACCCAACAGGATTGCGAGTGGTCGTGTCCCGAAGCAATGCTGGTATTGTGCGGAGTTCGCCAAGACAAGGCCCCTACCCGGCCAAGATGCGTGTGGAGCAGTGCTTATCATGCCCGAAACTTCGCTCAGCTCTGTCCCGATATTATCATGGGATACAATGATCCGTCATAGCCAACCGAGTAATTCGAACTTGACCAACAAGCCCGGTCTGCTGTCAGCTTCTACCATCACCCACTCCAAAGACTCATAAACCACCACGGAGATTTCGATTTTTCGAAGCGCAACACTACCGTAATGTCTATACCCAGCAAACATGTAGTGTTCGATATTGTCGGCACCTGCGTCTCCTATGATGCCATATTCGATGCTCTGGACCACTGCTTAGGTGACAAGATGCGTGCCGAAGGCATCAAGCCACGACTATTCGGCTACCTCTGGATTGAAGTCACCGAAAGAGAGTACACTTATCTCAGCATGAATGGTCGCTACATCGCTTTCCGAGACGTCTTCAGCAGCCTGTTTTACCGCATGCTATACATGTCCGGCATCGAGGAACCTCAGACTTTCGCAAGCGACAAGGATTTACAATACATCCTAGAGCAGTACAAGAAGCTTGAAGCGCGACCCGGTGTGGCGGAGTGCTTCCAAATGCTTCGGGATGCTGGCTTTACAGTCTGGGCGTTGACGGCAGGGGACGTTGAGCGTGTTGGAGGATACTTCACGCACAACGGTATCCATATGCCCAAGGAGAACTTCATTTCATGCGACACGGCGAAGATTGGTAAGCCGGATCCAAAAGTGTATCAAATGATGATGGAGAAGCTGGGCAGTGATGAGAAATGGTTTGCAGCTGCGCATAACTGGGATGTTGCGGCTGCGAAGATTCACGGGTGAGTAGAGACTATCAATCTGCCTGCATAGCTTTGCTGACCAAGCGATAGATTCAAGGCTGCATATTGCACGATATGGGAGAAGATACGCTGCGATGATCTCTTTGGCGAAATGGATGTCACCGCGGATTCCTTTCAAGAGATGGCTCGTGGTATCATAGCTGCATCTGGTACCAGCTCAAATTGAGACGTTAAGTACTTGCAGCATGGCGATGTCGAAGGATCTGACGTGGTCTGGTCAGTCAATAAACCCCGAATTATCAACAGTCATGCCAAGTTATCTTCGTGCAGAAGGATTGCCCAGAACGCCGCTAAACATCTTTGTATACTTGATGGGATCATATGTGCATGAAATCCCCAGTCAAGCGAGTAACCACCCTTGCCGATCTACATCTCGGCAAATGTTCTCCGTTGCCGTTATCAAACACATCCCCCACTCTCTCATCGATAAGGAAGAGCAGAGGTCGCCAGGACCTCTAAGAGACTCCACACGTTGGAGACGCTCATGAAGTGGGGAAGTTACCGGCGCGCTTTGCGCCGCGGCCATCCGCGTGCACCGTCAAGGTGCATACATGCGAAGCGTAGTCAGAAACACTCCGTATTATGTCTGCAACCACATCAAGTTACCAGATAGACGGAAGGTTGATGGGCTTCACTTTAATTGGGAGTCCTTTTCTATCGGGCGCGAATCGGTTCACACAGCACATATCAACATCTCAACATGACAGTCGACCGCACACCGGTCGCGCAACCCGTACACTCATTCTGGACTTCTGAATCCAACCCTCTTGATGAACTACGGAGTACGGATGGTCTTCCAACCGAGGCAGACATCGTAATCATCGGTGCGGGATTTGCCGGAGTTGTGCGTCTCTATTGTGTACCATATTTTTTGACACATACAAGCTAACTGTATTCTACTAGGGGACAGCTTATAACATTATCACAGCCTCCTCGTCTCCAAAGCCATCCGTCCTCATTCTCGATGCCCGCAAGATTTGTTCTGGTGCCACTGGTCGCAATGGCGGGCACGTGAAGCCGGATCTTTACTTCAATGTCTCGAAATATGTATCAATGTACGGCGCAAGCGCTGCAGCGGAGGTTGCAAATTTTGAAGCAGCAAACGTGTACGCAATGAAAGAGCTTGTTGAGGGCGAGAAGTTGGATTGCGACTTCCATCTTACAAGAGCAATCGATGTGTATCTGGATGCTGATCACGCAAGGCAAACGGAAGAGGCGTGGGATAAGCTGAGAAAAGATAAGGTTGTCGAGCTGAGAGACGTTGCTTGTATTCCCAAGGAAGATGCTGAGAGGGTGAGTACCCCAGTCTTCTATAAAGATCTACGAAATATAAGACTGATCGTGCTTACGAAGGTTTCGGGAGTCAAGGGCGCTCAACTGGCTTTCAGCTTTACCGCGGCGCACTTGTGGCCGCGAAAGATGGTGCATCAACTGCTAGCGAAGCTACTCAGGCAAGACCATAAGCTCAACGTCCAAGCGAATACACCAGTAATCTCTGTATCCGAAGTCATAGATGAGACAGGAAAATGGACAATTGAGACACCGCGTGGTACAATCAAAGCCAGAAATGTCATTCATGCTACCAACGGCTACACAAGTCAAGTCCTGCCTGAATACACACGAAGCATCACTCCGATCCGTGGCGTTTGCAGCCACATCGATAGCCCATCGAAGCAGAAAACACCGCATCTTAACAACACATACGCACTTCGTTTCGACGGCCGAAATTACGACTATCTCATTCCTCGGGCAGACGGAAGCATCATCGTCGGAGGCGCGAGGCAGCGATTCTGGCACAAGCCCGAGCGTTGGTTCAACAACGTGCGCGACGATGAGCTAGTTGATGAAGCATCGTCTTATTTCGATGGATACATGCAGCGTCACTTTCGCGGGTGGGAGGAAACGCACGCGGAAACAAAGAAGGTGTGGACCGGAAGTGAGTATTGTAGTCTCCTTCCTATACGCAACTAACGGTGTGGACAGTCATGGGTTACAGTGCAGACTTCATGCCACATGTTGGTCCAGTTCCGGATAAACCTGGACAGTTCATCATCGCGGGGTTCAATGGCCATGGAATGCCGCAGATATTGCTGTCGAGTAAGGGTCTGGCTGCTATGGTGCGGGATGGAGTGCCGTTCGAGAAGACAGGGTTACCGCGACTGTTCGAGACGACGAAAGGGAGGATTGAGAGGCGTGATAGTCCCCTTGAAGACTCGTTCCGTCCGTTGTGGGAAGAGCATGACAAGTCGAAGCTATGACAATACCTAGGTGGTTTCTCCACGGTCGAGACAACTAGCCTGTTGTAGCCCCGGGTTCAGCAACTGCACTTAGTGAGAGAGTAAATCCAACTCGCAGCAAGTGAAATTGAGATGGGTTGTTACTGCGTAAAGACATGGCACGGTAGTGAGCGATGGAATCGGGGTGACAAAGGAGATGATGATATACGCTAACCTGATTTAGCTACCTCGGCATGAGCCACTGCGAAGTGGGGTCGTGCTGAACAGCCTCAACTCCTCATCTCCTTTTCTCTCCTAGACGCCTTTAACGATCCCTCTTATCAACATACACACTGGCTGAGTTGGAGAGCTCGCTAGTGATGAAGATGCCAACACATCCTTACCAACATCTGTACCCGAAGGACGCGACATCCATGTGCCCACTTCACAGCGCTGATTCGCGTGGTACAACATGCTGCAGTCAGCTTTCGCTGTTGCATGTTGCAGACAGCCATGGTCGATAGCGTAATAGCGCGCTATCCTCGTTCTGATCAAGCCCTTTGGGTATACATGTGCGCAAGCCGCCGGCGCGTCGTACATAATGGAGTGCGCAACCCTCGCTATTAGCCCTCTATCAATCCTGTCTTCGGTATCTACAACATGGCTTCCTTCGAACCGGAGTTCGATCAAGCCTACAATGGTGCGTAATGGATATTCATACCCATCATCGATGTGCAACTTCCTAATGCGCATCCCAGACCTTGCTTCGTCCCTCAAAAGCTCCACAGTGCTGAAATATCATCCGGAGTACAGAAATCCTCTCAGGGTATTTGCCATCCCCGAGCGCGTCATTCAATTTCGAGTGATCTGGGAGGATGACAACAACTGTGTGCAAGTCAACTACGGTTATCGTGTACAGTTCAACTCAGCATTGGGGCCATACAAAGGCGGTCTAAGGTTTCATCCGTCTGTCAACCTTTCTGTACTCAAGTTTCTGTCGCTGGAACAAACGCTGAAAAATGCTTTAACGGGATGTGAGTCTTGCATTTCTAGTCATCCATTATCCAGTCCTCTCTGACCATTTGTTACAGTAAATCTCGGAGGTGCCAAAGGAGGATCAGACTTCGATCCCAAAGGCAAATCTGATCATGAGCTTCGCCGTTTTTGCGTGTCATTCATGCGCGAACTGAGCAAGTACATCGGTGCTGATACGGACGTGCCGGCAGGCGATATGGGCTGTACACGACGCGAAGTAGGGTGGATGTTCGGCGCGTTCAAGGCGGCAACTACAAGATGGGAGGGCTGCATCACGAACAAAGGCGATGCGTTTGGTGGAAGTCTGATGAAGCTTGAGGCAACTGGTTTTGGACTAGTTCATGTAAGTCAAGCATGAAAACCATTAGATTTACTCACTAACAGTACAATCGTAGTACGTGTCTTTGATGATCGAATACGCTTCCAGTACCACCGAATCTATGCTCGGAAAGAAGGTTGCGATCTCAGGCTCTGGCAATGTCGCACAGTACGCCGCCATCAAAGCCATTAATCTTGGTGCAGTCGTCCTTACTCTCTCCGACAGTAAAGGCTTGCTGAAAGCTGTGTCTGATGAAGGCTTTACAAAAGACGACGTAGCACTCATTGCCTCAATCAAGGGGAAACGTCTCCCGCTTTCCAATATCATGGCAATGGGACAGGGTCAGAGGTTCGAGTACCTCGAAGGCGAAAGACCCTGGAAACATGTGAAGGAAGTTGACATTGCGTTACCCTCTGCTACGCAGAATGAAATGTCCAAAGACGAAGCGGAAGCACTGATGTCTGCTGGCTGTCGCTTCATCGCCGAAGGCAGCAATATGGGCTGCGCGCAAGACGCTATTCAACTTTTCGAATCGCGCAGGGCAGATGATCCGAATGAACGTGTGTGGTTTGCTCCAGGTACTTTGGCAACATCATCTTCGGTCTCATCAATTCGCTGACCCCGTGAATAGGTAAAGGTGCCAACATTGGCGGCTCGGCAGTATCAGGGCTCGAGATGGTGCAAAACAGTCAGCGCCTCACCTGGCCGGCCGCACAGGTCGAGGCTGAACTGTATCGTATTGTCGAATCATGCTTTCACAGTGGTATCGAAGCTGCCAAAACTTATACCGACATGCGCGCGGAAGAGTTGCCAAGTCTCTTTGTAGGGAGTAACATTGCTGGCTTTGTCAAACTGGCGGATGCAATGCATGCCCAAGGAGATTGGTGGTAAGTCAAAGTATCAGGCATTCAATAATGAGTGACTACGAGAGTATTGCGAGATCATATTATTCATTACTAGAACATCGGCGAAAAGCGCTTGCAATGATTGACAAATCGTGATGCTAAGAAACCCAAGTCATCACCAGCTCGTAACGCAACGCTCCCTGTCGAACCCACCACGCAACTGCCGATCAGGCTTGACAACTTTCCCTTGCAAAATGGTGTATCGAACGATGTTTTCGCAATCTTCAGGCCGCACTCTCGCCAACCATATACACTGCTTTGCCTCTCTCAGTGGAATTGATGCAGCACCATCCGTACTATCTCTAGCTTGATGAGGAAGCACAGGTGTACGACGATACACAATGACGTTCGCGGCAAACTTATGCCCACCAAAATGACTGACAAAGTGGATACCAACGCCACCAGGCCTCTCGTCAAGCAAGTCGCGATATAGATCTTGTTGCCGCAGATGGCGCTCAAATTCTTTCTTCAGCAGCGGTGCGGATTGGCCGCACCGAGAATCGCGAGTCCGGTGACTACACAGCAAGATCAGGTAGTCGTGCGGACAGGAGCGTATCTTTAGCCCTGATTCTGGTGGTACGCTAAGCGAATTCAGCGGAAGCAGTGAAGAGGTATTGCACGGGCTGGGGTTGACGAGATGCGTGATGAAATCCTGTGTGCGAGATGGTGTGACGCAGTCAACGATGACGAAAGCGGGAAGAAGGAGGACGGAAGAAATCGGTTCGTCGCCACAACTGTCTTCGCCGCCGTAGTTAGGTATGGGGATGTTGGATGCGGAAAGCATAAAGTTCTACAAGATGATATTAGTCACTATCCCCGTGATTTAGGGTGGGCTTTGGTACCTTCTCGACCATATGACCGTGTGTCTTGGCTATCGCTTCGCCGATGCTGCCTTCTTCACCTTTTACGTATGTCAGTGGCAGTTTTCAAGATCGGTGATGGTCAGTGACTCACTCATGAAGTTGTTGATCCAGTTGGCTTTGCCAGTCGCAACGAGGAGATGTCTCTCCCAAGGCATGACTGTACCGTAAAGATGCTCGGTCTCGTTGATCCTGAACTTCTCCGGGTATGTGATGTCACATGAGGAACAGTCTTGAATGCACTCCAGTCCGTCTTTTGCCGGGTTGGTCGGCTCGAACAGTGGTGGTGGTTCACGGCTCACTTTCGGAAAAAGATTTGTCAAAAGACTCTCAATTGGTGCGACCTTTTGCGTCACTGGGGTGATGAGGAGGGGGAGTAAAGACGCCATGGCAAATGATATAATTGTGGAAGGTTTTCAAAAGAGGCAGTAACTCGTGAAATGAGAACTGTGATTGTGTAGCTATTCGAAAGACACTATTATACTTTCTTATACGTCTACCATCGAGAATGACAGGCTCGTGGAATAGACGCTTTGATCAGTGACATCATAGAGCTATCCGATGGAAGCATCGTAATACCTATTAGTATGCGAAATGGGTTCATCAAGATCGCCATCACGAAGAGTTCCGATCTCACTGAAGGTGAGCGATGCTTAGGATGTTGCACGTCAAAAGTCCTCTTGAGGTGACATCATTCTGCCTACGCAGTCCCAGATCAAAAGCCTTACCTTGACGGACATCGTAAGCTTGGGCTTCGATCGAGACTAGAACTTACGCTATTGGACATGGTGGTACGAAGCTCCACGCCACAGTGTACACATAAAACTGCTCACGATCAGCAATGGGCCAAAGATATGCAGGCAGGCTGATCGACATTCAGCCAAAGTGGTCCAAGTCTTCATTGGGAGATCCCCCGCCGCCCATGCTTAGCCAAGCTATGCAAGTCGTGATACCTAGGTACGTATCAAGGTTGCACCGAAACATCAGCATGCACCCGATGCATGGGGTGAAAGTGGGAAGCTTATCCTGCACTCGATCGAACCAAACCCTCCGATGTGCTGCAGGCGAGCTCCGGCGTTTGTCATGCGGGGAAACAGATTGTCTTACAGATAGGCGTCAGGGGCGTCAAAAGGATGTGGCGGGATATACGGGTTTAGCATGCACTCACCGGTTTCGTTCCATACCCGGGCGTTTATCCCCAGATTCTTTGGCCCAAGTTCGATGCGAATAGTATCATGATCTAATAGCGGATCTCGTTTTGAAGTATACGCATTAGAAACGGTCGGGGTTTACTCGCTGCCCAGACTTATGTAGCCCTCAAGATCCAAGTTCACCCCATAACTAGCTTCAGACGCATTCCGACATACGTGCTCATCGGTGATATCGATTTGATTGCAGAGAACTTGATAGTGCATGATGTGTCTCATAGGAGAATTTCTTCAACGTAAACACATGTTTGTTGGTATGCTACCTATGCCGTCTACATGCAAAGAAAAGCCAAGGAGAAAGTGACCTCCTAGTGGGTCGAAGCAATCTTAGCGAGTGAGGGTAGACGAGGAAAGCCAAAGAAATGACAAATTCAGCAGGAGAACACTTATTCGCCTAATGGGCCTTGTGTTCCGTTGGAATAACACCCGCTCTTGCGTACACTTCATCGTACTTACCCCGGACGAAGTCCTCAATCCTGATGGGCCCAAACTCTGGTCCTACGGCGGGGTCGTAGCACGACTTCTTAGCCTCAATCATGTAATCAGGGTTGCCCTGTGAATCGTCAGCGGCTGTTCTCACTTCTAGAATGTTCGTGCTTGAACTTACGTGGTACAAGTGCGCAATAGAGTGGCGGTCGGTACCAGAGAAGTTCAGTACGCGGTGGACATTCGAAAGGTACTTGCTATTGGTCCAGCGTTCGAGCAGATTGCCGAGGTTGACGACAAAGGCGCCTTCCGTCGGTGGCACGTCGATCCAGGACTCGGACGGCGCGTCCCAGACTTCGAGACCGGGATTACCATCTTGCAGGAGGAGAGTGACGAAGCCAAAGTCTTTGTGTTCTCCATGGCCCTTCTGGCCGATGTCGTCCATTCGAGGTGGCTTCGGGTAATGGTTCATCTTGAAGTAGGTGATGGGCCCTTCGGTGAAGTGCTTGATGAATTCGTTGGTCTCTTCGACGTTGCCGTCTACCGACATGGAGACAGCTCGGAGTACTTCAACACTGAGGAAGTTGAGTTGCTCAAGGTAGTCCATGCAGACGTCCTGGAAATCTTGTCCGAGGCTTTCGGGCCAGTAGTTCGGTCCGTGAGCGAACTTCCCAGCGACAACTTGCGGGTGGTCCCACGATAGCTCAGGGCCAACGTAGTAGCCCTCCTTCAGATCTGGCGCTGTATCTTCTTCCTTGTACTTCTGCGAAAGAAGAGTCTGGTAGCCCCGGTTGTGATCGTTCTGGCGCTGATCCAGCTTTGCCTTCTCCTCACGTGGCAGTGTGAAGAAATCAGCGGAAGCTTTCAGAATGGCCTTTTGCGTTTCGAGAGACACAGGATGGTTGATGATCTGGAAGAAGCCATGCTCGACGCAGGCTTCGTGAAGCTCGCTTAGGCAAAACTTCACCCGCTTCTCGTCTCCTGACAAGAAGTCACTGAAGTCGATCGTCTTGATGAGACTAGGGTCAGGCTTTCTGGCCCAAGTTTTGATGATGCCTTGGGCTGTTGGTTCAGCCGGAGAGGTCAAAACCTGAGTGTTGGCCATGTTGCTTGTAGGTTTGAACGAGATGGGGCAGTGGAGAATGAATGAAATACGTCAAAGCTTGTTTCTGATACACAGATACACCTCATGTTTACCTATGGATCATTCATGTTATATGAGAGCTCAGACAAGACTGTGACGTCAGTAGTAAGTTAATGTAAATACAATATGCGAGGGGATATCACGAACTGGATTGTTGCGAGCTGTGTGAAGCTCATGTGTCTCACTTCCACGTCATTCTGCACCGGTGAAGCGGTCCAGACTTGTGCCAGCGCTACCTACGGAGTCCAATCTCCGCATTTATTACCGAAGCAAAATGTGAAAGCGCTTCAATCTCATGCCTCCAATAGCATTCAGGCACGATGAGGCAGTCTGAGTGCTCATCGCGCGAGACGCTGATGATGCATGCTATCGACGATTCACAGTACCAGCTGATGCCATATCAACCCAGATGACGTTGTATACGCGTCGACTGCTGATGGAGAGTCGACACGTATGTACTCGATCTGCTCATAATACTCGATGTCGCTGGAGAGCACTACGCACCTTCTTCCAACCGATGTCCCCATGGGGAATGAATGCACAACAGATCCATGGTCGGGTCTGTCCGCAGTGACCTAGCTTGGGGCTGACGCATGCTTTACCTTCCTGCATCTCAGATCACTTGATTTGTGCTAATCCTGGTGAGTACGCCTGCATCGAGAGGTGCACGTTGGGCACTGCTTGGTTGACCTGGCGGTCACACCAGATCCTACGGGGCGGCCGAGTTGCTCATGTAGCAGCTTTATTCGTTTGGAAAATCTAGGCTCAATGCAAGCCAACAGTCATGTTGACATGCAAGGACCGGATGCAAGTGCTTATGGTCGTACTAGGTAGACGGTTTGGCGTTCCGTCTGCGAAGGTTTCACCACAACCGGTGGACACCTGGTTACACAAGCGTCTCCGGCGTCAAGCCTCACGACATTTGCGGAGAATCTCACCTGCATCGCTATCGAAGCTAGATTACCTCACAACTCTCAATCAGTGGGGAAATTGATCAGTGATCCCATACTGCGCCGTTGGACTCATTTAAACACGAGTTCACCAGATGTGCTTTTTCATCCATGAACAAGAAGCTTCACCAGCTTCAGCCTTCAACTATAACTCACTTCTGATCTAATCATCATTCATCATTAACCTCCTCCAACCATGGGTTCGATTGACACATTGGACTCCTCTGTCACGAGGGCCACGATGTGCAAGAAATGCACCAATGGCAACAAAGTCACTATCGACTTTCCAGATGAGAGCTTCACCTTCCACTCTCAGTGGCTCCGCGATGCTCGTTTCGACAACGGTGCAGCCCGAAATTTCGAGACTGCAATGTGCCAGCAACCAATCCAGCTGGCCCAAGTCGAAAAGGTCCGCACTTCAAGCTACGGCCTCAAGGAAACGCTTGACATCAGCTGGAAGGATGGCATCAACACTCAGATCCCACTTCCTTGGCTTCGCGTCATGGCTCCTCTTGTAGCTGCTCCAGCAGATGACCTCACCGCTACGCCAACCCAAGCTGAGGTCAAAGGTTGGACAGTCGACTGTCTGGATATTCCAGAGATATCCTACTCGAAACTGTTTGCTGGGGAGTCAGAGCCGAAGGATCTTGAGGAAACCACTCTTTCCATCATCGACAAGATCCTAGGCTCTTCCGCGCCTGGTATCGTGAAGATCGTGGATCTTCCTGCTCCAAACATGGAAGAAGAGCACAGCCACAAGAAGAATATCAACACCCAAGTCCTGAAGCGTCTTTTTGGTGCCGTCTTCGTCCACCCAATTCGCGGTGCCGATCAGACTTTCAACGTCTCGAGCCACTCCGGCGATGCCAATCGTAAGATTGGACTACCCAATTACGATACCACTCAGATCCTTCTGCCGCACACTGACCACGCCTTCTACGACAACCCCATTCAAGTCCAAGGGTTCTATGGTCTCGAAGGAACTAGTGAGAACACGTGGATCTCATCCCTCCAAGCGCTCGAGACGCTGCGCAGCGAAGACCCAGAGTCTTATCACCACCTATGCAACGCTCCTGTAGCATTCGGGCGAGTGTCCAAATTCTACGGTGAGCCGCTGTATCAAGCGACCACTGATACGGCTGTCACCATGCACCCAGGCTATTCGGATCGCGTGAAGCGCGTGCGCTGGCATCCGAACTTGACTGGCTACCTGTGTAGCCCATATGCCGACTACAAGGCCCATCGGCTCGCGCATCAGAAGTTCGAGGAGATCATGAGGCGTCCCAGCCACCAACTTAAGATAGTGCTGAAGCCGGGAGATCTGTATGTTTGGGACAATTTCCGGCTCATGCATGGCAGAGAAAAGGTTCTGACCACGCCGCGTACGGGTGTTGGCCAGACGGTGCCTGAGAATGTCGTTCATGACCGATACCGGGCGCTGTGCGTCAATATGCTCAAGGGGCATATTGATGGTGATTGGCTGTGTCATATGCCCATGCAGCAACTGCGAGAGCTCGTCAAGCTTTTCCAGGGTGGCCAGGAAGACATCGGGATGTGAGACTGCAGATGAAAGCTCGTAAGAAGGTTGTTGAGGTATGCCTCTTCGGTCTAGATTGCGGAGATGAATCAAGCCCGGGCTTCCACGTACCGTGGTTCTTTTGCATTTAGTAGACTGACCCACACATTCTTTCACAACCACAATGCAAAACGTCCTCATTTGCTCGTGATTCATGGTGGTAGTTCTGCGTCTTGATTGGTACTGATCATTGTCCATTCTGAGCGATAGCTCCGTGGCTGCCGACTGGGATACGTAGATAATCAAGAACGATGTCTTTTTGCTAGCATTATCCGAGATGAAATGCCTATCATTATAGCTTCAGGCGTTCCACACGGGCAGTTTTGAACAAAGGCCAGCGACGCAGGATATCTCACTGGTCTAGACTACATCTTTCTCGGGTCCAAATTGGGAGCGATCCTCGTGGGACGGTAATGTTGTACATGGAAATAGGCCATGCACATGCTGAAGCGTCAATCCGCCACGAAATATGCAGATAAAGCCTAAAGCGCGAACCGAGACTTTGATGAATGCCATGTAGAGGCTGTCAAGGTAAGCGTATACAAGGATGAGCCCGAGATCTCCCTTGTCAGACTGCCTTCGGGCGCTTGACTCAATATGAGCTTCTGGATTTGTGTTGTAACTCTGAGCAATGGATGTTTGCACTTCCTGCGGAAGATCGGTCAGGATTAACAATGGCGCTCTGACGAAAGTTGGTGGACTTAAGCGTATGCGAAAAGCAGACTGTTAATATTGGTGGCTGAGACATCGCATTGTACTACACGCATTGTCGTAGTACCTGCTCATGCAATGGACGTTCGGACCACAATTTCGTCCCAGGTGACTGGTCTAATTGCTGCAGTCGAGCCCAGCGCGTGGACAGTAGATGGCACGCCATCTGGTACCAACGTAGTTGCATGGGGCGAGAAGCGAAGCAAGATAAGAACACGACGCTAGTGGTGGGCCTGACCGTGTTACATGAACCTGTGGCGACGAGTCTAGAGTTCCTTTGTCTCGGTCGCGTAATCCTTGGAAAGTTCTGACATGCAGCATGCGGGGTAGCACAGGATGCGCCTGTGGCGATGTTAGAGACAGCAACAAGCAAGCTGGCTTGGTTCGTTGTTCCGCTGCCATTCTTCTTCGGGTTGAAGACTAACTCAACTAGGGCAAAGACATGAGAAATACGATTTGCTTGGCTTGCTTGACGTGCTTGCGACATTTCTGCACGGGTTCCGTCGACCCCGGGCCGCACCGCATAAAGCTTGCATGGACGCCATAGCTTGGCTTTTAGGAAAATATGCATTTCGAGAGCAAAGTGCATGTTACCAATGACCATACTACTCTTAGCCACATGCGAGTATGATCACTGTCGCACAACCACATTCGACCGTGAACCGCAATCTCATCGGTATGGTTAGTGCCGAGCTGTCAGATCGCTTGACAGTGAAGCGTACCGTACGTCGAACAGATTGAACGCCATCATTGCATAGGCGAGGAGTATCATCAGCACCTACCGCATTCTGCTGATTGTCATGTCCGTCCTATGCATGGAGAGGAGCTCCATAGTAGCCAGGGAATGTTTTCGAAAAGATTTAAAAAGGAGGCCTTGTGAACCTGTGGCAGCTCAAAAGTTCAACACACCAATACTTCATCATGAGTCCTGCCACTACCCACGCTATCGACTCTACGGTAGATGCCAACATTTTGACCTCGCGTTCTGAAGAGGTCGGGAAGGTTAGCAGACCAATCTGCACCTGTGTAGAGGAGATCTTACTGACATTGGCAGTTGTTGGACCAAGTCCAAGATCTGATCATCCCTTTCATTCGCTCAGCAGACAATCACAAGTCTCACAATGACCTTCCGAATGGTCACTCCAACGGAGTGAACAAGAAGGGGTTGCGCAAAGCATTAGTCGAGCAGCATAGCCCGGAGGAACTGCAGAGGCTTATGGCATTGAGCTTTCCCACTGCTGGACTTCTTGAGGAGGGCTTCTTGGAGGAAGTCGACAAAGTCCTTCGCTACTCTGTGAATACCTGGGATGCTGGTTTCATGAGCAAGCTCTACGGCTCCACCGACGCACCCGGTCTAGCAGCTGAAGTAGTGTTGGCCTCTCTCAATACCCAAGTCCACACCTTCCAGGTATCGCCTGCACTGGCCGTCATCGAGAAGTTCACCGCACGCGCTCTCGCGAACCTTTTCGGACTCAATGGGGCTTTCGCAGGCGGCGTGACCACCTCGGGAGGATCAGGCTCTAATGCGACTGCTATGCTAGTAGCCCGTCATACTCTGTTCCCGGAGACAAAGCAGCTGGGCAACAGCGCTGGTGGGCTTCGACTTGCCGCTTTCACTTCGGCCAACGGACATTACAGCATCGAAAAGGCTGGGTTGATGCTTGGCCTCGGCACATCGTCAGTGTTTGCAGTGCCTGCCGATCCAACCACGCGTAGTATGGATCCATTAGCGCTTCGGTCTTGTATTGAGAAAGCTATCTCCGAAGGATATACCCCGTTCTTCCTGAATGCCACAGCTGGTACAACTGTATTCGGTGCTTACGACAATCTCCGCCCACTCCATGCTATCTGCAAGGACTTCGGGATGTGGCTTCATGTCGATGCCTCCCTGGGTGGACCCGCTATCTTCAGCGCGAAGCACAAGTACAAGCTGGACGGGAGTCATTTGGCCGACTCCATCACCATCAATCCACACAAGATGATGGGTGTTCCCGCAACTTGTTCCTTCGTGCTCAGCGCGGACATACGTCAATTCCACACCAGCAACACACTACCCGCGAGCTATCTGTTCCATAGTGCCGATAGCTCGGAGGAAGTGTTTGACTTGGCTGATCTCACCATGCAATGTGGGAGGCGTGGCGATGCGTTGAAGATGTACCTCAGCTGGATCTATCATGGCTACGAGGGCTATGCCAAGCAGGTTAACGCAGTCTTCAGTACCGCTGCATATCTTGCAAGTAGTATCCGTGTACGAACTGTTGTGAGAAACTTACTGACTTCGTATATCGATCTCTAGGCAAGGCTCGTAGAAGATCATCCAAACCTGGTATTGATCAGCCCAAACCCACCACCTTGTTGCCAAGTGTGCTTCTACTATGCGGAAGGGGGACGACTGAGCGAGGATGCCGGTCGCAATGAGGAAGTTACGAAGCAAATAGCGGCGAAGCTCGTGCATCGGGGGTTCATGGTTGATTATGCTGGCGGAGATACCCGTGGCGCGTTCCTGCGACCAGTCGTGAGCAGAGGAACTGGCATTCAGAGAGTGGAAGAGCTGATCGAGATCGTGGATCAGATTGGGTCCATGATCTGGGATAGCAACGTAGAGCCCATCATGGAGTACTCGACGGGTTCAGAGGCTTCACTCTAGCGCTGTAGTACTACTACCACTACTTCGTTTCTAGTTCGAACTGATGATAGCGCACAATACCACTCGTTTGCCACAAGCTTCATCTGCGGTCTGAGGTCAGCTGGATGTCCAACCATCAAGGAATGAGCTAGCCAGCGAATCAATGCCACTTGAGATGGAAACATGCGTACCCTAATGCGCATGCATGGACCATTTCCGCATGTAGCATGCCACCGCGAAGGAGGCATTCGGCTACAGGGCAATGCGGAATATGATAACAGTCTGTAGTGGTCCAGAAACAGGGGTACAGAGATCATGGTGACAAAGGCGTCACAGGCGTGTGGCAGTTGCTTACCCACAACATTACCATTGGTGTAGAAAAGGGGTCTGATCCGTGACAACGCCTCCGAACTCGGGGTACGGGTGGCAGAAGCTGCATATGGGCAAGTAGATTAAATGAAGGGCGTAAATGTAAACGCCATGTTGTCTAGATGCAAATGCGTGCTTAGATTTCGATGTAACGTCGTAGAAATATGGGTGATCAACAGGTCCGCGCGAGATATGCAGTTGGACGAGGTGCAGCGGCAGGGTCCGCGGGAAGGGTTAGTGCGGTCTTAGTGCGGGGCGATCGCCGATATGTGCACGAAACCATGCGCCAATCTCTCTACACGCCTCGCTTCCGTATCCTTCACGCTGTAAACGCTACGCCTGTCTTCTTTGGGCGATGACTGTGCCTCTTCCTTTGTTCTGGTCGTTGTTGTGCGACAATAGGCACCCGTTACGATGACGTGCGATGTCTGTGCGCGAAATCGCACGTTCACCGTGCCCCCCAACACTGAGGTTCGTTTGCGTTGCATCTTTTTATTTTGTCCTTCCAAACTGTGACGAAGATGCCCAGCGCACATCGTCTCGCTCACTCTCATCGTTATGGAGTCTAAACCACCTCTACCTATCTCAGCGGACTCGTATGTCTCGACTCACAGCACTGCCCTTGAAATAGCTAGTTCACAGGCTTTGGTCGGCGATGAAAACCCGCTCAACTGGTCGGCAATGCGCAAATGGCCCTTGTCCATCATCGTGATTATGATGTCAGCAACGATGGGCTACTACTCCGGTGTGCATGCTGCCTCTATCCAGGCGGTCGCAGATTTCTACGGATGTTCGGTACTCGCGTCCACGTCTGCAGTGTCATTCTTTCTGCTCGGATTTGCCATTGGACCTCTTTTCTTCGCACCGTTGTCTGAAATGCTGGGAAGGAATCCGATTCTTAGAGTCGCGTTTGGACTCTTTGTTATATCCAATATCGGAGATGCGCTAGCGCCTAACATCGAGACACTGTTGTTCTTCCGCTTCCTGGGGGGCCTCTTGGGAGCGCCGACAGGTACGGAATCAAATACAGGGAAAGGATACTCATATTGTGCTAAGATTTTGCAGTCACTAACACGGCAGGGTCCCTCACTGACATGTGGGCTCCTCACGAACGAGCTGTTCCACTTGCTCTGTTCACCGCAGCAAGTTTCCTGGGTTTCGTCATCGGTCCAATCTGCGGCGGACCGATAACGCAGTACGCGTCGTGGCAATGGTAAATAAATCCTCCTTCTACCAACTGTGCCGAAACGGCGTCTAACAGTACCTTAAGGGGCTATTGGACTTCCATGATCCTCGGCGGCATAACCTACATCTGCGCCCTCCTTTTTCTCCCAGAAACATACGCCCCACAACTGGTCCGCGCGAAGCAAATCAAAGCTGGTAGCGACCTCTCCAACGTTGACTGGAAGAAACGCGCGCGCGATAACCTGGTTCGTCCATGGGTTATGCTCTTCACCGAGCCCATCGTTTGGGCCTTGTCAACGTACATGGCATTCCTATACGGGATCATGTGTCTCGTACTCGTCGCCTATCCCATCGTCTACAAAGAATATCGAGGCTGGTCAACTGCCAAGATGAGCATTGGATACACAGGGCTGGCAGTGGGAATGGCTCTTCCAACAATCCTATCGCCTCTGCTGAACCGCGCTCATACACATTTTGTACGCAAACTCGGTCCGCAGCCCGAAGCACGCTTTCCACTTCAGATAGCCTTCACGTGGCTCACGCCCATCGGCCTTTTCTGGTTTGCGTGGACAGCGACAGCGCCTATACCGGCTGTTGTGCCCATCTTGGCTGGGGTTCCGCTTGGTATCGGTCTTCTGACGGCTTTTCTGGATATCGCAGCGTACCTTACTGATTGTTATGGTATATACGGGGCAAGTGCCCTTGCTGCAAATGGACTTCTGTGTCGACTCTTTGGCGCAGCATTTCCGCTCTTCTCGAAACGGTTGTATGAGAGCTTGGGTGTGCCGTGGGGAACTAGTCTGTTGGCTTTCGTCGCCACGGCTATGGCGCCTATCCCGTGGATCTTCTATCGCTATGGGCCGGCGATCAGAAAGAAGAGCGCATACCATCAAGCCGCAATGGGTCGTATATAGAATGCGATACGCGTTTCGTTGTGTTACATTTTGGAGACTGGAGAAGCATTGCGACCAAAACGTTTGAGGATCCTATGGCTTTTCTATGTTGCCTGTATCGTAGTCACTGATTGAACAATGCGAATGAACTGAGAACTGATGAACGCGACGGACCGTGTTGCTACACATAATGTGGTCCGTGCTCAAGCGCGTCGAAAGCCTCCAACCGCGCTCCGGCCAGGACGATTCCCTTTCTAGGACGCTTGCTCCCTCGTCACAACACTCCCATCCGCTCGTCACCAGAGAAAGCCTTTTAATTTCCTCAGGGACAACTTGCCCTCACCATGAAGTATCAACGCACACAATAGCTGGGCCTCATTCGAGCCTGTACTGCTCGACTCCAACGCGCACCTGATGCCACCAGCCTGGCAGAAGCGCCCTGTCCGAGCTTGTAACGTCCAACCTCGTACCGTTCGACCCCTACGACCTGTCTGGTTAAGATAATGGCCAAATCCATTGAGCACGCGAAGGCACCAAGTGCACAAACGGCCTCGGAAGTTCGTCAAGGTCACGATTGTCCCGAAGCCATTTCTTGCGCATCTTCTCCGTACAACACTGTTGACCAATTAACCATGATAGCGTATCGTCCTGGGCTTCGTCGCAGCCAATACCACCCAATAGAGTAGTTGCGGTTCCTTTCCATCGCCAGCGGCGTCCTGCTTCCTTCGAACCCTTACCACCGAGACCCCCGACAGCAGAAATGTTATCCTCCACAGAACGAATACCGCTTTCGCACCACGATAGGTGGAACGACAGACATGAGGGCATCTTTCGTATATAAGAATAGGGCAGAGACATGATACATCGGTCGTGATCAGACTGTGGGTCATGGTAATTCTATGTCTGCACACCATAGTTGGACATGTAGGCATCCTACATATTTCAACCACTCACTGTGCGGAGGTTATGATGCTGTCTGGTATCTGCCTTGACCTTTACTTTGTATACTCAATATGTCTTCGTTACAGCTACAAGTTGCGGACAGTTTTGCTGCTGCCGTTGCCGCTCAAACGTGGAAGCGGCGGCCCACGTGCTGCCGTGGACCCTGATTTTCACGCCGTTACTGTTATCCCCGCAAACGCCTCTCGCGACATCTAAAACACATAGCCTGAGTTCTAGATGCAGGCTATCAGTATACATTCTTCTCTGACTACCCATAGTGGTCTGATCCGACGGGTAAACTAACGTAGTTTGTACGCACTACTACTGAAGCAGCGGATCTGGGGGCCTAGGCTCCTCTTGAACGAATGGCACAAGCGCCAGGCGCGCATTAGACTCAGTGATTTCCACTTACACCTACCTAAACCTGCTAGTATATTGTAGTGCTTATCTGTCGTTTAGTCAGGGCGCAATGCTTAGTATTATTATGAAGTGGCCGTAGACGCCTGCGCAGCCTCAAGCTTTTCATCTCTCAACATCCACCATCTTTCTTCTAACAATGCCAGGCAGAGATCACACCGCCGAGGCCGAGATCTTCGACTTCATTTTGGTAGGAGCTGGATCAGCGGCATGCTTGATCGCGTCACGTCTCTCGCAACGGCTGCCCGATCGCCGAATCCTCGTTCTGGAAGCCGGGGAACATGTCCGGGATGACGCTATAGTCCAAACGCCCGGTCTGTCGGCGAGGCTGATGTCATCTGACTACGATTGGAAATACATCTCGGCACCGGAGCCGGGCCTAAACAACAGGAGGGTGAAGCATCCGAGAGGGAAGTTGGTGGGTGGAACCAGTGCGATTAATAGTCACAGTGTGGTGTTTCCCAATCACGAGTGGCACGATCGTGTTGCGAGCGAGCTTCTGTCAGATGCAGGAAAAGAAGAATGGAGCGCAAAGGGCATGGGAGACTGCTACAGCCGATGGCAGGCAAAACACCCCGAGTCTAAAGTGGACGATGATACAGGATCTCTGGATGGTATACAGACATCATACCCGCGTACCATGGACTATCTCCAATCTCGCTGGACGAAGGCCTTTGAGGAGCTTGGCCATCCAACGGGCACTACGGGATTTGCCGAGAGCTCTGCCGGCGCAGTCACTGTCACCAATGCGATCGATTCATCAAAAGGCGAGCGAAGCCATGCAGGCCAAGCATTCCTAGAGCCCGCCTTGAAACGGGGCAATGTGACAACGAGAACTGGCATAAAGGTCAATAAAATTGCTTTCGACGAGGCATTGACCGCCGAAGGCAAACTCAGTGCCACGGGCATTCACTTCACATATGAAGGCAGGGAATATATGATCGGTGGTCGAGAGATCATTCTCTGCGCAGGCGTGTTCGAGTCTCCTGCGTTATTGGAACGATCAGGTATTGGGTCCAAAGAGGTTCTTGCGGCCGCGAATGTCCCGCTCCTTTACGAGCTTCCAGGTGTCGGCGAAAACTTGCAGGATCATCTGAACTGCGGTCTATCAATCGAAGCTGGAGAAGACACTCCGACTCGTGACGACGGGTTGCGGGATCCTATGGTGCAGAGGGCTGCATTGGAGGAGTATGGAAAAAGCCGCACGGGTCGACTGGCGGAAGGAGGAGCATACAGTTTCGCTTTCACACCGCTGCAGTTACTTGAAACTCCAGAAGAGACGCAGGAGCTCACTCAAATGGTTAAGCATTCGGTGGAAGCAGAGAATAACCCGAACCTGAAAGCTCAGTATTCCGTCATCCAAAAGGCCGTCGAAAGCCCTAGCGAAGCGACAGCTACCACATTCATGCTTCGTTCACAACGTCACAGGGACCTTGAATCGATGCCTCCAAACACGCCATCTGTGGTAGATGGCAACTACATAACCGTTGTTGCCATGTTGGCGCACCCCTTCTCGCGCGGAAGCTGTCATATCTCCCCTGATCTTTCGTTTCACCCAGAGATCAAGTTCAACTACCTTACCCATCCTCTTGACAGGGAAATCTTCGCTCGCCACCTCCGTCTCATTGAGAGGCTTTTCCAGAAGCCTACCTTTACCTCCATGGCAAAACCGAATGGAAGACGGTTGCCGCGAAGCTTTCCCCACCCGGTAACATCGCTTGAAGATGCGAAGGGGATTCTTCCTATCAATTCAGCAACGAACTATCATCCTTCCAGTACTTGTTCGATGATGAGGGAAGATCTAGGGGGCGTTGTTGACGAAAGGCTGAAAGTATACGGAACGAAGAATGTGAGGGTTTGCGATGCTAGCGTTTTACCGATTATACCACGAGGAAACATTTTGACCGCTGTCTACGCTTTCGCTGAGAAAGCGGTCGAGATCATATGTGCGGAAGCGAAATTGGGTTCTTCAGCACCCTAAGGTATTCGCTCTTGGGTCAAGCATTTGGCTTGTCTACGACCATAGCTCGAAATTTCAAGCACCACTGCCGTGCGTCAAGAATCAAAACATTTTCGGACACAAAGTAGTTATGGATTTTCTAAGCGCGTTTCTTGATAATATCCGCCGCCTTCTCCGCAATCGCGTACATAGTGGCCTGTAGATGTGTCGCAGGAATCATTGGAATGATACTTGCATCCACGACACTCAACCCCTTTACACCATACACTAACAACTCATCGCTAACACATCCACCAAGCTCCTCGGGCATCATACTGCACCCACCACTCGGATGCGCAAACGTCGGTTGCAGCGAGCCGGATGCAACACCGCCCTGAATGATCTCCTCATCAGTCTGGTACTGAGGGCCAGGAGCTGTCTCCACAGGCTTGTATTGGGCGAGTTCCTTCGATGCCCAGTGTGCGCGATTGTATCGTGTAAGGGCTACCATGACGTCTGCATCAACGGGATTCTGGAACGTGTTCCATTGGACGATCGGATAGGCGGCAGGATGCGTATTGTTGAGTGTGATAGTGCCTCGTGAGAGTGGCTTATTGTTCGCGATACCAGAGAAACCCCATGGCTGAATGACAAGCTCGCCTACAGCGGCGTCGGTGCCCAAGAACTGCTTCACGAGGATATCGCGCTGCTTTGTGAAGCCGGCGAGGAGCTTCTTGTCCTTTGCGTAGCGTTCAGGGAGGAAGTTAGAAGCTAATTGAGATCGAATTTTAGCGACAGTCTTCTTGAAAGCGGTATCGAAGTGTTGCAGTGCGATGAAGACGAGGCCGTTGGCTTTGCCGACAGAGTAAGGGCCGGTACGCGATTTCAAGTACTGATCGTAGGCTGTTTGATTGAAGGCTGAATCTGTGCTGAGGGCGTTCATGTTCTCCGGGTTTAGATTTTGGAGGTCAAAGTTCATATAGTTGGCGATGTGGTCTTGAAAGTTTGAACCTACGGCTGGGAGATCCTAGGAAATGTTAGAACATGCCTCAGGAAGTATCACGACTATGCTTACCTTCTTTACGGTGATACCGGCAGCTGTCAGAACGTCCTTTGGACCAACACCAGAGTACATGAGCAAGTGTGGTGTAAATACGCCACCAGCAGCAAGAATGACTTCTTTCGCGGCGATAGCTTCAACCTGCTCATTCGTGTCTTTTGGTGTGTATTTGACACCAGTAGCGGTCAGAGCGCCTACTCTGTTTTTCGTGAAAGTGATCTTGTCGACATGAGTGTTTGTCAACAGCTTCAGGTTCTTCCTTGATACGATGGGATCGTAGTATGCAGTGCGCGAGGTACTGCGCATAGCCGTCGCCTTGTTGATTGAGTTTGGTGACCAGTAGTGACCGACAGGCTCCGCGAAGCCCTCCTGTGGATGCGGTATGTCGACATGATCCCACGAATGATAGATAGTCTTCATATCGGGGAACTGGTAGTCTGGTATTGACACTCTCAATGGGCCATTACCGTAAGCCTTGACATCATAGGTAATTCCAAAGGCCTTGGTTGTATTCTCCGAAGGCGCATCGAAGTCGTTGCTCTTCATGAAATATGGTTTCAACCCCTTCCAATCCCATCCTTTGTTTCCGAGCTGGCCCCACGCGTCGTAATCAGCATCGGCACCTCTGTCGAATTGCATTCCATTCACGTACGACCCGCCACCGACGACGTTACCGACTGTTACTAGGAAAGTTTGGTTGCCAAGATTTCGAACGGGTGCGCTGTAGATGTCGTACATAGCAGCGAGGTTGAGACCTCCCGAGTTGCCGGGGATGCTGGATAAGGTACCATTGTTGAGGGCGCCGTTTTCGATGACCAAGACCGTCTCTGTAGATAATGGTCAATTTCATTACCCGAAGCAATTCTGTACTTAGCGGTGCTTACTCTCAGGGTCTTCGCTTAACCTATTCGCAACAACTAAGCCTGTGGTACCTCCTCCAACAATGACATAATCGTATGTGGTTTGGGCTGATGCGGCTGCCAACACCGCTGCACCAAAAAAGGAAGGAACGATGAATGAATGCATGTCGAATTGAGTATGAGGTGAACGAAAGATACCAAAGAACTACGTCGCTTGCTGACCCGTACGGATCACGGCTGACTATGAAACTGAACGATTGACGGCGTGCAGAAGAAACCACGAGGCCTTCCTAGCAGCAATTTAAAGGCTCCCATCGCACCGGCCGCTGCTAAGAGATCATCGTGCGTGGTAAGGTCTGGACGTGTGGGTCCCTGGCTTCCATCATTTTTCGGACGCATGTTCATCTGCCGGCCTTAAGGTGGGAGTCCGAGGATGGCGAAGGACCTGCGCCTTCGAGCGATAGATTGAGGCAAAAGGCCGGGTCAACAGATGGCGTGTGTCAAACATCGGAGGGAATCTGCCGGAGAGAATGCTGATGTGTAATCGAAGAGACGGCACATTACTAGTCATGACCATCAATGCCATGAAGGACGGGACGCGGTGCCAATCCCGTGGAAATAACCTTGGAAGGGTACGCGGGGCGCCTGTCAGGCCCGTTTCCACGCGCAACCGGCAACGGAAACTACGAAACGGTCCGGCTGGTGGATCTCGACTTTACCACCATGTAATCCATCGATAGTGACGGCGATGGGTATCGTGTTCTCCTTCAAAGAAGGTCTTCTTCGCAGCTGCGTCGCCAGAATGCTGCCCAGTCTTAGCTTGCCAGTCGGGGAGTTCGCTGCACGCTCAATTGGGTATAGCGCATCTGACATCGTGCCCACCCACCCACGCGGAGCCAAATGCCGTCCCAGAACTCCAACCGAGCCGCCTCGCCAGGGGCGGGACGCAAGCCCGCGTGGATACTCGAAGACACTGCTTACCAGAAACACCCACGTCCATGAGCTCCAGTACCAGTCATTCAGTGAAGGAATGCATTTCGCTTCCAGGCCCGAGCCCAGCGAGGTAAACACTACACTTCTCTGGTGGCACGTAGAGCTTCAACACTCAATCACGGCAGTATCCTCTTCTTCCGAGGATAAAGACTAGAACGTATGGCCTTCGTTGTGTCACCTTAATAGGTTAACTCGCCGTCTGCAGGATTCAGCCACACCCTTGGAACGGCAATTGAGCGATGCGACGGCTTCGCTAAGACAACAGTCGCATGAGCACAGACATCTCGAAATGTCAAAGATTGACATACACTCCAAGATGCAGATACACATGTGCATCCTTAGCGTCCTCGATCCATGTAATCCCCGTCCGTTTCTGGGGTCGTTCTGCAAATAAGAGCATGCATTGAAGAGCCGCGGATGAGAGTGTGCCGGCACTGTGGGATGGAGGGAGCGATACTGTCGGCAATGTCCTTACACAGAAGTGTTGCAGGGTAATTGAAACGTAAAGCTGCGTGGGATTGAGTGGCTGGAGGCCTCGTTCGGAAACGATCAGGAGTCGGTTCCTACATGCAAGCCCTCGCAGGAGACTTTCTTCCTATAGGATCTCAGACGACTGGGTTGGTTGTTATCTTACGGCCTGGCCTCGTACAGGTTAGATATGCACTCCCGGCTACCTGTTTCCACCTCCTGAAAACACCTAGTCATCACTGCTTTATGAACTTCTCGCAGTTCCTTATTTACAAAGAAGTCTACACCCCTTCGCAATGGTCGATCCAAACTCGACTGGAGAATGGCCCAATCGAGGAGGAGAGCTCATAGTAACTTGCTCGATCATGGCAACACTCTGCACATTAGTGGCAGGTTGGCGCATCGTCGTTCGGTTCCAGATGAGGCCGTGGCTTGGGCTAAGTGACTGGCTCATGATAGGAGGTGTTGTATGTTGGAAGCTTGTTAGCGCGGTAACATAACGCTGACTATGTACAGATACTCAACTTCGTAGCGTGCGTCCCGTATGCCGCCCTCGCTGCAAAAGCTGGTCAAGGCCGCTTGATGGCGGATCCATGGTGGACTGTCCCCGGGAATACATCCAAAGAGCTACACTTAATCTTTATTACGCAGTGTCTAAACGTCTACGCCATGTTCTTGGTCAAGGCCTCGATTTGCGCATACCTCATGGCTCTGGACTTTGGGCGCAGCTACCGAGTTCTCATATGGGTATCCGTCGTCATCGTGGTACTTTGCAACTTCGTCATGATGTTGATACTGCACTTTGCATACTGCCGACCGTACTACTCTCGATGGGACTTCTCAGTACAAGGGGAGTGCTGGCCAGAGGCAGTGAGTGACGCCACGGCGTATGTACAGATTGCTTCGAACGTCTTTACAGATCTGGTAAGTAATCTGAATGCTTCTTCCGCATGCACAGACTGATGCGCTGTAGATCTATGCTGCTGCGCCGATCGTATATATGAGGCACGTGCAGCTCAGCAAGCAGACGCAATGGGGTGTCAGAATCGTATTCCTCCTGGCCCTCGTGTAAGTATCTCCTATAGTGTTCCCGGTTACCATCGCTTACGTACAAAAGTGGAACTGGCCTCTCGATCGCGAAACTCTTCGTCACGATGAAATTCTTTCGATCTCAGGAGATGATGTGGGACGCCATCGATCTCAGTATCTGTAGCATCAACGAAGTTTGCGTCGGTATCATTATTGCGAACCTGCCACCATTACGAAGGACTATACTCGGCCTCTTCTCAAGATTCCTTCCTTCGAACTACGCTACCAGCCTCGGTGTTTCGCGGAGGAATACCAGCCAGTTCCACCCAACATCCTCGCACTATACTTCCAAGCTGCGCACCAAGCTGGATAATGAGGGCGATGATGAGAGCGAGCGACATATATTGGAACTCGAAGACAGGATACAATGCGCAGGGATTATGAAGACGACGCACGTGAGCATTCGCGAGGGCGATGCGCAGTCACAGAGGACGCTGTCGCTCAAGCACAATTTTTGATGTTCTGCGTTCTCTTTTGTCGCGCATTCGCAGTACTTGATGCAGCACTTTTCTTGGTGTTCTTCATAGGTTATATTGATAACTAAATTTGTATGTGTTGATACGTACGTATCCAGGTACTGTACGGAGCCGACACCTGAAACCCACCTGGACAGGCTCTAGATGAGGAGCTCTCTTCTTCAAACTACGTTCTGCGTGAACACACCCTATTTTTATGAGCTTCGCGTGGATTGTACGCACATTTGGTTAGATCTCACAAGCTTCCGCTTCCATATGAGCCTCGATCCTTGCCGTACCGCGAACCCAGCCTTCGCATCTCCATCCACTAATCACGCACTCAACCACCCATTGGATTATAGTCATGCACACGCAGCCGAACAAACGGTAGGCATACAGCTGACAGGGCCCTTCTTCGATCGCTACAGCGCTAGGCTCCGGTACCAGTGAGGGGAGTTCATGTCGCGCCCAGCGCGCACTTGTGTTATTCAAAGGATGTGCAGACAAGAAATGATACGTCGCTAAACCTCATGGTATTTACACGGATATTCTGGGGCGAAGTATTCCGCACGCTTCAAGTTTCAGATGAGATACACGGTCCGTTCTTTCACCTCAGCTGTCAGCCACTTGGAGATCTCGACCCGCCCCACGCCAATCCGCTCGGATACACGCCGCACGTCTGTCTTAACGATCAGGCAGTTCACATATAAGGGCCCTTCTTGTTCTTCCCGATAGAACTCCTGCGTAAGACCCACCACTTCGATCGTGAATGCCTCGTGGTCATTGTAGGTCAAGAAGAGTGGCCGAAAGTCGCTGTGTTCCAAATCTTCACGAGATGATAATGACCCCTCCAGATCTGGGAGATTCGCAACATAAGTATCCAATACGAGAAGCTTGTCCAAATCACTCGCTAAAAGCTGCCGTGTATCAAAGCCGGATGCGTCGCTTTTGTGATCATTTCTTAGCGATAGGATGTCGATCTCGCACAAGGGGTATAAATCAATATTGGGCCCGCGGTCATGAAACTTCTGGTAACTCTTTCCTTGAGCGTGTGGTCGCCTCCAACCTAACCAGCACCAACTTGGGTAGTCGGGCCTTCGCTCCAATCCTTCACTCTCGAAGTCAAGACCGTCCAGCATGCGGCTGATAGGTGTGGCCCAGAAGAACTGTGTGCCGTTCTGCTCAAGCCATGCTATGACACCTCTGCATGCATTGAGAGCATCGGAATCGTATGTAAGCTCAAGCTTGCAGAAGCATTCTACAAAGGACAAGAAGTCGAAATTATCTCGGCTCGCTGGCAAAGACATCCGAATCGAAGCTTTTGCCTTCCAGATACGCCGCCCGCTGTAGTCGAAGTTGATGCTCTCGTCGTTCCACCCCCGATTACACTGGAAAACTACTCGATCGTTCAGGAAGATCAGACACCTTCTGGAGAATATGTGTTCCTGGAATGTCCAGCCACGCTGAGTCCAGCGTGCGTTCTCCAACGCAGCTCCTGGTGGTGTCAAAGCTTCAATCAGAGCCGTGCCTCTGATAGACATTCGTTGTTGCGACATAGGACGCGCTATCGACACACCGCTAAGGCCTGTCCACGATGAATTGGCACAAGCGGCTACGATGGTCATGACAGCCGCGTCATAAATCTCCGTCATTTTGTCCAAATGTCGTGGGAGATCCGGCGCATCTTGAATCAAGCAGAGAGCGTCGACCCAGAGGTACTGAATGCCGCATTTGATACAAACTCTGATGGCGTCCTTGATCGTTGTTGGCACCTGTTTCCACCGTTTCCTCAATGCGTTGGGCTTTGACATCGTTTTGACGTTTCTTTGGAGCAACTTCAGTTGTGTTAGGTGGGATGGGCCCCAGACATAGCTCAGGGCAGTGTACTCTGTTGGTAACAGCTTTACGTTCAAGCACATTGCCTTCACGTCTATCAGCCGAATTGTTTCCAATGTGTATGTCTCGAAGCGGCCCCTCCTACAATCGAAGTGAGACCCACAATCTCTTACCCACGATGATAACTCTGTGAAGTTACAGTACGGCTTGAGAAGCTTGCCTCCACATTCGTAATATGTACATGATTCTGGCAACACAGCGATCCATCCGCGGACAGAAGCCCCTTCGTCATAATCAGAGAAAGGGCTATAATGTGATGCTTCGGCGGATTGTCGATCGATTATTCGCAGATACAGAACACCGTGGTGCTTGTCCAACTGACCCTTGTTGAACTGAACAACGAGGTCTTTTTCTGAGTCCGAGGTACCCCCTTCTTTGATCTGACCTCGGGCAACAAGCAGAGCCACAAAGAAGCTACACATTGGGCAAGTCGTCGCAAGTCTGAGTGTCTCTAGGGAGCGGATATCCCAGAGCTGGTATTTTGAATCGTCTTTGATGACTCCATACACATAAGCAGGATATTCTTTACCACGAAACACGGCTGTACAGTTCCATTGTGCGCAGAGCTCGCATAGTCCACATATTTCCGCTGATTTCGGTATTTCGGCTTTGTCCTTGGATGTTAGATGCAGAAGCTTGTTCAGCCATGCGTTAATGGTGCGCATCTTCAGAAGTCTTCGATAGAGGCGCTAGAATCCGAGAAACTTAGGTAGCAGTCGGACGGGTCGGGCATGGGTAATCCGCGAGCAATGTTGGAAGAGTTACGGAGATGCTTGGTAGGCAACAAGAATCGCGCGCCTGCCTCAGTAAGAAGATGCTGTGTGGCTGGCTGAGTCAACCCGCCTCAAGCAAAAGCGTTCCAGGCCCACGCGAAGCCAGCCTCCTCATGACCAATTGGCTGACCACGCAGCAAGAGTTCGGCCAGCATCGACAGGTTTTAAGGTTGTCACAAACAGACAAATCATGCGCAATTCAACTTCGCGAAGCCAGGCGAACGCGAATCATACGTCTACCAGGATCCTTCCCCATTTTCCACGCGGTCGGATCTCCTCCGCAAAACAGCACCAAGGACGCAGGCATTTATTTTCCCGGGGCCGATTGGTGGAAATGGCCCAGCACAAACGTTGCAAGCTACCCCGGACGATCTACTCTACCGCATCGACCATCAGCGCCGAAAAGGAAATTATGGGGTAAAATTCCGGAGGACCGTCATCTAGAAAGTAGGTCATGTAGGGATGGAGCAGATCAGTTCATGGGTATATAAGTAATAAGCATCCTTCATTAAAACCAGCAGGCAAACCATCAGGGCGAGATTTGTCATTACATTCCAATTCTATTCATCTCACAGAAGCACATTCAAACAGCATCAACATGCATCTCCCAACAACCCTCACCTACATCACCCTCCTCGCCTCATCCTCCGCCCTACCCTCCCCCAAACTCAAACCCAGCGCCCAAAAACCACCTTACTTCCTCCTCGCCGGTGACTCAACAACGGCCGTACAATCCGCCGGCGGCGGCGGCTGGGGCACAGGTTTCTTAACAACCACCCTCACCAAAGGCGCTTCAGGCACAAACTACGGCCACAATGGCGCAACAACCGTGTCCTTCCGCCAAGGCGGCGACTGGGCCACCGTGCTATCCTCCGCGAAAAACGTCTCAAGCAAATACACGCCCTACGTCACCATCCAATTCGGGCACAACGACCAGAAACCCGATAAGAACATTAGCGCCGCAGATCTCACAAACAATCTGATTGCGTATGTAAACGAAGTACGGGACGTAGGCGCAACACCCATCCTCGTTACATCCTTGAGCCGGCGCAATTACGATGCCGATGGGAAGATTAAACTAAACCTTGCGGATGTGGTGGCTGCGACGAAAGAAGCGGCGAGTAAGAGCGGAGCCGATATCATCGATTTGAACGCGGCGAGTACGGCGTATTTGAATGCGATTGGCGCGGAGAAAGCGCATACATATAACCTCAAGGCGGACGATAACACGCATTTGAATGCAGAGGGGAGTGTGGTGTTTGGAAACTTGGTAGCGATGTTGCTGGATGATGCTGTGAAGAGTGTGAAGAAGTACGTCAAGCCTGTACCGAGTGTGCAGATGGCGCTACAGAAGGGTGTTTATATTTTCCCTGTTGTTTAGGGAGGGTAGGATAGTCTTTGCTATCATCGTGTAGCAGTGCAGGATTAAAGCACAAAGCCTCACTTCCAAGAAGAGTAGCTATCTCATGTGTCTGATGTGATTTGCGCCAAGTTTCGCATGACAGACTGAATGATGCTAGAGGACTTGTTACTTGTGGTATTCATCTGAACCGAGAGTACGCATCCCATTTGCCCCATTTACAGCATCACACTTGAATACTATCGATGTGCACCTCTCTACGATCTTAGCTTATTATCTCTCCTCTTTTGACAGCATAGTATGGTAGACTAAGAGTCAGCATAGAGATGGTCTCCACCACCGCCCTTCCGCCTTCCCCACCCACCCGGTTTACATATTCCCTGATGTCTAAGCCATCGATGACAGGTCTGTTGTGATGAGTTCTTTTGTACAAATAGTATACTACAATACCATGGTTCGATTTTATACAACGGTGGAGAAGCTTACTTCCCACCCCCCGTCAAACTCTCCCTAACCTCCTTAACCCCTTCTTTGACAACCGCACCAACATCCACCGTCTTCCCATCCACGCCCGCCCTCTCCTGAACACCCTGCTCAACATCCCCACCCTCTCTGTCCACAAAACGCGGCCTATTCTGCCACCCATTTGCGTGCATATACCCAGCGGTCACAAACCCCACAAATATGCCACCAAAATGACTAGCATGGTCCGCAGTCGACGCGCCCTTCTTCAACGCGTTGATAATCTCAAGCACGATAAAAGCACCCAGCAGCATCTTAGGCCAAAACGCCACCTCGCCCTCTTTCAAAAAGGGAATTTTGAGCTTCTCTTGATCGGTGAGGAGGCAGTAGAGAACGGAGATACCCCAGATAGCTGCTGAAGCACCAACGGAATGAGCAGTAATATTTCCACGGCCGAGATTAGCCCAGTAGAGGGAGAACAGCGTACCCACGGCACCGGCGGAGATATACGTTCCCATAAAGGTGCCGCGGCCAACGAGGTCGCAGCATGCGGGGCCGACGAGACAAAGCATCATCATGTTGGCGAGGAGATGCTCGTACTGGACGTGGCTGAAGACGTTGAGCACGCTTTGGACGGCGCGCGGGTAGCCGGGGACGTGCATGAAGTAGCGGGTTAGGATGGGCCAGAGGGGCATCACGCGCCATGCTACTGCTACACCGACGTTTATGAGTAGCAAGGCGCCGATGGTGGCGGTTGTAGGGCTGAGGTCGGGGAGCAGGCGGTAAGAGGGCGAGGGCGGGAGGTAGTAGTGGGCGAAGCCATAGCAGATTAGGACCGTGAGGAGCACGAAGGCAGACATGGGGTAGAGACGTTGCGCCTGCGATGAAGTTAAGAGGTGTCATTTTGAGTAAAGAGGGGAGATGATGCTTACAAGAGTTGTTTGTGCGAGCAACTCTTCTTCCGTCTTTGCATCCGTTATTACAGCAGCCTTGCTGTATTTCTCCATTTCCTCTTTCCGTCGACTGACTTGTTCGCGACCGAAGACGTCGACGTAGGCTGTTTGACCGGGCTTCATGAGCTGCGTCCCAGTTGGTGTACGCACATACTCTCCAGTCGCAAGTTTCTCCTCCATCTCCCTCTCTTGTTGCTCCTTCTCTTCTGCTTTCCGTGTAATCTCCTCCAATCGTTCTCTCCTCTTCTCTTCGATGTTGAGCTCAAACTGACTCTTGCCTGCGTGCAGTATGCCAATCTTCCGATTGTCCTCTTCCTGTTGTATCCTCTCTGCCTCTTCCTTCTCCATTTGTTCTCGGAAAGCGCGAGCGGGGTCTTTGTATTTTGACTCGGTTTCTGGGTCGGCCAGCCATAGCTCGTAGGCTATGCGGTTTGCCTCCTTCTCTGCCCATTCCTCTGCTGCACGCGCCTCATCTATTGGGTATTTCTCTCGCAACCACTCCAAGCCCTTCAATGCCGTATCTCTGCTCACGTGTGTATATTGCTTCCCCAGATTGTCTACGCCATAGTCGGCTAGCGAGCCTGCTGTTCTCCGATGGTGTAATATCCGTAGAACATTGTTGCCGTCATGGCCAGATAGTCTTCGCCCGAATATCCGCTGTATTGCTGCATCGCTGACTGGTCCTTCGGGTAGAGGACCTATCCTAACTGTGCGCTTGCGTGATTGGGGGATGCTCGGGTTTTGCGGGGTGTCTATAACTCTTGCTCGATAGCGGGGCGTGGAGACGAAGGCACGACATTGCGGTCGCGAAGCTCGATGTCGCTGTACAAGAGCTAATAAGGGCGACCTCAGGGTTTGTTCCGAATGCGATTGCGCGGTACAGAGTCGCCGCGCGAGAGATGCGCACGTTGGTCGGAAGAGTGACATGGTGTGAGATGCGCCGGCCCACCACAATCGTTGCACTTAGGGTTGGCGCTGAGTAGCGGCTATCGTCGAATTGTCTTGTTGACAGCCGTATTTGCTAGGGCCGAGCAATGCATGGTACGCACGTCGTGGGCTATGGAATGCCAAATGCATGATGCGCATCGCCAAAATGTTCCGTCGGCATCTCGGAGATGCACAGACGCTCCCCGTCAATCACTTGCACATAGCACTCACGAGCCAACATGGGGTGTAGGTGTGACCGGGATCTTAGATATCATATATACACATTTGTGATCTTCTATTGAATTTGTTCTTCGTCAACTCTCCCCCAGTGCTTTCATCTTCGCTAACACTCCCATGTTCATGCCCACGATCAGCTTGACCAACTCCCAGTCTCCATTCTCGCCCACATTATCCATGACAATAATACCTGTGCTTCCATCGCCACTCTTAGCCCTCCTCACTGCACTCTCTTCGCTCTCGTCTGTCACCTCCGGGTGGCGAGGCGTCGTATTTGGAGCCTCCAAGTGATGCCCCTCACAAAGCCACTCTTCCATGCCCCTGTTGACAATCTTGGCGATCGCTCCAGGCCAGCAAGATTTCTTCCAGAAATTACTACCAGAGAGAAAGTTCAGGTACAGAGGACCTGGTGGTACTGGGTTCGTGACATCGGTTGTTATTCCAGGAATGGGGTGAACCGCAGCAGCCGAACGCACGAGATGGTCGTTACAATGCTGTATCTTCGTCGGTATGATATCCGGTACTAGGACCTCGCAGAAGTCTTGCAGACAAAATGTCGGTGCGGAAGAGTGCGATGGGAATACGGCGTGGGTTGCGTTGTGCGGCCAGGCTGTTGCGTCAAGGCCGCCATTCTTGCAATTCGAAGTTGAAGATGAAGCCACAGTCCGCGCTACATTGTACCGCCGTACCAGAACCAGTTTACTCCTGACAGCCCCCAAGTACGGTATTGCGTTCTCCGTATACCAATGGCGCGCGTTGGGCTTGATGTAATGCTCCTCCAGAATGCGGGCAAGATGTTCGTCCGTCGCGCTTCCTACACCTTCTCGCTTCAAACTAACCAATACCGACTCGCTAGGGTTTGCTAAGAGAAAGTCGTAGCATGTCCTTAGGATAGGCTCAAGGTACTTCGGTCCTGTCAGACTCACAGGGAATGCGCCGTGTACTAGGTAAAGATCTTTCTTCGATGCATCCGTCGCGTGCGTTGGCTGTACACGTATATCAAGGAACCTAATCCCATTCTCTAGCTGTGCCTTTACGTCGTGGACCTGGCATCGAACAGACGGGAGGGCTCGGTAGTGTGTATGCGCATTGTGCGATCCTGGGATGCTTATGGCTGATAGAGGCAGATCATCTGGTAACGAGCCCATCCACGAAGAGTATTTGGGAAGGTGGTTAACATGGATCGAGAGATGGGGAACTGGCTTCGATGGATGAAAGAGGGCTTTGTAGGTTGTTGAAGAATCTGCGGACAGCGGAATAAATGACTGTGTTGCCTTTTGAGTATATGACGGGTGCGTATCAATGCGATGGCGTTCACCATTGGATGTCTGGATGGTGAGACGGAGGGTTGGATTTGATAATGTAGATGCGTCGGACTGCTTCGAATTTGCGACTCTTAAAGTGTACGACTCGAATGGCTGCAAGGTGGTTTCAAGGTCTTGATCATTGAAACTTTGTGCATGGCTGCTGAGCTCAGGTGAAGTCGGCGCCGCGGATGGAGCGCTTTGAGCACCGAAGAAGTACTCGCTTGCTTTGGACTGTAGCGTACTTGGGTCCTCAAACCGCTCAACACGCTGAATTGAGAAGATTGTAGATGTCAAGTTTCGTACGATAAGGGCTGAAGCCATGGCCGAAAGTTCCAGCTTCTTGCTGCGATATTTTGATGCCCTTGGTACTGCAAGGGTAAGATGTAAGGTCTCTCAAGACACGTGGGCGCGTGTGGAAGTTGACAAGCTTGAGATGCCGAATGAAGCTGTTGCAAATGAGTGACTTCGTTGCGAGGCTGGAGACTGCGATACGATCGAGTCTCGAACAAAGGGCACAGTCCTACCTCGCTAAGGTGTAGATGCACGAACAATGAAAGGTTGAGAAATGGTTGTCAGCCAATGTGCACAGGCCGAATCGAGCGCCAAGGCGCCAGTCCTAGGAAGGCGCGCAAGGGAGGCGCAATATCTGGGGCACAAGATCTAGGTATAAGAGAGAAGGGTGCAGTTATACGCGGAAAGTTCGTTCAAGTCACTAGGATCACAAACATCACATGGCTCGTCTCAACACGCTGTAGTAGTAAATATCTCGCATTTGTCACGAATATCAACAGAGGCCTAAGCCTTCAACTATCATCGGAACCACTACACTGCGTCGAAAAAGGACCCCAAAGCGTCCGATCTGCCTCTACCAGGGGTTCCTCTGGGTATCATGCAGCCAAAAGGTAAGATATGCATGTCCAACAATGAGAAAAGTACTGGTACAACTGACACCTCAACTGTACACTTGGAAACCCACAAACGCCTCTCATGCAATGCACCGCGCACATAGATACGGCGTCTGTCTGAAAAAAGAAAGCCGGCCAACGCCGAGAAATGCAGTTCGCTAGCAGAGAAGGTGATTCATGTTTTTGGGCACCGGGCCAGTTGGGCTCTGGATGATGTGCCGCTGTGCGCTGCCGGAAGATGAAGGACGAGAATCGCTCGTAGACGACGTCGCATACGCGTACGCCATTTCTTCCTGAATTTGAGCACTAGGTGTACGATCCTTTGTAGGTGTGAAGCCTTCCATTGGTGGTCGCTTCGGTGAATGGTTGTTGCGGCTGTCTGCACTCGAAACAGGCTGGAACACAAAGTCTGACTTTATCCTGGTCAATCTTGCTGGCTTCCTGGGGGTCGATGGAGTCCGTCGCTTCTCGATGTGAATCACGTCGCTGGCATCATCCTTCGGGTTGAGCTGAGTTTGCTCGTTGAACTTTGACTCGATAATGGTAAGGGCCGGATCGGATGCTTTGGCCAGAGGCTTGCCTGTAGGTTTGGCGCCGCCTTTGGTAGCCTTGAAGACATTATTGATGGCGGGAGCCTCTTTCTTAGGCTCCTTCTTTGCCTTGGTCTTGCTCGCTGCTGTTGCCTTCTTTGGCTGTGCTTTCGGCTTCCTTGCAGGTGCTCTGGTTGCGGGCTTGCCGAACAGATCCATCTGCCCGTCTGCTTTCCTCTTCGTGCCTTTCTTGGACGGTGTGTCTGGTTCCGCTTTGTCAAACGATAGTGGTAATATGCGGGGACTTTGCCCAGGTGTGAGCTGGCCTGCATTGCGTAGGACACCAGGTTTTCGAGGAGTTCCGATGATGACCTCTGCTCTTTGCTTCTCCCTAACTTTGTTGAGATCCTCTTCTGTGACCGTCTTGTAGTTCATTGGGTCGTCCCATCGTCGCATGTTGGCATGGCGCGCGACTTCATCGCAAGGACCTTTGACTACTAGGTCCCACTTGTCCTCGAGATCTTTACCCATCGGCTCGGGGTCGTTATTCAACCAGACGGTGACTCCATCCTTTCGGTCGCGAACGATGTTGCACATCTCGCGAGCTATGCGCCGCACACCGGGGACCTTCAACGTGGTTCCAGCCACGATAACAGCGTCTGGCCTCATGCGCATGTCATAGGATGCACAAGAACCAATCGACTCATCGTCAGGATTGTGTTCGTTGTAGAGAACCATACGAGGACGCAGCCGGCCAATGCCGTGGCTGCGCTTGTCTGCGACTTGGCGGATCTCATCGTTCTCTACACAGCTTGGGCAGGGAGGTGGGCTAGGCCCGTTGAACTGCTCGGCGTCGAAAGGCTCCACCTTTTGACACTTGGAGCACACCATGTAATCCAAACCACCATGCACTTGGACAGTCTTAGGCCAAGGTCCCTTCTTAGGCAAAGGCACCGTTGTGCTCAGAGGAGGTAGTGAGGTATCTATGCCATCGACGTTCTGGGTGTAAAGCCGCATGAGGCGCCCTTCCTGAGCTAGGGTTGCGAGAAGATGGTGGAAGGCGGTGGGCTGCGCTGATTTTGTGTGCTGGGATAGCGTGCGCACCATGTCGTGGAATGTCGACGTGGACGTGTCATCTTGGTATACAGACGCGTCGAAGAGGTCCTTTCCGGAGGACTTGAGCTTGTGCTCCTTCTTGAGCGTGTTGAATAGGCCAGTAGCTGATCGAAAATCGGGAATGCCTGCCGAAACCGAGATGCCTGCACCTGCTATAACCACAATCTTGCGCTTCTTGTGCAGAACGCTCAGCAGGCGTTGCAGCTGTGGTAGCTCGTCTTCTTCGACGTCTGACCTGGAAAGGTCAAGGTATTCTGCCGTGCGCTCCTTGGGCTCTGCCGTCTTCCTCCTCTTTACTGGACGTGGGTTGTCGTCGTTGCTGGAGGGGGGAGAAGGCATGTCTTCTGGCGCGGGTGACGTCTTGGCAGAGGAGCGTCGCGAGGAGGATGGGGACATGTATGCGCGACGTTGAGCGAAGGATTTGCTAAGCTCAGGCGGTGGAGTGGGCGACCGAGAAAGGATAGAGAGATCTGAATCCGAAATCTCGGTCAAGGGCGAGCTTGGCTCGTTGTTTAGCGTGCTGTAAGCCATGGTGAAGGAGCGCGGTGGGTATTGTGGGGTGGACAGCAACAGGCAGTGACAGCCGTGTGTCGCGAGGGAGGTTCAATGTCGAACGCAAGGCGCCTGACGGCTTTCAGGGACCCGGCGCGTCTAGTACTACAAGAGTCCTTGCAGCTTGATCAAGACGGTGGAATTCCGCATTAATTTCTGCGCATCTATTCGAGATATGCCGCGTGCGGAGAGTGTTTGGAGTCGTGATTGTATGCAGGGCGTAGGTTGGGGGCTGTCGGTCGTGGCTGCTGTGCTACCGCTGCTGCCGTCGTCAGATCGGGCAGGTGCGCTAGACGACCATTGTGACGCTTTGAGAACGCGCGATAACAATAGGGCAGGCGCGCGTCCGGAGTAGACGCGTTTGTGGGCGGTGGTGAAGGGGGGTAGGAAGGGTGAAGAGGTTGGCGGTGGATGCGATGACGGGCGAGCGCTCGTTGACCTGGACAACCATGGGCGCCGGGTAGGTGTGCCAAGAACAGAACCTAAACACTCGACCTGTTTACGTTTGCAGCACGTCTGTGCTGGGCCGAACATGACACTATCTGAACGGGAGCATCATTGTAGTGGTAGACGTAGAAGAAGCATGTTAAGTCGTGTCCATAGAGTACAACAGCGAGCTTCGAAGCAAGTCTTCGCTCGTCATGCTTCCAAGTGGACGGCACAATGGCATGCTCTTCGTGACAGCCACAGCGCATGCAGCCCCTCCCAGGTTCACAGAGATCGGCGCAATGCGCTTATTTGACCGTCGCAATCCCGGAGTCGCATAGACATCCTGAGCTCTTTGCAACATTTCTTGAGCTCTTGCGATAATTATCATTAGCATTCTGGGAAGGATGACTGCCCGAATGACGATTGTGCGCGAAGCTCTCACGAACAGCACACCAGATGGGACCGCGCTAGTCGATCGTTAGCTGCATCGCTTACTGCCGCAACTGATCCCAGACAACCGGGGCGCAGCCTCACCAACCCTCGACCCTCTCCACGTCCGTCTTTGTCTTGAATTTCGTGCCTCATTTCCTTGTATTCTCTGTGATACCCGACGACTCGCTCGTCATCTCTTCGTGTTTGTCTAGTGCGACTTTCTTGGCGGGGTTGCTTCCCACCTCTTGTTTTCTCGACTGATCTCACCTCCAGCCGACCTGTCGCCGGGCGCAGCTATCTCACCACAATGGACGCCGCAAGTTATAACATGGATGTGGATGATCTCTTCGGAGACTCAGAACACGTCAACATACAGTCTATCAACGCAACGCCGCCAGTGAAAGGGCTCGACGGGCGCATCGATGAGCTAGCGTCTAGCGGCTGTTGCCAGTAAGTGAGTCTTGGCTAAGTCTGCCAGCTTCACTAACAAGTGGTAGAAAGATATCATGGTCTAAGAATGGCTGTGTTGCGTACATAAGTCCAGACGGCTACTCTGTCCACCTTAAGATTTTCTCGCGAGACCCTGAATCGGGCAAATGGGATCTCGGAAGAAACGTCCCTCTCGAATTCCCACAGGGCCGCGAGATCTTTCGTTTGACCCATCTCTCATGGAGTCACTTGGGTAACGATCTCGCTGTTATGGACGAAGCGGGTCGGGTAATGGTCTTCTCATGCGCCATGGCCTTGGACCGCATGCATTTCACCAGAGCGGAAGTAGCTCATCCAGAGTCCGAAGTAGATGGTGTGGTCGGCATGCATTGGCTTGCGATCCTGCCCTACGCGCAAAAGGTAAGATCTCTTGGGTGTTTGCAAGACTGCATCTAATCTCTACTCAGAATCTCATTGCTTGGTCAGCTTCGCAAGAAAAAGGCAAATGGAAGTGGAACATCAAACAGCACATGTTCAACAATGCGCACCATCCTGTGGAAGGCAAAGCATGCTTCACATATCTGAAGAGGCATGGCGAGCTCAAGCTTCGCTTCCAGCAGATTGACAACAGTTGGCAAGAAGTCTCCGCTCAATTAGGGCCTATGATCTCAACAAAGGAATCCTTCACACACGCAGCCTTTACGTCCAATAATGGTACGGTCTCCTGTATGCTTTGGTGCTATCAAACTAACTTCTTTAGATAATACCCTCCTACTGGCTGCCTACGATGTTAAGAGACGGTTGCACTTGTATCGTATCGAGACAATCTGGAATGTTCCGACCGACAAGCGTAGCCAGAACGCCGGTCCATTCGAGAAGCCAACCATCCAAGTCTCATTGATCGCTTTGGAAGATGATTGCAACCCTGTCGAGCTTTCAAATGACGACCTGGGTGACGGCACAGCATCGAGAGGTGCGGCTGCCGCTCAACTGACACACCTCAACTTCCTTCCCGTCACGCCCGAGCAAGACGATGGCTCAGTGCCTACCATCCAGGCCATATTTTGCAAGCCACCGAATCCGATCTCGTATGATCTGAATCCGCAAGAAACGCGGTACAGCATCATCGTCAAGTGGCAGGTGCATCAAGAGCAACACAGTCAACTGCATTCCAGCCTCGATCAAGTGACATCAAAGAAGAAGAGCGTAAGCTCGGTACCTGTACAGAATATGTTCCTTCTAAAGAGACAGCCTGACTTCTCATTACACGCCGTTGTCTTAGGGTTCTACCCAATATGGTACAGCATGCTCCTGGCATTCACCTACAGCGATGGAGCTATCGAGTTCAGGAAGAGATCGGGCATGGAGATAGTCATGCCAGATGGCAATACCGACACCGTAAACTCGCTGTTACAAGCTGGTTTCATCTTTCAGCACGCCGAACCCTCGCTACACGTCGCTCTATCGCCCAATCACTGCTTGGCGGTATGCATGCAATTAGATGGAAGCCCAAAGCTGCGCTCCATGGAGTACTCTCACGGCACACTCTCATCAGACGATGATGACCCTCGCCATTCCGCCGCTCTCGCAGCACTCATTCTACAGTCCTCGTCAGCAGCAAATCAATACTATTCCAGTGACGACATCTTCGCTCTTGTCAGCTCCCTCAGCGACAAGCGCAAACACGACTTCATCAACCTGCTCTTTGAAGGACTTCAAGTCAACATCGACTGTGGCGTAGACGACACATCAAGCAACCACTTCCTTCTCCTTGGCCGTAGCCCCTTCTTTGTAAAAACGCTCTCAGCCATGAACATCCTTGGGCTTCAAGGCAACATTGACCGTTCTCTGAGCAGCAAAATGGCCTGGCAACTCATCAACATCAGATTCGTCACTCAGACCCTGACGTCCATCGTCCGCCTACACGGAGATCCATCGAAGAGCACTCTGAGACCGGAAGCCGCACCCCAAATGATTGGAATATGCAGATGGACAATGCACTACATGGTCTACATCCTAGACGACCTCTTCGCCCTCGGACGCGCCCTATCCGACATCCCCCCAGCAGACCTCACGCGCCCCGTCCTCGAAGCCAAAATCCGCGAACTCAACAAACCCGCCCTCCTCCTCATCCTCTCCGCCTTCCCCCGCGCCATGATGAAACTCTGGTTCCCACCTATTGCGTGGGTCCGGCGCAGCGCAGAAGCCTACGTGACGCCGCCCAACCCTGCGGCCGCGAACCCCAATGCACCGCCCCAAACACCTGAAGCAAAGAAACTCTACGCCCCTCTTTATGCCGCTATAACCGACATCCCGTTCGATTACCGCTACTACGAACTCCTGCTCAGCGAGACCCAAAACCACGTCCGCGGCACCTACAAGCAGCGCAACTTAACGGACATGCAACGCAACAGCATCGAGCGCGAGCTGCTCCTCGGGAAGATCCCCGATATCCTCTTCCCTGTGGCGAAACGCCTTGTGACGGATTACCTTTGGAAAAGCACGCCGCAGGTGACTTGTCTGGCGGATAGGCTCGACATGGGGAAAGTCATGTTCACCGATACCACGTGGTTGGGCTTCACGGACTCAAAACGTGCACGGTATTGGCATGACACACATGTGGTGGATGTGTGCCAGAAGATGATTATCAGGGGGACGGGCACGTGGACGCATCCTGTGGGGTCCGCGACGGGGGGCGGGAACAGGTCGAGGAGTGATAGTATTCAGAGTGCGGGGGCGAATGGAGAGGGCAGGAAAAAGAAGAATTTGCTCAAGCAGTGTACCAGGTGTGGTGCTTGCATGGAGGATGTTGTGCCGGGGTTGCCGGGGTATACTCCTGCGCACTCTCAGTACTTGCTGGGGTTGAGTAAGCACTGCATCTGTGGGAATAGCTGGATGCTTGTTGAGACGAAGGGAAAGGCGAAGTAGCTAGACTGAAGGAGAGGTGTAGAGAAGACGAGTGAAAACTTGTACTAAACAGACTTTCAGCTTTGCGCTATGCATCAATGTTCAATAGCAATTTAGCAGTCAGACATCACAGCATAATATTGGAAGTAGGTGGTTTGTTCGTGATCATGTTTATTCTCATTCATTCAGTGCAGTCTAGCTGCTTTTCATATAGCTCATCATAAGACGCGCATTTAGATCATAAACACATACACACATGGCCAAGACTCATCAAGCTGTCTATGCCTTCGCGGCACCAGCCTTGATGAGGAGAATATCACCATCCTCGACAACGTAATCCTTGCCCTTGGTCATGATCTTGCCCTTTGCCTTGCAAGTGGCTTCATCACCCTCTTCCAGCAGCGTCTTGTAGTTGTACACGACGGCCTGGATGAAGGTCTTCTCGAAGTCACCGTGAATGACACCAGCAGCTTGTGGCGCCTTGGTGCCAGTCCTTATTGTCCATTGTCGGACTTCGTCGGTACCGGTTGTGAAGAAGCTACCAAGCTGAAGGGCCTTGCGCATGACCTGGATGGCCTTGGGCAGCGCCGACTTGGTACCAAGGTTCTTGAGCTCTTCGGCGGCCTCCTCGTCGGACATAACCGCGATGCGCTCCTCGAGCTGCACAGAGATGGGGATGATTGGGTCACCGGGGGCGTTGGTCTTGACCCATTCGGCGATCTTGGGGAGATGCTTGTTCTTCTGGCGGATGTAGTCCTTCTCGCTGAGGTTGACAAGAGTGACGACGGGCTTGGCAGAGAGGAGGAAGAGAGGGTTGATGTGCTCGACCTAGCAAACTGTTAGTACGAGCTTGCGAAAGATATCTCATGTAGATAATGTGATTGGGATGTTGTTAATCAGAGAAGGACTTCACTTCAGAATAGCCCAGCGTTAATGGGCCATCAGAGAGCTGGGATTATAGAGCAATCGCTCTTTGTCATCTTGTAACAGGGTGTGTAGGAAGAGGATGTGAGATGTACATACCTCCTTTGGCGACCAGTTGCCCTTCCGGACATCCTTGCCGTCTTTGAGCATCTCGAGGACCTTCTCAACTGTGGCTTGCTCCTCCTTGAGCTTCTTCATCTCCAGACTCTGACCGCCTCTCCTTGTCTCTTTGACAAGCGCGGCGTGTGCCTTCTCGGTGAACTCAATGTCCTTCAGGCGCAGCTCCTCGGCGATAATGTCCAAGTCACGGATAGGGTCGACGTCACCCTCAACGTGGATAATCTCGGCATCGTCGAAGCACCGGACGACTTGGAAGATGGCATCGACGGCGCGAATGTGCGACAAGAAGGCGTTACCGAGACCAGCACCGGTCGAAGCACCGCGCGTGAGACCAGCAATATCGTAGATGGTCAAGTGGGCAGGTACGACCGACTTGGGCTTGTAGTGCTGTACTAGCCAGTCGAAGCGCTCATCTGGGACAATGACGCGCGACTCTTCTGGGTCGATTGTGGCATATGGGAAGTTGGCGGGGTTACCAAGGGAGCACTTGGTGATGGCTTGGAAGAGGGTCGACTTGCCGACGTTTGCTAGGCCAACCTGGCAATCACTGTTAATGTGAGAACGCGACAAGACCAGCTAGGTAGGGCTCTCACTCACGATACCAGTCTTCAAGTTGTTTCCTGGCCTGCCGAGCGGGAGCTTCTCCTCTTTGACCTGCTTCTTGGGAGGCATTTTTTTCTTCTTGGGCGCGGACGCGTAGGTGCGAGCTGCAGTGAAGGAAAGGAAAAATTTGGTGGGGGAAGATGAAGAGTGCAAAGAGGCTGGGAAAAAGCAGGCAGTGCTTGCTGCCGGGTTGTAAAAAGTGGGTATCAGAGAAGAGAAAGAAAAGGTGAGAGGCCTGGTGGGGGGCGTGATGAAATAGAGGGGTGGGAGAGCTACCTAGCAGCCGCTCTCCTGCGTTTCCTGGGTTAATTGACGGTGCAGCGAGTCCAATCGAATTTTCTTAAGTTTATGTGGCTAGGGCGGTGTCCGTGCAGCGCTTGCTCGAATCAGCAAGCGCCGAAGCCGCGTCTCCAGCTCTCGAGATCGCCAAACCGACGGTCATGGCGACTACGAACCTCCATCTCCATCTCCCTCCCCACACCTGTCTCTCCGCATATTACTTCAGGGCTGGCCCCATTCACTGACCTCCGCCCTCCCACCATTGTACCAGTACCTCGTACCACTCAACGTCCCTTCACAGCGTCTATGATACCCCACCCTTCCTCTTCGGTACCGACGTAGAGACCTACCGCAATACATACCACACTCGATTTGTACATACATCAACCACACACATAGAGAATGTCATCTTCTACCCGTCCCAAACCATCGCGCAAAAGTTCCAGCCAACATAGGACCACGCTGTCGCTGCAGAGAACCGAGGTCTCCATACACGTCTATGACCTGTTACCGCCCGGCAAGGTTGCCACCGTACTCTGGGCAATTGGCAGCTCTCTCCTTCACACGGGTGTTGTTATTGGCGACAGGGAATATGCGTATGGTGGACATGACCGGCGAGACTTGACAGGCGTGTACTGGACGAAGCCTGGGCAAGAACCCCCGGGTGGCACGTTCAAGCAGGCAATCCTACATGGCTTCTCTTTCCGACCTGAAGAAGAACTGGAAGCCATCATACAAGAGGTGTGTAATATCAATCTAAGAAGTGCTTTCCGAAAACTAGCTAATCATTCCAGGCCTCACACGAGTTCCAAGGAACGTCGTATAACCTCCTCACGAAGAACTGCAACCACTTCACGTCCTACCTCTGCGAGAGGCTCACGGGTCGCCCAGCTCCGAGCTATCTCAATCGTGCCGCTAGCATCGGCGTCGCTCTACCATGCGTTGTACCACGGGAATGGATAGCGCCACCGGATTATGATACTGCTGATGGAGAGTTGCTTGACGAGGAATTCGAAGACGAAGGAGCGTCGATGCTACGTCATGATCGAGAGCGAGAACGCCAGAGGACAACTGAGGAAGCACGGGGCTGGGAAAACGCGGGCTATCCTGCTGGAAGTAGTCGTGGTGATCAAGGAAGCGCAAGAGGGCCTATTAGGTATGAGGCTGGAAATCTTGCACCCAGGCTCGTCAACATCGCGGAAACGGATTCTAGTGGTCGAACTATTCCACCCGCTGAAAGGGCGCCATTGCCGAAAAATCTGACATGACTCTTGAATTGGTCTGATTTGCCCTGGCCACTATATACTGCTCTTGTGATGCATGCCCAAGTGCTCATAGCCGCTACCCATGACGCCTGGTGAACCCTACTATCATCGTACACTTCGTCTGATTTCCATTCCCACATACTAACAAGCAGTCTCTAACCCAATCTCCTCGGCTTCTTGCTCCTTGTGCCACCAAACTTCAACCTCGTCGAGTCGGCCAGCTTCACAATCAGCGGCCGTATTCTCTTTCCCTCAGCGCCCAGTATCGCCTTTGTGACTGCCTCCCTGCCTGCGCCAAACCCTCTGTACACCAACTCCAACTTCTGAATCTGCGGCAGCAAGCCCTTGTCCTGGATTCGGTTCATGAGGAAAGCTGCCAATTGATAGGCTGCATCGTATGTTCCGCGCCCCGCTTTCCTGAAGCCGATGTTCCCGCAAGATACCGAAATCAGTGGGTTCCGGTTTGGCTGTGTCAGACACAGATGTGTGTTGTGCTTGGTGGCGTAAACGTGGAGTTTGTGTTTGTCGTCTTCGTCCCATTCGCGCGACGCGAGGTTCTTGAAAGGGTCGAGTTTGTTTTGGCCGGGTATTATTCCGGGGTATGGATTGGTGCCAGCGTTGTTAAAGTTGTCATCTACATTGCTGAGCAGCTGGTCGAGACTCTTTGACTCAGGCTTCTTGCGAACGAAGGGAGGAGCTGCAGCGAGGACTTGTGTGCTGTGGGAAAATGGTCGCAGAGGTTGCGTGTGCCGACATGATGAGCGAATTGAGCATGTGAGGGATCGAAACGTCTGCAGAGTTGTGTTGCTGGCCATGTTGAAGGCGGTAGATGCCCCGATTGAGGTTCGGGGATGCAGCGATTTGCTAGAAAGTCGCAGAAGGTTGCAAGTCTGGCTTGGCATTCGGAAAAAGATGGCGATGCTTCTCACCCACCTTCGCCGCGCCCACCTTCCAACGCTCACTGCTTGGGCCGGTCCTACTTCAATTTGATACCCAGATTCAATTGCGTTCAAGTCCAGAGCATGAGGCCCCAAACAGCAAGCACATTTGCCGCCACTGCGCGATGGAGCATACAACCCGCCGCTGCCACGCCTGCAAGCGCATACGGAAGAGCTGCAGCGTATAGACGGATATCAACACTACCAAGAACATCGCAAGTCTCTTCCACACGCACATCACTACCGTCCACATCTACACTCTCCTCCCAACGCTTCCTCCGCAGCGAATTCTTGCCCCAAGATGTCCTCTTCCGCACATCATCCGCATACGCCCGCCACTTCTCTTCTCGGCCCGCCCTAAACGAGCAAGCGCAAAAGCAAAAGGACGTAAAGGACCAAGAGCCTGACACCACCAAATCAACAGCCTCCGAGGGTAGCACCTCAGAGCAGGCTGCAGACGACCAGGCAAAGAAAGAGGGCGAGGAAGCCAAGGAGAAGAAGGAAGGAGAGGAGGAAGCTGGTGAACAGAAGGAGGGTGAAGAGGGCCAGAAGAAAGAGAAGAAGGATGCGCCCCCACCTCCACCTCACGGCGACAAGACACCATGGCAAGTCTTCACCGAGACCTTGAAGCAAGAGTTCCAGGCCTCGAAGGACTGGAACGAGGGTACAAAGCAGCTGGGTGGTGCGCTCCACGACTTCCAGCAGAACCCAAACGTTCAGAAGGCCGGCCAGATCTCTGAGGCTGCCAAGACAAAGACCACAGAGGCATTGAAGGCGACGGCATCAGCTGTTGGTCACGGTGCGGCGTGGACTTGGGATACTATGCCCGTCAAGGGCGTTCGTGCTGCTGCGAGGGTCACTGGTAGCGGACTTGAATACGCAACTCGGCCAGTGCGACAGACCAAGGCCTTCCAGGCCGTGAAGGAGACCATCGACGATGGCAGCTCGTCAAGATACGGTGGTTGGGTCGAGAAGGAGGAGCGCAGGAAGAGGCGTGAGCTGCGCGAACTCAACGAACTCCAGCGAACTGGTGGTAAAAGCCTGGGGCCAATGGAGGAGGACCCAAAGTAAGACATTCCCTCAAACGCTCAGGATCATTGACTAACGATTAGCAGTGCTGGCACAAATGTCACCCTTCACAAAGACGCCAAATACAAGGAAGTCTGGAGAGAATGGAAGGACAACTCCAAGCTCGCTCAGGGCTTCTTCAACATGAAGACCGTCTACAGGGAGTCCGACAATGCCATTATCGAGACCGCGCGCAGTATCTCCGACCGCATCACTGGCTTCTTCGCCGAGAACGAGACGGCCATGGTCATCAAGAGGTTCAGAGAGATGGACCCCAACTTCCAAATGGAGCCCTTCCTGACCGAGATGCGCGAATACATACTCCCAGAAGTCCTGGACGCATACGTCAAGGGCGACATTGCCGTCCTGAAGGAGTGGTTATCAGCAGCGCAATACTCAGTATACGCAGCGCTCATGCAACAATACCAGGCCGCTGGCCTGAAGTCTGACGGAAAGATTGTCGACATTCGTGGTGTTGATGTCCTGAACGCAAAACTGCTGGAACCAGGAGAGATCCCAGTCTTCATCCTCACCTGCAGAACCCAAGAAGTGCACGTCTACCGCAACGCCAAGTCCGGAGAACTGGCCTCTGGCATGGACGACAAGGTCCAGCAAGTCACATACGCCATTGGTGTCACTAGGATACCAGAAGACGTCAACAATCCCGAGACACGAGGATGGAGATTGATCGAACTGCAGAAGAGTGCCAGAGATTATTACTGAGCAAGTCGCCACTAATCTCTTTTTCCTTCCCTCTGCGTTCCACCCTGTACGATTACACTACCTTCTCACTGCACCTTAATGTTGGTGGTCATGTTCTTGCTGCATCTTTGGCGTCCAAAAAGGCAGTTGTTGCTCTGTTATTATAGTCCTTGGCTGGCCTCTATATGGGGTTATTATGTTTCGTCACCTGGGTCATGGAAGTGGATAGATGGACGCCGCAGATGGGTATGGCGTTCTACATGACGCACTTCTCTACTCTGTATGTATAGTATGATGACTTGATGGATTGGTCGAGTGGAAATACCACGTGTAAAGCAAGTGGAACAAGTTTCCAAGGACAGAACTGAGAAAATCAAACCTCAATTCACACATGATGTATCGTCTCGAGCCAGTTCATAATTGTTTTACACAATTTCCTAACGTAGACTGAGGAATTCAGTCGCCAGCATACATAGGTGGGCACTGACGACAACCCGTTCAGAATAAAGGGGCACCCACGCCACGAAACAATTCATCATCATCGGCCGAAGTACGTACTAAGAGGTGCCAATATACATAATGACAAAACCCATGAATAGTACACCATCTTGGCAGTCCATTGTCCCAAATTTCCCTTGTCCGCACAGCCAACAACATTGCGCTCTCTGAACCTCGGCACTTCCTATTCCGCAGCGTCCGAGCTCAGGGACAAACGCGCGCGCGGAACCTCCGAGTGTCCACGGGTACTACCAACGTACTCACCGCCGACTTACGCTCTAGCCTAGCCAGAAAGAAAAAAGTCTCTTCTTCGAAGTCTAGGCGCTGACTACGTAAGTATGATATCCGCAAGGTCTGCCTTATCTGGGCATGTGGGTCGCAGAGTGTTAGGTTTCGGGGCATACAGAGCATTGGCCCCGCTGCGCGAAGTCCGCCCGTCTTGTATAAAAGGTGGGAGGTGGCCCGGTGGTGTTGGGAGTTTGGATAGAAAGATTGGTATCGTTAGGTGGACGAGTAGTATTTGTAAGTTTGTTCCAATCCTCGTCTAAATGAGACTTGTATCTGCCATTGTTGTGGAAGACTCGAGAAGGAAGAAATTGGTAAACTAATACTTTCATAGCAGCAGAACAATCGCAAACCACACAACACACATCATCACCACCGCCACCACCCAATTCTACTCCCAAACGACCCCTCTATATCCGCCTCCCCATCGCCCTCGCACTCACACTCCTCACACTCACCAGCGGCTTCGTAATCGCCGGTTTCCCCGCCATGGCCTCCCTCCAAGACCTCGCGAACCCACCTACCGACGCCGAAACCCTCGAACTCTTCACCCCCTCCACAGAAGCCATTGCAGAAATAGAACGAAGCATATTCGACCACCCTCTCACAAAATCTCTATTGGAGGATCCCAAATACATTGCTTCGCGGCCACATCTCAAGATACCAGAGGGCCTACGGGCACAAAACCTCACAGGCGGTACACTACTCGGCCCGGATAAGATCGCCGTCCCCCCAATCCAATTCAGCACAGCCGACGGCTCGGAATTCGTGTCATTGCAATACTTGGGAGAAGCGCTGTGTGGCCATCCTGGTATCGTTCACGGCGGCCTGCTAGCCACCCTTCTCGACGAAGGACTGGCACGATGCTGCTTCCCCGCGCTGCCGAATAAAGTGGGTGTGACAGCAAGTTTGAAGATTGATTACAAGGCGCCGTGTATGGCGGGGCAGATTGTTGTGCTAAGAGCCGAGACGACAAAGGTTGAGGGGCGGAAGGCGTGGGTTAAGGGACGGTTGATGACGCTGGGGAGTGAGGAGAAGGAGGGGGTTGTGTTGACGGAGGCGGAGGCGCTGTTTATTGAGCCGAGGCAGGCGGCGCAGATGAAGAGGGTTGTTAATTAGAGGGTGTGTTTTGGAGCAAGGTGTTCGCGAATGTCGTGGACGTTGGTGGATTGCTCAGCGATAGACTTCTAGAATTCCGATATGCGGAGAGGTTCGTACAGCACAATTCCTCTACGACCTCAGATGTGCCATCAAAACACGGTGTTGAGAACGTTGTAGTCTGAGTCGATACTGTGAAACATTGATCGAAAGACAGTGGTATGCCGGGTGGGAGGACGTTGGATATGCTTACCATGCATGATGACAGTCCACTTTACCACTGGAACAAGACATCTCACTCAAGGTATATGTTGAGCGTCAACGCGTCTACTTCATCAGGGCGAACATCACATGCAGACTAAATAATTTGGTACGACACTCGCTTCTTTCATTAAAGTATTAACGTCCGATCCAATCCACCGTTCCAGCCACCACGTCAACAATAGACGTTTCCCTCGCACTAGCATCCCTTGCCCACTCAGGGTCAAGCCAGCCAACATCGTTCCCCCCTTCCCTCCCTACTCGACACGCGAGCTACATACAACAAGAGGAGACAAGACAGTGAGGAGATCTTTCCAACCATCTTGCACGACGACGCCATTGAAAAAACAAAACATATCCAGATCCGTAGATCTGAGACAAACACGAACAATAACAACAACAATGATGATGATCATCAACAAGATACTGCGATCTTCCAAAGATACATTTGGACACAGACCAAGTTGAAAAGTATGTGGGAAAAAAAGAGATATCGGGAAACGAGGTTGGTGGGAAAAGAAAAGAGTGTGTGAGAAAAGAAAGTGTCTGGGTGTGGGGTAAGAGGCGTTCTATTTACAACTGAGACTCGTCCGTTTCGAGAGGAGAGAGTGGAGGAGGCGCTGGTGGTGGAGGTAAAGGTGTGTGGGAGGTATGGGTTGACGCGCTGTGGTGAGGTTGGCGTCGGGTATCTGTAGCGACTGAATGCCAAAAGCTGACATCGGCTTGCGGCTGCTGCGTTGGTGAACAAGGGGATGTGGAAAGAGACGCCCGGCGCTGATGAATGCTATGCTCGAGAAAGAAAGATCTGCTGTACAGGGTGTGATGCGTTCGCTAAGTGATACTACTTTTCGAGAGAGGATGGTGGTGATGTGTGAGGTAGAGGTAGAGGTAGAGAGGACTCATTATAGGCGTGACGACAGACTACGTTCAGACTCGAGGGCTTTATCGGCTTTGGCCGAGGTTCAGCCATGACATGTCTGATTGCTCCTTTCCGTTGCCTTGGTTGGGACCCGGGCCGGGGAAGAGGGTTGCTGAGCTCTCGTGTCCCACTTTGGGTGGTGGGTAGAAGGAGTTGAACTTGGGGCTTGGTAGCGCCGCCTCAGCCTGGCCTCCTTGTGCACCACCGGGGCCACCTGGGAACACCGTTGCTGTGCTCTCGCGATCTTGTGGGAGGCCGAGACGTGGTGGCACGGGGTACATCGAGCTGAACTTGCTCTTGGGCATTTCCTCTGTCGGTGCGGGATGTGCGTTGCCTGATGGGAACATGGTGAACGTGCTGTCTCGCATGTCGGGAACAGTGGATGCATTGTTGCCTTGGCCGGGGTAGAAGGAGGAGAAGTTGCTCTTGGGGTAGAATGAATCGGTGCCGTCGGGGTAATACGAGCTAGCACCGTCGTACTTGTTAGAGTCGATGACCATGCTACCAGTGTACTGACTGCTCGTCCGTCGGTCATCGCCCACTGGAGTCCAGCTTTCTACGGGGTGGCGTAGATAGTGATCACCGTCGTGACTGAGAGCAGATACTGTGCTGGCATTTGAGTTGGCGCGAGCAAGCTCTGCTTGCATCGGTTGAACACCATGTGGAATGACACTGTTGGGGGTTCCAAGCGTTGGACTTCCACTGGCAACTCGGCTCAAACGCTGTCCGTCGTTGAACTTGGGGATCTCTAGTGGAGCGATGTGTTGTGATGGACGCGAGCTGTACATGCGCGAGTTGGTATATTGTGACTGGCTGGCCGTACTTGTTCGGTCTGAAGCGAAGGTAGAACGGTCGGCAGGTGGTGCACTTGCAAGATTTGTAGCTTCATTATTGGCGAAGTACCGACTCCAGCCTGAGCTGCGTGCTCTTGGTGCAGGCTTGCCTGTCCGACTGGAGTTCTGGCGAACCATGGGCGCGACAGGCTCCGGCTTGAGGTCAAACTTGGCAAGCTCGTAGGGCTCGTTGTAGCCTTCAGAGTAGCCAAGCGGACTGCTCTTCTTCACAAGTCCTGCTGTGCTGGCATCGCTCGCAACATTCTTCTTGTGGCCGTTATTGCTACCACGTCCCTGGATGATGGCAAGCGATGTGACAGAGTCGTTGTTGTGTTTTGGCTGGTAAGTCACGACAGCTCCACCGGCCTCCTTCATGAAAGCAGCGCCGCGGTCGGCAAAGCTCATGCGGTCGTTCTTCTCGATGTAACCTGGGTTCTGCTTGCTCTTGTTCTTCCTGTACTTGAGACAGAACAGAATGAGAATCAGGATAGCAGCGATGCCGAAGATCGTACCTAGTGTAGCGCCAAGAACAGTGAGCATCTTTCCCTTGTTGCTTGGGGGAGCCGGTGGTGGGCCGACTGCCTCTGTGGTGCTAGCACTGGGCGTGGCCGATACGGATGCAGTCGAGGTCGGTGTGGATGACGCGCTCGAAGACGATATTGAGTTCACTAGGATCTCTTGTCCAGAGAACAACGCTGTCGCATTCATCCACGCGTTCTCCTTTGCGTCAAAGACAGCGATGGGTTCATCGGGGTTGCCTCCACTTGCGACGGTAGTACCATCCTCCCCTTGTGCTAACGAGTAACCGTTTCGTGTCACCGTCGGTGCGTATGTCTCGTTGTACTTCGACCAGTCATCCAAGACTACTCGCTTCACCTTGTCTCCGCCAGCAAGAGTTCCCGGGGCTGCGGGCGATCCGTCCTTGTTCACGAGGAGGATTCGTTCCACAGAATTTGGTGTTACACTCATGTCGAACTTCTGCAGAGCGATCCTTCCGTCCTTGTTGGAGACTACTGAGCATTTGACAGCATCTGCGTTGACGATCGGTTGTTCCAGGCTGACGCCGAGATCTTTCCACCCTGACGCTTCACTGAACTTCCATACCGCGGTGTTGGTAGCGCCACCACCGACTAATAGCGCAGTGTTCGCGTCCGAGTTCATCAGCATGGGCTTCACTGAAAGTGGCGCGCCGGATGGCGGCATACTGGATACCGAGTAGGGCTCGACAGTAGACATCAGGAAGGATTCCGACGATGGCCCATTGTTCCCGTCTGTCTGCGACCCTGCGTATACGAGAATCTTCTGTGAGTCTTGGAGGTAGACAGCGTCATGGTTGACTCGATTTTGTGTGTTCCAGCTCTCAGACCTTTGCCAGTCCCATTTCTTCTTGGAGAATGTGTAGTGCATCAGTCCGGGATAGTTCCACGTTGAAGCCGTCTCGTTGACGCGCCCTCCAACAATGAACAGCTTAGCCGCCTGGGTATCCCCCTTGGGGACTGCCTTCACGCATTGCGCTCCAGTAAGCGATATGTCCATAGGCAGCGCCTTCCATTCTGCCCCCTCTTCAAGCTTTAGCGATTGAAATCCAGATGGCGAATATACGTAAAGCGTGTTCTCGTAGATGATTGAGCAGTGCTCACTCAGCGGGTATACGGGCTTTGGGAGAGCCATGGTGATGTGGATCGAATGATGGATCCGGTAAGAAAAGCGAACGTGATGTGAGTTTATTCTCGACTCGAGACGTAAAGCAATAGACTAATTATGTTTCCACTCGACTTCGCATGACTAGGTGTAAGGTCCAGAATTATTAGTTGTCCGAAGATGGTTGGGTCGACCGCGCGTTGGGAAGGCGAATGCGACGACTGAAGGATACAATTGGCTCGTAAAGACAATCGTAATCGTCTGTAGTGCGACAAAGCGTCAGTATGGTCCAGCAAGTAATGACCGTGTCGAACGTACTCGAATCCAAGACAGATGTCGAGACCGAGCGCGACAGTATGTTCGATCTGGCGAAGGACGACGATGGATTGATCCGACTAGTGCAAAGGGAGCGACGGGGCAACCCTCTCTCAAAGAGGCGAAGAGGTATACGAAGGGTAGGGCGAAATGAGAGGCAGCACAGCTCAGCGGTGTGCGGGAGTCGAGATGGAAAGCCGTCTAGGTGAGGCTGTTCAGGCACACGGAGGCTGAAGCTGGGGAGAGACAGGTGAGCCTGAGCGAGAGGGAGACGTCCAACCGGCCGCTGCGAGGGTCCGTTCGCGCTCACGGTCGTGCAAGGGCAGCTATCGGGTGGGCTTGGGCATCTCCCAAATGGCCTAAGCGGCGACGGCACGAGCGAGGGTGTGACCATGCACACGAAGAGTGTCAGGGGCAAATGGTGAGACAAACCAATGACGTCCCGCAGCTGTCGTCGTTATTCGCCAGTGCCCCTGGCCTTAACCAAGAGTATTTAGCGTCTATTTTAGCCAAGAGACATGCTTGCAGCGAGGAAACAGCCCCAGTGTCGGAACATGTCGCTGGGTTTCTGTGCAACCGCAGCACCAGCAGAATCTGCACCGTGAGGATGTTGAGAGCTGCGGGGTCAACGGCGAACAGTACCCGGCGCCATCCAACGCTGCATTATTGCAGTCGAATACATGATGGCATCACTTCGCCCCGACTTTCGCTGCTGCGGTGCCGATCTTGTCGCTCGTTGTGCATCCCACGCTCTTTGCGCATGAAACTCCCAGGCTCGACACAGCAAGGGTTCTGATCATTTCCGCTCCTTCGACCATTTCACGAATCAAGACAGACCGCTTCCTCCTTGCCTTTTTCTGCTCGCCTGTCGCACGCCATTCCACGATCGGATGAAATGCTCCGGTACAGAAAGACTTAAAGAAGGTTCCGAGGACTCGACCTCAGTGCTCGCACTCGCATGCCTAAAAACGTGTGCAGCCGTATATGCATGCACGTAAAGTAGTACCTATCGATAGTGCGCGTCCGGGCGACGTGCCCGGAAGCTATGGCGAACAGTTTGGCGGCGCTGGGCAGACTGTGCACTTTGTGCACTCTCCTAGCCTGTTGTGGGGTTTAGGCACGACAACACGCCGTTTGTTGGTATCGCCCACCGTCGTCACATCTACATCACATCTATGTGACGACGATTCGAGATTACTGACCGTGATGGCATGATGGCAATAAAAAGAATGGGAGGCGCGCGCGCAAGTGGGCGGCTTCGTGACGGGAGGGACACGAGAGACGCTCTAGCGGGCACCTGAAACAGAAACACGGCCCTTCTCATGGCGTGCATACCCTGACTCAGCGCGCAACACACCAGCTGCTAACCACGCGCTTTACGACGTAAGCGCATCACGATGGCCTCGACATCACGATCTACAGTTGTCTATGAGATCACTAGCGACCACGGAGCCTTTTCGACGTTGCTAAAAACGCCCTGCATGCAGCCAACCTTAACCGTGACCACATTGGTGGCACAGTGCACATCCTCATTAACCATTCGGATGCCTACCCCGCCAACTGCACTAGATCAGGACAGCAATATCCGGCTACGTGCTAGGCACGCATGGGATGCAGTTGGTCGTCATCAATTTCATGCGAGCTGGAAACGACGTTCCTTCAGCAGACTCATGAACTATCGGCAAAACAACTCTCTGGCAGCTACCGACTCACCAGGCGATCCTGGTCCCCTACTGTCACGAGATTCGAGACGGATCTTCTCAGATCTTCAATCTTGCTTTGCCACGTTGCTAAGCCCCGAGGCATGTGTCCAGACTTTTTGGTGGTGAGCCTATCCCAAAGTTTGGGCTTGGAGAGACTTTACGGGGTCGAAAGGCTCGGAGCGTTTGAAGAAGACGGCTGGTCCCTACCCACATGTTCGCTATGCGAAACAATGCCTCCGCTGGCAACTCACGACTCTCTGTTTCGCAGTGGTATGCCTGCTAATTAAGTCTTTGCTACGCAACTAAGCCAGCATGTTTCTTCATGCGTCCTGGGGTCTGGGGAGACACTTGGCTGACCTTTCTTCCAATGGCTCTATCGGCTGTCATGCGTGCGCAGATGCCCATGCATTGGACATTGGATTCAACGGCATGTGAACGGCACTTGCAGCTGTCACAACCATCATGTCGGGCCATACAAAAAAGCATCGAGACGTTGTTACCCGAGGGGGGAAGAAGCAAAGGAGCGGACCGCAGCGTTCGATCTATACTCGGATGCGTTTCATCGCTAAGTAACGGTTGCTTTTTCCAGATGAACTGTTGCGGAAACTCGGCATCGCCGCCACATCCCGCAGTCAAAACGGATGTCATTACACGCTGTCGCATGCTGCACGTATGCCAGGCACTCACCATAACTCAATGGCGAAATGGTCTCCTCATATATCGGTAATCACAACCGCTCTCTATGTGGAACCGATCAATCATGCACGCGATCAAAGTGCCGTATTACCACTTTACGCCCTCCGGCACTTACACGCATCTGACGCCTTGCTATTTAGAGACGCCGCACTTACACTATACATGGGCTGGCGCCTGAAACATCTCTGCTATTCATATGAGTGAGATATAAGATCGACCTTATGTCAGATTCGTATGGTAAGATTTGTGTACCGTGCCGCAGCGGCTGCTGATATCACATGATGCGTGGTCTAAAGCTATCTTCTTTGATAACATGGATGATGCAAAAAGCATAGAGTCTTGAGTAGCGAGGTAGAACATGTTCGGTGTGCGTTGCATACCAGAAGAAAATCCTTCCAATAGTGTTCGTGTCCAGATATAGAACACGAGATGAAACATGAAGACATCCAGCTCACGCAACATCATTATCAATACGAATATCTCAAGATCGGTCGTATCGTGTATCTAGCCTTCGTACTTAATCGTGCAGTGCCATAAATGCACATACCACACGTGTGCCAATTCGTATGTCGGTCTTGAAATATGTTCTCGTGTTCCGTAGCAGTAGCTCAATTGCTTTGACACGCAGTTCACGAAGAATATTACCACCCGACTACACCACGAGAACATGACTCAAAGAGCAAGAATAACAACTCCATCTCTCGCCGAAAATTCCCTTTATCTTTCGTAACACACCCGTCGCATTCCTGAGCGAAAAGACCGCTATCTGCATCTAGCCCTCAGCCTCCGTTAGCACGAAATATGGCACCCTCCAGACGATATCCGATTCGCTCACGCCTCCTACAGTAGTTCGCAACTCCAAACACAAAGTCCCATATATCCTTATCGATTAGTTCTTGCTGGCGTTGGGCAGCTTTTAGATGGTGTGGTAGGTACACCACAGTTGTGGCGATGTGCAGTAGCCGAAACGATGGTTGGCATGTACAAGCAAAATGTGATGAACGCCACCATGTTCTTTTGGGGCACTAAGTATGTAGGTTGCACAAAGGAACGAGCGGAGATGCTACAATTGGGATAAGATACGATGTGATTTACAAAGAGGTGATAGTCATGAGGAGAAATGCGGACGTGAGGCAAATGAGTTGTATTGGTGTAAGGTCTATAGGAGCGGAATCTCCTCCATAGTAAGGAACGATGACTGCTAGCAGCCTATTGTAGAACGGTTTGTTAATCGCGACAGGACGTTAGGTGATATCCGAAACCCAGGGAATCGGGACTTCTAAGGTGCTAAACCAGTATTTGTAGTTACACTAGAGATCACTACGAATGCGAATGGGTGCGATTGAGTGGTACGCTGCGCTCGCCAAACATGGCCATGGTTTCAATCAAAGTTTACCAGTTGACATTGTAGTCATACTGACTTACAAAAACTCTGTGTATAGTTGAGGGAATGTATCTCAGCGTCAAACCATCTCCGTCATGGGAAAATCTCAAAGGTGGTCTGCATGCGAGCAACGACTGCTGTCGTCTGGCGTTCTTCTCCGCTAGTCGTATAACTCACGTCAACCATCAGGTTCGGTTGGGGAGTAGATATACTAGCGTGTGTGTCAAAACATCACGTGCAGTGTCACGACGACGGCTGGAGTAACAAATCTCATTCGTTGCCAAACTCCATTCCATCGTGGTATCATTTCGAACAGAAAACTTCGACGGGGCCGCATGATGGCAAGTCCATTGTTCGAGCTAGAAGCCGGTATAACGCCCTGCTTTTCCATGCGCGTGTCGCATGCCCAAACCGTGAACCCATGATATGCATTTCATCCTCTAGGGACGGGGATGCTCGTGTCGATGTCCCTCATAGCCGTAGTGTGTCGTCAACAGAAAGGGACGATACGCTTATTGCTGCTCCCTCTGCTTCTTCTTCTCCTCGCGACCGGCGGACTTGCGCTCCAGGATTTGCTCACGGTCCTTGTCGAGCTTGAGCTTGGTGACGACGACCTTGGAGGCAGCGATGGGGATGGGGACGGACTGGCCGTTGCTCTTCTCGCGAACGACTGTGTTGTGAATTAGTAAATCTGCTGGCGTGTGGAGATGGAGGGCTACGCACTGCCGTTGACGTGGAGGCAGTACTTGAGGCGGTAGACGGAGGAGATCTTGCCCTCACGTCCCTTGTTGGAGCCGCGGACGACCATGACCTCGTCCTAGGAAAAGTCAGCATACGACAAAATTGGGGGAGAAGATCTAGATACTTACATCCTTGCGGACGGGAATGCTGCGCACTCCGTGCTTCTCGCGGAGCTCCTTACTCAGTGGCGCCTGAAGGTTGTTAGAACATGTCCCATGCAATGTTCCAAGTCTCTTCATACGCTCATGATGACCCGACGCACACTACTCGGCGCACTGAAGTGCGCCTTTCGGGACTTGCGTCGAGAGCTCGCGACCATTGCGTTAACCTTGGTCATTTTTGCTGTGGAATTGGCGGGTTGTCGGGTTAGTAGACAAAGTTCGTGTCGCGATCACAAAATTGGTGTCGTGAGATGTGCCTCTGCTAGGGCGGGTTCGCTTCGCTAGCGCGGCCGGAGGGAACGTTTCGCCGCGCCGAATAGTCCGGCGCAGCAAGTCGCGTCTGCATCATCGAGCGCATCGCCGAGCCGGTCGCGCACTTTCAGCATGCGTCGCAGTTAGTCTGCTCTCTCGACCAGCGCATACATTGCGCCTCGGTGCAGCCTCGGTACGGACGATACCAGAGTGCTGTATTAATGTTACATCTACACCCACCTGAATCCCCGCTCACGCCTACCCGAGCCCATTCACGCGAACCACGGTCCCCATGCAGCGATCCAATATTTCCTACATAGTGGCTCCGGAAGGGCTGGCAGACCTTTAGGAATACGCTGCTATGTCATCGAACAACTACAACCCTTATAGCTACCCGTATCAACAAAGCCCGGCGCAACAGTATTCGGCATACCAGACAGCACCCGCTGCGAACAGCGTCGCGCAACCGAGCCGCCAATATCAGCAGCCGCCGACGACCCAAGTCCAAGACTACGTCTCCTACCAATCGCAATCGTACGCGAATCAAATCAGTGGATATGGAACGGTGCAAGATAATCCATGGAGTAGCAACAACTATGGCGGGACACGAGAGACAACCAGAGGCGCCGCCGAGGTTTTGCGGAACATGAGCAGCTCGACATCGTATACGAACAATACCGCGCCAACGAACACCCAAGCGGGCTTCAGCGCAACTAATACGGCCGCCTCTTCGAACTCCAGTCGCTATGCCGCCGGCAGTTCGCATTCGCCCCAAGTACAGGCGCAACAACCCCACGCTGACTACGGACAAGCGCAAGCGCGTCCACGCAGCGTTAACGACAACCGCGCGCAGCCAACGAGTCGAGGCTTGCCATCACCGGCCGTGACGACAGGGTACCCTTCCCAGACTCAGAGAGCCCAAGCGATGGACACCCAGCAGCAACAGCGCTCTGCCAGTCCAGCAGAACCCCAGTACAACAACGCGCCCGTCAGCAACTCACGGAGCGCAGGTATGACCGCTACGGCGAACCAGCACTATGGCGATTACAATGCTCGACAGCTCCCTAGCGTTGCTGCTGAAGCTTCGCGTAACTCCCAGAACGCCACATCGTCAACGGCCTACAACTATGGCAACGCGCAAATGCCTTCTGCGATTGTGCCGCCACCACCGGCACCCCCCGCCAGTATGGCGGACACATACAGTGCACAGGGCACCACAACCGTAGACCCCATGGCAGTTTATGACCCATGGACAGAATATCAGCGAAAGCAGGCTGCGCAAAAGGCGATCGAAGATGCAGCGCGCGCAGAAGAAGGGAGGATCACCGAGGAGATGCGCAAGATAGAAGAGCAGAAGAAAGAAGAGGAACGCAATCAACAAGAGGAGCAGGCGAACGCGACAGAAGCGGCTTCTGCAGCACCTGACAGCGACGGCCCTGCTGAAGCACTGGAGAGCGAGATCCGAGCAATGATGGCTAAGATGAGAGAGCTGAACAACAAAGACCCGACACTCCTAGCTCGAATCTGGGAAGAAGAACGCAGAGCGAAAGCGCCCAAGTCTCCGACTGCGCAAAATAAACCCGCTCCTCAGTCTGCTACCCCGCAACCGGCACAGGCTGCTCAAACCGTCACGCTCCAAGCTACAAACTCAAAGAAGAAGACGACATCCAAACAAACAGTGAAGCCAGCTACGCCTGCCGTACCCCAAGCTGTCCCCGTCAGACAAGCTCAGCCGACTCCCACTCGACCCGCGGGTAACCCTCACTGGCCACCCGAGAAGAAGGCACATCTGGCGAGCGCAGCAGCAGCATATCTCAACGCCCAAAATGACGTTCACAAAGTTGAACCAAGCCAGATATTGGGCCTACTCAACAGTAACCCTTCCTACATTGAGTTATGCGAACAACTAGAGCAAATGGGACTGAAGCTAGATCGTCCAGTGTTCGCTAAGAGCTTACTCATGGCAGTACCAGATGTGAATTCAGCATCTCGCAATGCAGTGCAGGCGGCCCCAGTTCCAGTTCAGAAACCGCCAGTTTCGCCTGCCGTTATGAGAAAGGAAGTCGCGACCCCCGTTGCGCCAACTCCACAATACACGCCAGCAGCTGCCTCACCAGCGAACGGAAGCTCATACCCGTCATTTCCAGGGAGCGCGTCGGCCGCACCTGCACCTGTGCCTGCACCCGTCGCCGAAATGGTGCCAATCAAGCCTGAGCTAAGGAAGCCAGTAAACAAAGAAGAAGCCGCTCGCAAACGCAACCTGAGCGATTTAGTTGATTTGACCCAACTTTCAGAAGAAGAAGACATGGGTCCACCCCGCAAGAGAATGAACGCAGATCCGTACGCATTATACTCGCATCAGGATGCCATGGCCGTCGATGAAGAACCTTCAAACCCGAATTTCCCCATAGCAAACACTCGTTCATATCCGCCACAAGCGTCTGCGTCGCAGCTAGTTCACCCGCCTCCTAATGAACTCCGGTATCAGGTCTATGTTGAACCACTCGAAAAGAAGAACGCTCTTCGCCGGAATATTTACAATCCCGCAACAATAGCGAGAGACGTACTCCTCGCTTGTGGACGCCATCCGTCTGAGCGCAATCTGAACCAACATCTAGATGGACTGAGGACCATATTACCACAGATAACTTGGGAATCGGATCTCAGTACAATTAGGTGGGATTTGATTGATCCAGGAAGACCACCGCCAGGGTACTTCAAAGACAGCGTTCAAGCCTTGACGGGGGATGCAGACGATGAGGAAGATGATTCCGACGACGATGAAGCGCGTCGTGTCCGCGCTCCGCCAAGTGCGATTGGTGAAGGTGGGGCTCAGAAGGCCCAAGCTCTTCCCGAAGCTATCAATCCGTTTAAGCAGAAGCGCCGCGGTCGCCCTCCTCGACACTCCCTCCCCAACGGTGCGGGTCCAGTGACACCTAAACGTCCGAGTAACCCCGTTTCTATGAGCCAAAGTGCCCCACGTCCTACTTCCGGTGCTGCTGGTGTTGGATATCAAGCATTTCGCTCCGCTACGGAGTATGGGCCTGATGGCAAGCCACTGCCGAAGAAGAAGGGCCGCCCAATTGGGTGGAGGAAGGCAATTCATGGATCTGCGGCTGCGCAGTCTCGCCCAGCTATGAACGGTCACACCGGTCCTCTCAGGCACCAGCCGTCGCAACCGAGCTCATTGCGCAACGAGCCCATTCGTACCAATCCCCGGTCGCCGAGTGTTGCAAACCATATTCCGCAGTATCGATCGTATAAGTGCAAGTGGCAGAACTGTCAGGCGGATCTACACAATCTAGAGACGCTTCAAAAGCATATATACAAGGTGCATCGCAAGGAGACAGTTCACAACACTCTGGAATGCTTGTGGGATGATTGCGGCAAAGAAGTCACCAACTACGACCCTATGACGAATATGAGCATCGAGCGTCATCAGCCTCATTCCTTCGATCTAGAGAGCAACTGGCGCAATCACATACACGAAGCCCATATCAGTCCTCTGTCATGGCAGCTTGGTGATGGCCCGACTGGTGGTCTCTCTGGTAAGGAAGATCATTGATGGGCTTAGATGGTTAAACACTTGGAAGAAACGATCTAACACTCTCAACCATAGACTCGCATGATTCTGAGGCATATCTTAGCGATGCGCAAGGACGTCAAGTCACACCACGTATTGCAGTCGAGCGCGAGCGAATAGAAAAACTGAGCATGTCGTCACAGGCACCCGTTGGCCAGGGTCGCGGTCGCGGACGTCCACCCAAGCGCTCAGCGGAAGAAGAAGCCCGCGATGCGCAAGAAAGATTTGTGTCATTCAAGAAGCGCATTGGTGGGCCCGGTATGGATCGTGGAGGCGTAACGCTTGCCAACGAGAAGCGTCGAAGGGGTTTCATCGAAGGCGAGGAGGAGGAGGAGGAGCTGGTAGATGCCGAGGATTGAGGACTGCGAATAACTTCAGATTTGATAATTTTGTATAAGTACGCGTATACCCATAGCGAGGACAAGGCGCACTGGGAGTCTTTGTGGGCGCGCAGTCGAAGGAAACCGAAGCATGTCTCCATGCGTAAGCCATAGCCAATTCAACCATGTTAAATCCATCAGCGACCAAACCACTATATTGATACGCCAAAACTCCATGCTCCCATTCGACAGATGTCTCCGATCTGCAAGTAGTATCCTTCATCCTCATCCCAGCCTCTTTCCTTGTTGTACCCCTTCTTCCACGTATGCACCGCGCGATCATGCCTTGACCTTGCCTGACGCGGCCTTGGGCTTTTCCTCCACCTTGTGATCGTCGGAATTGACCTCAAGGAAATGGTACAGGACTATGAGCAGCATGGCAGCGCTTCCGAGGAAGATGGCAAGCGAGTAAAGTTGGCTGTCGGTAATCATCTTGGGTGCGACCGCGCGTCGAGTGTAGCTGGGCGAGAGGGTGTGAAGCGTCAAGGGCGCTGCGGAGTTGTTAGTAAATCCAATGGACGAGACGAATATGCCAAGAGCTTACGGAAGCTAGACGCGACAGAGTGACTCGGGAGACGGGAATGTCGCGGTAGTATTGGATGCGCAGCGATTGACTCTTGGGGTTCATGTGAAGGCCACCTTGAAGCTTCGGGAATGTCGGCGAAGGTAGGGCTGGCTCTAGCGCCAGATGCTCCGCCACTCGAAATTCCACCCCACACAGCGTCATTCTCACTTTGACACACACGATCCAGGTCCCATACCCCCCGCCAGGCAACGAATTTTCGACTCTTCAAGGCGCCCGGATCATTGGAATCTTCCAAACCAGCCCACCCCACTGTCACTTCAACGTCCGTAAACACTAAGCCAAGATGCCACCCAAAGGCAAGGGCGAGCAGCCCAAGGTGAAGAAGGTCGCGGTGGACAAGACCTTTGGTATGAAAAACAAGAAGGGAGGAGCCGCCCAGAAGCAGATTGCGCAGATTAAAGCCACCACCGCATCAGGTGGCTCGCCCGAAGAAAAGCGCAAGGCCGCTGAGAAAGCCCAGCGCGAGAAGGACAAGGCGGCGGCAGAGCAGGCACGCAAAGAAACCGCTGAGCTCTTCAAGCCGGTGCAGGTCCAGAAAGTACCCTTTGGCACCGATCCCAAGACCGTACTATGCCAGTTTTACAAAAAGGGAAACTGCGAAAAGGGCAAGAAGTGCAAGTTCAGCCATGACCTGGCCATTGAGCGCAAGACGGAGAAACGGAGTTTGTACACCGACAACAGAGATCAAGAAAAGGAAGAGGAAGAGGAACGACGGAAGAAGGATAACATGGATGAATGGGACGAAGACAAGCTGCGACAGGTCGTTCTGAGCAAGCACGGCAACCCAAAGACAACAACGGACAAAGTGTGCAAGTACTTTATTCAGGCTATCGAGGACCAGAAGTATGGTTGGTTCTGGACATGCCCGAACGGAGGTGAGTCTGGACAACGAAATGTATGTGAGGCGCGCGCTGACCTATATTCTAGGCGACAAGTGCATGTATAAGCACTCTCTACCACCTGGGTACGTATTCTCATCCTTTTTTCGCCATACGGCATGTTCATGTCCTGGAATCGAAACTAACATATTCTTCAGATTCGTCATCAAGACTAAGGAACAGCGCGCCGCCGAGAAGGCCTTGATGGCTAACTCACCACTCAACACCCTCACCCTCGAAGACTTCCTAGAATCTGAACGACACAAGCTCACCGGCAAGCTCACACCTGTCACACCCGAAACATTCGCCAAATGGAAGAAGGAGCGTATCGACAAGAAGCAGGCTGAGGAGGAGGCTAAGAAGATGAAGGAGGCCACTGGTAGGGCTATGTTCGAGAAGGGCGATTGGGCACAAGACAGCGACGCGGACAGTGATGACGAAGAGGGTGACGGCGATGAGTGGAACCTGGAGACTATGAGAAAGGAGACCGAGGCAGCGCGAGCGCGAAAGGAAGAGGAGAGAATGGCCGCCCAACTCGGCAACATGACAGTATCTTGAAGATATCCATCCACTTTGGATCGAACACCACTGGCGGAGATGAAGCGGGAAAGCCTCGCCGGCTGCCACACAATGCTGCAAAAGCTTGCGGGGCATTACCGGGACCTGGCTTCGATTGAAGTATGTGGAGGCGACAGATTGACTTGATGCAGCCTTTGTGCATCATCAGCATGTTTGGCCGTGTCTGGGCTTCAGCGTTCATGCGGCATGTCCCATCATTATACACAAAGCTTAGTCGGCTTTATGTGAACGGCGCTGGCGTCTGGGTTCTGGTATATATTGGTATTATACATGATTGTACGAATACAGAAGTACAATTACCGGGGCAAGTTGCTCTACGGACTCGCATTATCTTGGTACTTACTGGATGCATTTGAATGAGCGTATGAGGAATACGAACAAGATACAACATGAATGCCGATCTCTAAACAAGCTCGCATCCTGGAAGATTTGTCGCCTCGCAAGCATTATGAAGATCTATTTGATTCAAAACTTTCCTGAAGAAATCTCGTGATTCGCGATTCATTCCACTTCCCCACGGCCAATTTCAACATCTGGACGGCACATTTCAGTATCTAGACGGAGGATTTCAAGACCGTCACGGCGTAATTCAGATTGTGTTCGATGACTAGCAGCACAGGTCCAGACGAAGCTATGACACCTTGCGACAACAGCCACGAGATAAACATTACGGGAAGCACACTCGGGACTCGCAAGCGTAGTCTTTCTTACACGTGCAGTCTTATCTTCATCTCAACGACAAGCTTCGGCCCTATTATCTGCACCATCATTGGCAGTCCACGCTCCCTCGTACGAAATCAACAAGCAAGAGGAATCCTTCTCACACACCGAACATCAAGGGAAGAAGAAGCGGTAAATGTAAGCGACCGAAGCACTCCACTTCACGATACTCCATGTCAGCTTCGTCTGCCTCGCTTGATCGCTGCTGCGCGTCACAACCTCACTAGCCCCCTATCAAGGAAAGCGTGAGATGAGTCTTGGCACCAAAATGCCGCGCATCAGTTCCGCCAACGCCTAGTCAGACTCCCCGCAACATGACGGCATGCCCATTCGGCGCACGCTACGACCCACGTATGCCAGTCCCCCAGGCCCTGGGACATCCGAAATCGTGTGCCGGCGTGCACTACGCACTCCCGAGTTGTCTTGCCATGACGAGACGCGGCCGACACTAGCCTTGGTCCGTGGTTTGATGGCGTCGATGATGGATTTCTCGATTCTTCTTAAAGAGCCGGCGATGCTCGCTGGGATCGTCGGTTACTGCTGTTTGAGTTAATATACTTTATACCCTTTTAACAGACTTTTATCGAACTCGTACTTTACGCCTTGTCGCATGCATTGAGCATTTCGGTGTAGCTACCAGCGAAGACATTGCTTGATCTTTGATCGTCGAGTGTGGGGCCTCCCATCATCCGTATTCCCGGATCCGTTACCGTCACACCTGTGTCTCTTGAAAGCCATCTCCTTGGGTGGGAAAAACAGCAATGGCGGTGGAAAATTACGATATCGTTATCGTAGGCGCGGGACCTGTTGGTCTCTGTCTGTCAACATGTCTCGCGAGATGGGGTTACAAGATCAAGCACATTGACAATCGACCTGAGCCGACCGCCACTGGACGCGCAGACGGAATCCAGCCGCGTTCTCTCGATCTTCTACGCAACATGGGCCTTAAGCGCAAGATTATGGAATATGAACCTGCAAAGGTCTACGAGGTGGCTTTCTGGGACCCGGCGCAAAAGGGTATTCACAGGACGGGTACTTGGGCTAGTTGTCCCAAGTTCATCGATGCGCGGTATCCGTTCACTACGCTTCTTCACCAGGGTTTGATTGAGAGGACGTTTATTGCGGATATCGAGAAGAATGGTGGTCAGATCCAGAGACCCTGGACGATCAAGGGCTTCAAGAATGATGGCAAGGATCAGACGTATCCTGTTGAGGTCAACTTGGCGCATGTTGATGGTACCCACGAGGAGACTGTACGCGCAAAGTACTTGTTCAGTGGAGAGGGAGCGAGGAGTTTTGTAAGGGACCAACTGGGTGTCAAGATGATCTACAAGGACCCTATCGCGCATGTTTGGGGTGTGATGGATGGAGTTGTCAGGACGAACTTCCCCGACATCAAGGTATGTTTTTTTCCAAGTTTTTTTGCTCTTTTGAGTACTAACAGCGACGCAGATGAAATGCACAATCCACTCAGATAACGGTTCTATTATGATCATCCCACGCGAAAACAACATGGTCCGCTTGTATATCCAAGTCGCATCTTCCACAGACAAAGACTGGGACCCACGGAAATCTGCCACCGCAGAAGATGTTCAAGCGCGTGCTAAGAAGATCTTTGAACCATACACAATCTCTTGGGACCGCGTGGAATGGTACTCTGTCTACCCTATCGGCCAGGGTATTGCTGAACGCTATACACTCGACGAGCGCGTCTTCATGGGGGGTGATGCATGCCATACACACAGCCCCAAGGCCGGCCAGGGCATGAACACAGCGTTCTTGGACGCAGTAAACATTGCATGGAAGATCCATCATGTAGAGAGCGGCTGGGCGCCCCGGTCCCTCCTCTCGACATACGAGTCCGAACGAAAACTCATCGCCGAATCGCTCCTCGACTTCGACGCCCGCTACGCAAAGCTATTCTCCGCACGGATACCTTCAGCCGGTGAAGTCGCCGGCGCATCCGCAAAAGAAGCACCGGAAGACAACGAATTCATCAAGACATTCAAAGCCAGCTGCGAGTTCACCAGCGGATACGGCGTAGCGTACAACCCCAACATGATAAACTGGGGTCCCGAACACTCCGCACAGCACCCTCTCATACTCTCCTACCAAAACGGCACAAGCCAACGCACAGGCAGAATCATGACCCCCGCAACCGTCACACGAGTCGTAGACGCCAATGTCGTACATCTCGAACAAGAAATCCCCATGAACGGCTCGTACCGCATGTTCATCTTTGGTGGTAGCTTAGACAAGAGCGCAACGGCACTTAAGGATCTAGCGACGCAGATGTCATCTCCTACATCCTTCTTCAGCACATTCCTCCACCGCGACATCAAGGAGAAAGACCGGTACCACGAACGCCACAACCCTCACACCGATTTCCTCTCTCTAGCACTAGTATTCTCGGCACCACGCTCAAGTATCCACATCGACGAACAACTACCTCAGCCTTTCAGCCGGTACGCAGATCACGTCTACGCCGATGATGTCTGGGACCAAAGGGTGCCTGATGCAAAGGCTGCGGCGCATGCCAAGATGGGTCTTGATGAGCAGACAGGTGGTGTTGTTGTTGTACGACCTGATGGCTATGTTGGTGTCGTTGTTAAGCTGGCGGAAGGTAAGGGGACGTGTGAGGCGTTGGATGCGTGGTTCTCGGGGGTTACGGGGAAGAAGCTTGGGGGTGAGAGGGCGAGTTTGTAGATGTGAGGGTGGAGGTGGAGTGAGATCTGCATAGCGTTTCAAATTCAAATAAGTTCGAGATTACACGTACAATCAAACTTGCATATCATGCTTTTGCGCAATAGTGAGGCTCATCGTGATAATGACTTCGAGGTGCAGGTGGACGGTGATGTCATTGCGCATGGATGGAAGACACGCTTGAGTCTTGCAGGCCAACTCGATCTACTGGACAACACGCGATAACACACATTGGCTTCTTTGCCAGCGGCTATCGCGATTCTTCTCAGCTTTATGCCCAGATAGGAAAACGAGTATACGCGCCGTGCAACAAGCGATGTAAGCACTACGACGAGTACTGATACGGCCACCGATGATGATCTGTTTCCGGGTTTACTTATTGGCTATGAACGATGTGACAACAAGTCTACGCTCACACGAGGAACGGGGCTTGATCTGACAGGCAGCATTTGCTTCGAATGGCTTGAACGCGTCTCCGCAGAGTGAGAAATTGGGAGTAAGCCAAGTATGTTGTGGGAGGCCTAAATGCCAGCGCGCCGTGCTACCTACTGGGCGTAAGTTTGAGGGGAGGGGTGACATAGGCATACAAAGACGTGGAGAAACACCCAAGTTGTCATACCCACTTCTCTCTGCTCGAAGAATTCGAGATTGAGCTCTGTGTAGAAACACCATGGCCCAGAGATCACTGTACGTCGCCGGCCTGGTGCCCCTACTCTTCGCCGTACTCTACTTCCAGCTAGGCAACCTCACCTCCATCTTCAACCATGCAACACAAATCCTCGGTCAGCAGCCCGCACTCACCAAACCCCCCATCATCATGGCCGCAACCCCCGCCTTCAGCCACATGGAAAAAATCACAACGATAACCCAAGGCCTCATCTCCCGCGGCTACCCCGTGCACTTTATCTCTGGCCCCGAATTCGCAGACTACATCGAATCAATCGGCGCAACATACATCGGCATCGAAGGCCAAGGTCCTCAAATCCTGTCCAACGAAGACCTAGGCCAATTCATCAGTCTACGCGGTGATGAACAAGAAGTTTTTGCTTTCAAAAACATCTTCATCAAGACGATTCCAGCACAATACCGCACTCTGCAACGCGCATTCCGCGAATTCCGACAACAGTACGGAGAGAAGGAGAAAATGATATTCCTCTTCGACTGCACATTCGGCGGTCTCGGACCCGTTATTCACGGCGCACCTGGTCTCCGTCCCGACGCATCTATCGCCATTGGCCTAGCTCCCTACGCAGCAGCCAGCAACGACACATTTCCTTTCCGCTCAGGAAGATACCCAGATACCAGTCCGGAGAGCCAGAAAGTACATTTTGAAGCTCAGCAAGCGCATAACAGAGAGCATCCAATTGATACGCCCGTTAAAGCGGCTATCGACGCTCTGCTCGTTGAGATGGGCGCTACAACAACGACACCCAGTCTGTACGACATGATGGTGCACGCTTCGGATGTTTATCTACAATACGGAATCCCGGCTTTCGAATGGGAACGAAGTGACTGGCGTCCTCATCTCCGTTTCATGGGCGCGCCCGTTGCCGTGGGTATCGCTGAACATAGTCTCCCCGAGTGGTGGGGCGATGTTCTTGAAGCGAAGGCCGCGGGGAAGAAAATCGTAGCTGTTTCTTCTAGCAGTGTGGTGTATGATACTAGTGCGCTTATCAAACCGGCGTTGCAAGCGTTTGGCGCGAGGGAGGATGTTTTGGTTGTGGCTACGCTGGTTACGTCGGATGTGGAGATGTTGGATTTCGAGATACCAGCGAATGCGAGGGTGGCGAAGTTTATTCCGTTGGATTTGGCCTTGCCGGACGTATGTATGCTCCGGGTTGGAGTTGGACGTGAATGTATACTTGCTGATACTCAAGTAGGTTGACGTTCTGGTTACTAACGGCGGATACGGTACCGTTCAACAATCGCTTCGCGCTGGTGTGCCTATGATCGTCTCGGGTACTGGACAGGATAAACTGCATACAGGCACCCTGATTAATTACAGAGGCTTCGGGATTTACCATGCCCTGCCGCAGGTAACGCCCGGACTCCTCACCGAGACTTTTGATCAGGTCATGGGAAATGATACATACAGGTACGTCGTCTGCTTTCATCCACTATGATAAGAGCGAGTGACTAGACACGGAGCTGACGAAGAACAGGAAAAGACTCGATGCCGTGAAGAAGGAATATGAGAAGTATAACGCTGTTGATGTTGTCGAGGACACGATCAAGAAGGTAGTTAATGGTGATTTGGCTTTCTAGGTGTTTAAGTGGATGTTAGCAACGCACTGTCATCGTGCGAGTTGCGTAGTGTCCGCGTAGTTAGTTGACGAGTGAGTGTTTATGAACAAAGAGGTGTATAACCTGTGTCGCGGCTCTTTATGTTCTGCGTGCAACTGTTGGCGTGTTTACCTCTCTGTCAACGTCTGTCACTGCTGTGCCTAGGGAATCATGTGGCGCAGTGTGGGCGAAGTAAGAAGCTGAGTCCGGTAGTCCGCCAAAATTGTACTTTGTTGCTGCCTGCAAAATGCTACTGTTGTCAACGTCTCTACAAGTTACGTGTAAGTGATACTGTAGCCTACCCTTCGAGAACGACAGTGTGCGACGCATTTAGTGAGGCAAAGAATGCAAGATCTCCTGCAATATCCATCTCACGGAGTTGACATAGTCAAAAATCAAAATCAAGATCTAGAAACCAGATATCGTCGACACCAGCAACGCTATGTATCTTCGCAACGCCTCAACCAGCAAAAAGAATGTCCCCTGCCAGACTCGAACTGGCGGCCTTGGGATATCTGCTCTACTGAACAGTCATATGTGAAGATATGAGACCCACGTGATAACCAACTACACCAAGGAGACTTTTTCGGGCAGGCACTTATTGCGAAACTGCTACACCACATAGTTGCTGGTGTGATTGATGACAAATTCTTCCATTAGATGGTTGTCAATCTTGGTATCTTAAACGGTAGAGTAAGTTCTGAGAAAATTGTGGTCGAAATATTAGCAGCGGTTTTGATAGGTTGCGTTGATTCGGTGTGCTGGTGGGGTGACACATCGCTGTTTGCAATGTGGGTATTTGCCACGATTTGCGATGACTCCCGAAGCCTGCTGTAATTGTGGACCCAAATCAGAAACCTCTTACTAATGAAACCAAACAGTATTGTGACGACGAAACAGTGTTCGTAAGGTTGCTTTCTATTGTGTAGCCCCTGGGGAATGCATGCAGACATGGAGTGGTGCTGTTTTCCGATCCAAAAAAATGCATTTTGGACCGATTTGCTCCGACAAAAAGGTATAATTTCGCGGGCAAGCCTTCTTGAACGACAGGAGCCTAAACCCGCAAAAAGAATGGTCACTACGAGGGTCGAACTCGCGACCTTGGCGTTATTAGCACCACGCTCTAACCAACTGAGCTAAGCGACCGATGTTTGGTTGTTTCGATGGAAAATTGCCAAAATTGTCGAACTATGAAGGTAGAACGTTGATTGCATTCCTCTAGATCGTTTGAACCTTACAAGTCTCGCTGATGATGTTAGTATTGAACGGGCGAAGTATGGTGGGGTGAAAATTTTGGTTCGGAGATCTCGGATGACTGTCATGGTGGGGCAACCGCAGAGCCTGCCGTCTTCGAGAAGCAGACCTGGTAAGTCTGACATAACCCCAGGGCTGACGTTGACTGGTCGTTGCTGATGTGGATACGATGTATTTATACTTTGACGTAGTTGAAGAAAATGTTGTTGAAAGGGGCTCGATCGTCGAGCCACGGGTATCTTGAACGCGAACCAAACCAACGCCAGCGCTATGCGCTTGTAAACAAAGTCTATGGGAAAATTAACAGTATGCTCGTAAATGGTGATCGGTCATTCGTCGTAGTCGTCGTGCCAGACCGTCGATGTATGGCCCGAAGACAGAGTATTCGATGGACACCGATGATGCGCTGCGACGCGAAGTCAATATCAGACAGTCTGAAAGACTGAGAAACACACGTCGTTATGAATCGTCAGTCATCGGTCTTCTTTCAGCCATCCAGCTGTCCCAAGTACTTCTCCACTTCGTCATTGCCGTAGAACATTCTCTGCAACTTCGCGTCCTTCTTTTTCTGGACCTGGGCAAGCTTCCTAACTTTGCCGGCATCAAGCCTGCCCTCTTTAACATCTGCACGGCTTGCGCCACCTAGTGACTTCCTCTGGATGTGCTCTTTCTTGTCTATGCCCAAGCCTAGCTTGTCCCGCTTCTCCTTGGGAACCAGTGGGAATAGCATGCCCTGACCACTCGTACCCAGGCCTTGTCGCGCATCGACATCATAGCCGTGTTTCTCCATATATTTCAGTCCCATTCTGGTGCGGTCGATCGCGGAGGGTATGGGCGCTCGCGGTAGTGCCGCCTGGTGTGCAGGGCTTAGGTAGTGTATGCGCTGGTCGGTCTCTTTGACTGGTTCGCCGCATATGCCGCACCGAGGGTATGCTTCAGGTGCTGGTTGTGGCTGGCCGTTTGGGAACATTATCGCAAGGTACTTCTCGGCCATGGTCTTGCCATTTGTGGACGTGGTAGGTGGCTGTACTTCGGGGGCGGAGGAGACGAATTTGATCGGGTTCTTCCAGAGACCGCGTCCAAAGGCGCGTTGTTCGACGAAAGGCTTTGTAGAGACATCGGGGTCTTCTTCAAGAAGTTCATCATCATAGCGCTCGTCCGCAGTTGTCGGTGTTGTAGTGGGAGCGGACATCGTGGCGGTTTCGTTGTGGGTCGCGTGTGGCGCGTCTGAGGGGGACAAGACGTCGTGGATTAAAGGTTTTGCGGCGGTGGAAGGAGCGACACCGCCGGGCAAGAAAAGTCGAGGTGAAGAGTTAACTCTGGGTGGTGAAGCCAGGCGACAATCTTATCTTCGACGCGCAATCACATGCTATGACGCCACGTGGATCCGATCTGCTTAGCGAGCCAGCATAGATCCGCGTTCCTGAACCTTCCCGCTTCCCGTCCCACAACCAGCCAAGATGCCCGTCAACATCCTGGCCACAGCCTTCGACGAGGGTCTCGACTCTATCCCATACGGCTGGGCCGTATTAAAGTTCGCTTCTGTTTGTGCAGTCCTGTATGTGTTGAAATGGTTCTTCAATGGAGCAACCAATGGATCCGAGAGGAATATGCATTCCAAGGTGGTTATGGTGACGGTAAGTTTGACTCATGTGCATGCGTGAAACTACTGTACTAATAATGTATAGGGAGGAACAGCTGGTATAGGCGCTGAAGTGGTGAGAGGCCTGGCAACCCGAGGTGCACAGATTGTTCTCCTGGTTCGGCAGCCCCTTGCCGACCCCTTCCTCGTCGACTACATCGAAGACCTCCGAACCCAGACAGGCAACGAGCTTATCACCGCCGAACATGTCGACCTCGAGGATCTGTATAGCATACGTCAGTTTGCAACGAAATGGGTTGACAACGCACCGCCACGACGACTAGACACGATCATTCTCTGTGCGAACACAATGACACCACCGGGAGGCAAGGCCACCCAGACAGAAGATGGGCTAGAGTCAACATGGGGACTGAACTACATGGCCAACTTCCACCTGTTGAGCATACTCAGCCCAGCACTACGTGCTCAACCTCCTGATCGAGACGTTCGAATCATCTTCGGTACATGCCCAGCATACGTCGGCGGAAAGCTGCCAGGTGTCGATACAAAAGCAAATAAGGATGGAAAGAGAGATCCTGGACAACTCGACTTCACCCCCTCCACCGTATACGCAACCTCCAAGCTCGCGCTCATGACCTTCGCCGTAGCTTTCCAGAAGCATCTCTCAAACTACGTCCGCCCTGACAAACAGCCCATGAACGCACGCGTAATCATGGTCGATCCAGGCTGGACACGGACGCCTGGCATGCGGCGATACCTTACCTTTGGCTCGCTGTGGGGGCTGGCGATATACCTTATCACATGGCCGCTGTGGTGGTTAGTGCTGAAGAGCCCTGACCAGGGTGCACAAACCTTCTTATACGCGGCCATGGAGGCACAGTGGGGTCGTGGAGAAGGAGCATACTTCCTCAAGGAATGTAGGAGAAAGATATGGATAAGGAAAGAGATCGATGACGAGCTGCTGCAGAAGAAGCTGTGGGAAAGCAGTGAGAAGACGATCGAGATTCTTGAGAAAGAGAGCGCAAAGAAGAGGGCGGCTGAGAAGAAGCAGAAAGAGAAGTCTGAGGGCAAGAGCACTGCGAAGGAGACCAACGGTGATGCCAAGCAACGGAAGTAGAGACTGGTGGCGCCATGCTCCTGAGGGGCTCACAACGTTACTAGAACCATCAACATAAAACCCAGATACTGTTGCTCAAGATCTCCAACAACATCCCACGTGAAGAATCTGGAACATGCTGAGAAGTGTGTGATCTCGTGAGTCGGCTCAAGTTTGCTCACAATCAGCAAAGCGATCTCCAGTCATATATCAATGCATTCGCCGACGAAAGCTATCCACAACACCCCAACCATGTGCGAACCCAATTTTACAGGTCTTCCGGTTGAGTTGAAGGTTCTGGTTTTCACCGGTGGATGTCTCGAATACGACGATTTGTTCCAATCCTCCTTGGCAAACAAAGAGTGGCATGAAATGATCTGTAGAACGAACGATATCCGCCAGAGTATGTTTCTGCCACGCCTTCCGAACACTGGAGTTCCGAAGATACTACCATCCACACGCGGACCAGTCGCTGGATTGAGCATCTTCCAGGGTTTACCAGACGCTACAAATAAAGAGAAAGCATCTTTGCATGGTACCGCATGGACTGATTTGAAGCTACATCCGCTGCTTTCAAAGTTCCGCGCTCCTAAACGGCAACCTTAGTTGCCGACAAAGGAAGGCACATACAGAAGCCAACGCCTGGGATTGCAGCGTCCGGGCCATCTGGAGATCAGCTATCAGCTACTAAAGCACTGCAACAAGCCGCACCTGAAGGAGGATGGCGCGGAGTGGCGGGACGTACCCATTACCTACCCCCCAATCCGGCGCTTGCTTCTCAGAGTGGAATACTACGACTGTCCGGCGCCATTGGGTGTTATCCAGTCCAGTTATTTCTGCGTCACATTGGAAAACCCGACCGGAGTAACTATGGGAGACGTCGTTGACCGTGCTTGCCAGGGTCGAGTACCGTACAACATCGGTCTCATCCCCAACGATGGAAGCTGTGCTGGCTGGCATTGTTCGAGAGGTCCTCCGGATAAATGCCGTATTTACAACTACACCTACAAGTTCGTGAAGAATGTTTGGAGAGAACCTTATAAGTATACGCATTTGAAGAAGAGCGAATACGACTGGACCGATCATCTTGACGAATTTGACACAGAAGACACAATACAGAATTCGGAGGAACAGAAGGAACAGAAGAGGAGGGGCTATTGCGGGGCCTATAACGAATGAAACCAACGATAGGAGAGCGAGATATGAGCGAGGGTTGTTCCGGAAGCAAGGTGCGTGAAGATATGTCTGTCTAACTTCCAATTGCTATAGAGGATGTGAAGAGGTTGTTGGCTTCGTCTTTCAACTCAATGCGAATTACCATGCAGAGTTGTGTCTTCGAATGAATATCACACCCTGCTTTGAAAGGTCCAAATAAAGGCTACCCAACATAGGCAACCGTTTTATGCATTCGCAGTCAAATCAGTCCGCAGCATAGTCCAGTGAAAATGATCTTAGTTAAGCTACAGGCTATGTACCAGCGCAAACTCATCTAGGGAAGTGCCGTTGACAATGCTACACCATGTTTGGAAAGTTCAGTCTCCATTTCCTCTTCACTCTTTCTTCCCAACGTCCACCACGGTTCTTGACAACATTTGCAAGATCAACTAAAAATATAGTAGCATCGAACCGAACACACCGTTGTTTAATTTATCGAGATTATCTTGTTCAAAACATCAGAAATATGAGCTTTCTATTCCGTCTTCCAAAACCTATGCCAAAGGGCAATCTTGATATCCCACGCCCCTTCTCCCCCTTCTCTCATTCGCTTCTTCGCACGCCCATCAAACATCTCAACTCCCCTTCTATCCCTGCCATCGCCCCCACCACCTCCGTTCCCATTTCCTCCCGGTACACCCATCATCAACCGTCTTCAAACCCACATCCATAACAACATCACAAAGTCCAGCATGCGCCCAGTCCTAGCGGCTGGTGCACTAGCCCTTGCTGCTGGCGGTACGGTGGTTGCCCAGACAGATGTGCTGTGTATATCGAGAGCAAGGCAGGGGGAAGTGTGGTTTGAGCAGAACAAGGGGGGTCTGGCATTAATGGCGGCGGAGAAAAGAGTTGTATTGGAGAAGGGGGAGGATGGGAAGTGGAGTGCGAGGGTTAATCCGGGGGAGGGGAGTGAGAACAAGTGATTGGTATGACACTTATTGATGACCGAACAGGCATTTTCGGGCTTGTATAGTTCGTAATGAGTTTTCAAAAATTGGATCTGAAGCACAGTATCTATGTTTTGGTATCATCCTGCTTCTCCACACTACTTGTCTCTTCACCAGCCTTAGCATCAACCTTCATGCGAATAAACTCCTTCTTCATACTCTCAAACTCCTTAAACCCCTGAAAATACTTCCTCCTAAAATCATTCAATTCACTAGCCCTTGTCCCCTTCTCATACTCCTTCCTCACAGCCTCAGCCGCCCCCTCAGGCACCTCCTCTTCCCTGCGCCTTCGATATGTCAGCAGTCTGCGTGACCACTTGTTAAACGCCTGGACGCAGACCGACGTCAGTTCGAGACAGGGATGGCTTGGGATGATGAGCTCAATGTCCTCGTCATTCGCCGTGGGCATCCACATGCTGATTCGGCCGTCGGGGACTAGTGTTGCGACTGCAAAGGCTAGTATGTCATCGAGCAGCGCGGTGAAGGAGTAGGGCCGCTTCGGGGGTATGTACCCGGGTTCTTTGAATTGGTCTTGGTGCGATTGTCGCTCTACGTCGAGTAGCGCTTGCCGGGATCCTAGCACTTTGAGGCCTTCGCGGATGCCGTAGGGTGGGTCGCATACGATGCCGTCGAGGTAGCCTGTCGTCTGGTCTTTGTTGGGTGGCGGTATCCTCAGTGGGGTGTTGGTTAGGTCGGAGACGAAGGCGCCTAGGTAACTTGATTCTAAATCGTACTGCTTGAAGTTGCCGACGACGTCGTACTTCCCCGTCTGTCCTCTTCTCGCGCTGCCTCCTAGGCCGCGGATAGTGCGCCCGTCAATGTCACTCCCAAACACTACTGCTCCGAAGTGAGCGCATGCTATCGGAAAGCCGCCCGTGCCCATGAAAGGGTCGTAAAACAACTTCCCCGGTGCCACGTGTGCGATGTTAGCCGTCAGCAGCGTGAGCTCGGCGTCCATCGATGTAGTGCTGATGTAATGTCTCTTCTTCAAGTCAAATGTCTTCTTGGCTTCGTTGCGGCATGAGTCGGCAATGAAGCGACCAAAGTAGATGTACTTCGGTTTCTTAACATCAAGGTCGTAGTCTTCAAAGACACGGAATGCGACATCTGGGTTTCGCATCCGCGGAGGTCCTTTGAAAGCCATGTAGGAAAAGCTGTCGATGATGTCGCGTTGCTCATCGTTTGATCTACTACCGCGATAGCCCTCTATGGTAAAGCGGAAAGATGCGGTGATGTACTGGGGCCACCAGGATGTGGTCAGACTGCGGACGGAGTCATGAAGGGCGTCGTATGTTGATCCCTGGCCCCATAGCTCGTAGATGCCCTGTGCGAGGATGCTCCGTGCGATGGCTTTTCGTGCCGCAGCCTCTGACGGCAGATCGACAATGCAGTAGGGTGACTTTGATCGTCAGAAATGTATGCTTTTGTAAGCCGTGACGCGACCCTGGGATTGCTTTTCCGGGATCTGAACCAAAACAACACTGCGAGAGACGCGACTGACGAAGTTGAGACAGCGAGACTGTCTGGTGGATGAAATGTACTTACGTCTTCTTCATACTTGACGAACTGTAAAGGCACTCCTGCAATATTGGCTAGCGCCTGTAGTTCGACTTTCCGAAAACTTTCGTGCGCTTGCGCAAGCCGAACAAGATACTGAGGCATGTTGTTGTTTGATCAGAGAGATTCCAGACTAATAGAACCCTTCCGTGTAATACGCGTCTCAGTCAGGTATCGGCATGGCAGGCGACGATCACCGCGTCGACGCTTTTATCAGTGGTAGTCCCTTTGCGTCGGAGTCACGGACCAGCAAAATGGGGCACGAAAAATGGTGGGTCAGGGTCCCGATTGTTCATTGGCTCCCGACGTCGCTTAAAGTTTAAACTACATCTTTCTCCCAACCTCGCCTCGCCTCGCATCCATCCCGATCCGATCTTCAAGACAACTACAAGATGCAGGGTAAGACTAGTCTACCACACTGTCTCTACGCTTTCGATCGATGAATTCCACATCCGCTTGCGCTTCTGTCATGTTGCAAACAAGGTTCTCCACTAACTCTTCTTTTGTCGTGAAGCCTTCGATCCACCAATCCCGGAACTTCATCAGCTCACCAACCCATGCGTCCCAGAGATAGTATCCGCCCGCGTCGTCTCGTAAGATGAACTCGTCGCCTTTGGTTTCTTTGACCACTGGACAGAGACCGTCAATGTTGTAGTCTTTCGCAACATTTGCCTCGCGCTTCGGGTCGAAACACGCAGATAGGTATAGTTTCTTTGGGTCATTTGTCCATGATAGTCTGAGGGTTGTGTCATATTCGTCGTTGAGTTGGACGTATGGTATGCCTTCTTCGTTTTGTGTCTTCCCCTCGTTTGTTGTGTTGGGGATAAGCCGTAGTTTTTCCAGAATGGCTGCAAACATTTGCATGTCGGTGTTGCGGCGAGGTTATGGTGGCACAGTGAGACCGGAGTCACTGTTAAGGAAGTGCTTTGGTTGCGCAATCTTGAAAGTAGACTTGTGGTATGTAGAGACCCTTACCGGGTACAACTGGCGGATTTAATAAGGAAGACTGTGCTTGACTGACGTATACCTAGACTTACACGGTGTAGATACATCTATTTACTTTTTTCTTGTACCAGACATCGCGATATCTACGTGTCGACGCAAGGGCGGGTCATCACGACGCTACCGTGCCACAGCTGCACGACAGTCACAGCATGATTGTTTTACCCAATCGTAGCGCTCCCACAGCAATATTTCGGATATCTTTACCAAAGTATGATCCAACTCCAGGCAAAGACGATCTTCGGGTACACAGCCGTGTGCCTGAACCGCTTCGTCAGGTGCCGCGGGGCCGGTCACATGAAGACCAGGATCATCATCAGGGTCATGATCCAGATGGATGGGGCGGACCTTCAGATCTTTGACGGCCTGTGCGATGAACCTGAATCTTTATTCTCCAGATGTCGTGGATTGATGGCCTGCAACTTGATCTACAGGATTTGCTATCACACATGTTCTGTGAGAAGAAGTTGCTAGCAGCCATCACACTTGCCAACTATGGCTCGAAGGCCTCCGCCGCTGAACTATGAGCCCAATGTTGCCACTTTGCGACCGAGCCGTCTCTCCACAGCGAGGTCACCGGTATGGCACGACTGCTAAGAGAAGAGAGCTGCGTACTTCGAATCCACCCGAAACTACGGTTCCTGACCCACTGGCATGTGGCATCCTCACCCCCTTGGGCTGACATGGGGCTAATCCGTGAAATATTTGGTACGTGTGGTAGACTATCGAGGGGTTCACTGGTACTTTTTCGGAGACTTGATGTCAGTCTTACGAGATCTGATACGTGTCAGTCAATGAGTGGCAGAACGTTGTAGTGCGACGCTATATGTTACGTTCCAGACGATCGTGATCAATGTGGGTGTGCACTATTGTGATGGTCGTAGTTCGGGAAGTAAGTCAGTGATGATACTGTTGGTTCGGTCTAGATGACACTGAAAAACGAAGGACGAGAAGTGTATGCAATTAATTGCGCCTTCTCGTCAGCATAAACACACATAACTTTGGAGACGAACGAAGTGTTCTGGAAGGGGAACTACATATGAAGTCGTAGCATGGTTGAAAAAAACGAAAAATGCAGATGTTAGAACGCTCGTTGCTGATGCAGAGCAATGCAGCCGTCACATGAACATAACCCCCTCACTTGTCTGACAGCCATCCAAACTTCTCTCGGACGCCGACCTAAACTTTCTCACATGTCGTGTGCACTTGTATGACACGATCATTACGTCCAAAGCCACTTTCGGCAATTCTCCGCACCACAAAGACAAGGAAGCGCCCCCTCTCCCGGCTCGTCCATCTCCTCCTCCTCTTCCTTGTCGAGATAATCAAACGTCAGTTCTTCACCTTTTGGAATGAACCTTCGTGCAAAGAACGCGATGTCATAAACTCTCGGATCGTGCTTGTTGTACGAAACCGTGTACTGCCGGCAATTCGGATCACATGAGTGATTGATGAATTTTGTTGGTCCGCCCATGAACTCACCATCCACAACGTAGAGGTCTTCTTCTTCAAGACCTTCAGATTCCGCGAACTTGTCGAGGGAGTAGAGGTAGGATGCTTTTGCTTTCGAAGACGAGGTTTCGCGATGAGTGGCTTCCGCGTCGGTTATGACCTCTCCGCGGTAGGTGTCGATGAACTGGCCTTCATGCAGATCTTGTTTGCAACGGAGACCCCAGCCACGCCCGTCGTTCGCCCTAAAGATCTCGACCTCGACTTGTCGCCCGAACTGAACGTTCTTGTTGCGACACTTGGGACCGCATTTGCACCGGTCGTTGCACTCGTAGATTGGACGACGGGAGTTGAGGTAGAAGGGTACTAGGCAGCCAGTCTTCTCTCGTTTTGTGCCCTCGGCAAAGTAAGGGAATTTCTTTGGAAATCCCATTGTTGAATCTCCGTTCTCGAGAGCAAGTTGATATTCTCGCCTGCCTTCCTCATCCAGGCGGCTTTCATCTACTGCGGCATATTCGAGACAATCACACCTCTTCGTGTACTCGCATCCGATGTCACGACCCATGTGCGGCGAACACTGTTGACACCCTTGCTGTGTTTCGACTGACGCACGGTAGATACCTTGTTGCTCATCTAGCACATATTCGGAGATGTACCGGAAGCGCAGTGAAGGAGTGGCTCTGTCTACCACATTGAACAAGTGAATGGGTTTGCCTGGAACTTTCGCTAGTCTCCGGACATACTCATTTCGGATGTACGTAAGCGCTTTGTCGACACTAGAACGATGCGCAATGCGGTTCATCTCTGGCGTGGACACAGTACGAATGTCAAGTTCGGGTATGTCGTGACCTGAGACCTGTCGCATGTCAGTGAAGTACACGAGGGGAACTCGATATAAGATTACCTGGCGGCAGAATATATAGCCATATTGATTAGCATCCAAGACGCCGTTGTATATGTCACTGACTGAAGACGTGATTGTTGCTGCGGATGATACGGATGAAGATCGAGAGAGTGACGGCGTATGGCTCTCTTGTAGTCGGCGATCGAAGGGTGAAGAGCGGCGGTCATACGATGAACCCTCACTCGGACTCTTCCTTTTCCTGGAAACTTGTGTCGCCGAAGTCGAAGGTAGCGGTAGATTCCTATATAGGTTAGTAAAATGCCGAAAGCCATGATACAGATGCCGCCTACTTCTCCCTCACTTCGAGGTAGTCTTGGATCTTCTCTAGACACCGCACTAGGTCTTTAACCGAATGCCAGCTGAGCGGTGGCTTCGTGGTCAACGTTTCTGACGTCCAGCGTACTAGATACTGCTCATCCTAGACCCTGAGTTCAGTATCGCGCACGAACCATTTAATTGAAGGAGTACTAACGCCATTCTGAACGCGATTTGACATAATAGAGTGCACCTAAAGATAGTTTCCGTATTAGAACGCGTACATTTGACGTTTGGAAGATACTGACGCGGTCTACTAGGACACGACGCCTCTCGTGTCCGTTAGTCGGGATTACGACCATAGATGGCATTTCCTACGATGTGACTGCATCGCGTTAGTCTTCTTTCTCGGCTTAGCCAGCATGCTTGGAATCTTTTGTAATGAATTCGAGCTGCGTGTAGAGCATTTGTTGCGTTACGCGATAGACTGCGAGTGTGAGATAAACTAACGATTACTTACCAAGAGAACGATAGAATATCTAGGTAGTTAGGAATTCTAAATCCTAGCAATGATACTATGTAGAACAAATAGTTAACGTAGAAAGTTTACGTTAGATATCCTTTCTCTTGCGTTGCTACAAAGGTAAAGTTAGGCACCTAACTGCTAGAGTTAGTTTGTTACTCTAACAGCAGGCATTACTTAGTAAGCAGACGCGCAGACAGTACAGCTAGCGTGCTAAGCTAAGTCTGCACTAGTTAATTCCTAACCACTTGAACAGTAGTTTAGTAGATTTGCAAACATCGTTAAACATTCTAAGCGGTTTGTAGAGAGACGCTCTTCGGGTCTCGCACCATTAGACTTTAGTTACGCGTCAAGGTCGGTGGAACCGTAGTACAGGCCTTGCAGACCCGTTAGCCGTGCACCGTACATCTAGTCGTCATATGCTTTAGAACAAGCTTCTCAAGATCACGGTGTAGAGAAAACTTAAGTTGAATCCCAGCAACGGTAATGCGTAGTGTAGTTCTTCAGCGTGCGCTAAAATGCATGTGGCGCGGCCATGGTGCCTTATCGCTCTATCTTAGCGCCCTCCAAAAAAAGTTCGGCCCGCATGTCAGGCTTCTGAGCAAAGACATCGTCGCGACATATCACACATACTACAGCACATCATGGCATCAGACGCGCAAAATAACCCTTTCATAAGGAATCTAGCTTCTAGCGGTATGAGCACAATGTACGTTGGAGCCACTTGACTAAGTGTCTAACGTTTGCGACAGACAAGAAAGTTCGCGACAATGCACTCGACTCACTCAAGACGTACCTCGGCGCGCAATCAGAAATATCGGAACTGGACCTGTTGAAGCTATGGAAGGGACTCTTCTATTGTATGCGCCCTTCTTGCCTTGACTCAGAACAGCACGATAAGGCACTTTGCAACACATCGTGCAAAGGCTAACAATAAACTTCTAGGCCTGTGGATGCAAGACAAACCCGCCCTTCAGCAAGGCCTGTCGCGCGATCTCGCCTCGTTAGTGTCAGCCCTCCGAACCCCCGTCGTACTACCCTTCATCCGCGCCTTCTTCCTCACCATGTCCCGCGAATGGACCCGCATTGAAGCGCTCCGGCTAGACAAGTACCTCTACCTCATCCGCCAATACGTCAACGCGTCCTTCACCTTCCTCAGCAGAAACAAGTGGAAGAAGAGCTTGGTGGAACAATGGAATGCCGTCGTTGAAGAGACACCACTTGAGTGCGAGAACATGAGGATCCCCAACGGACTGAGATACCACGTTATGGATGTTTGGGTCGACGAGATGGAGAAAGTTGAGGGAGAGGCATGGGAGAAGGAAGATAAGAAGGAGACGCTGGAGACATTAGTGTTGCCTATTGAGAAGATGACGAAGGAGGGCAAGTTGAAGACGCTGAGGAATGCGGCGAAAGAGGTCCTGGCTGATGATAGGTTAAGAGGCTGGAGAGGGCAGGAAGTGGAGATGACAGAAGAGGCTGAGGAAGATGAGGATTCTGAGGCGGAATGGGGAGGTTTCGCAGACTAAGCACTACACCGTCTGAAGGTCTGGATAGACATATTGCATGTGATTTCAGCGAGGCGTTTAGGGAAGATTTGTCCTGTGCGTAGGGCATGGAAAAGTATTATAGTTCGGAAAGCAATCTACAGGACACAGAATTCAAAAGAGAAGCTACGAGGAATGAGATGTCACGCCCATGGATTAGCCTATTCCCACTTTCTCCACCGTCTTAGTCTTCCCGGGTACTGATAGCACCATCTAGATCAAATCAGCGTACATCTTCGCCCATTCCGCAGACAATACTTACATCCATCACTCCTACTCGCACCACCCCCACCCGTCTTCTCCTCCGTATACCGACCTAGCAAATCCGGCCTCACAAAAAGTACATACAGCCTCCACAAAAGCGGCGGCACCAAACAAGCCACACTCGCCGCCGCAACCTTCTTACTCAGCGCCGCACCCGGGCCCCCTCCCTCAAACAAATCCAACACGATCATCGGGATCAAGAGTGCCTCCCCAAGTCCCAGGAGCATATACGTAGGTCTTCGGCTCTCGACACCATTGCGCGTATTGGTGGCGCCTGCGAGTAAAGCGGATGTTAGACCGGCCACGACCAGACCGCCGAATAGACGGGCGAAGAGGATTGAAGTGGGGTTTATGTCGCTGGAGGGGTTGTTGAGGAGGAGGGACAGTGTCCAGCGTGTGTTTGTTATCAGAGGGATAGTGAAGAGGTTTGCAAAGGCTTCTAGGAGGAAGGCTTTGCGGATTGTGGAACCGTTTGCAGATGGGTCGGGTATGATGGTTGGGTTTGTGGCGGGAGATTTGGTGTTCGGCATTTTGGAGGTAGGATTTTTGTGCTGAAAGAGTGAATTGGAGGTCGTGGGTATAGATATGGATTAGGAGTTTGTTTTGGAGTATGTCATTGTTGCAGTGGACGTGAAGCCTAGTCTATTTGGCGTGACTAGCGCGGACGTCATCATCTGGGCATCTGTTACCCAAGAAAAAGCACCAATAGACTGACATCGTCATCTTGATCAAGTGGTCATGATTAAAGCTTAGCTGGTCATGGATCAGGTGGATGCCTCGATCTCTCCTGACTCGTTCCGTACATATGTATACGCATGCAGGGTGCATTGCATCCTGGTTAGTCGCGTCTCTAGTCAGGAACGCGTCCACAATGTTTCGAAGACAGACGCATGGCTTGCAGTGATGCATCATATATGTGTAATACTGTATGCGCCTGCGATCTTTTCATCTCGTTGGTTCAGTAGACATGCGACTGCAGGCATGCGATGTCGTTCTTGGTCGGTGGCGGTTTCAACACTGCCAGCGCTTGAAACACGATGCATCGGTCAGATATGTAGAAATTGTTGCCAGTGAAAATCATCCGGTATGCAGATTAGGAGCTGCTTGCGCAAAAGTGATGGTGATAGAAGGTGGAGTAAAACATTCCCGATGATGTCAGGGGTGAGGGCTGAGTGGACCAACCATAGCAGACCTCAGCTTTCTTGGACCGCCGGCTACTGACCGCCAAATACTTCCGGCAGTAATCTTTCGTCACCCACCACACAATCGAATGCAACTTTTGGGCCCATCATGGGTCGCCGACCCAACCAATTGATTCTCGAGTACTTCGAGCGCGGTCCCAAGCTGGAAGATGCAAGCAACCGCTACCAACACACGTGCAAGTCGTGCGGCGAGAAGGTGAGTGACCCCGCTCCGCAAAAAAGTTGACGGTGTAGAGTGAGCGATAATAGCTGACACATCGCAGTTTCCCAAAGGTCGCATAGATAGTCTCACGAATCATCTCGTCAAGAAATGTCCCGCCTTACCGCTTCAAGACCGCCAGCGCGCGCTGCTGCAGATGCACGAGCTGCCACTCCCCGACAATATGACGCAGACGGCCACCACCAACGCACCCGGACCGAGCCAAATGCAGCATGGCCAGAAGATGAACCTCCCCTTTGCGCCGTCGAAGCAATTGTCTGCGCTTGAGACCTTAGCGGAGGTGTCGCGACAGCATCTGGACCTCTCTGGGAAGCGCATGGCAGAGAAGCAGCCGTCGCAAGCCCACAACAACCATGGCAACCACAATCACAACCACAACAATAATGCGAGCCATGCAGGGCTTTTGGAAGAGTTTTTGATACAGGATGATCGACCCGATGGCTCTGATATGGGCGGTCTGTCACATGGGATGGACATGTCGCATGCGCCAGCAATGCCCTCGATGTACCAGTTCAATGGGCCGTTACATCACTCTCCAACTGCCTCACCACACATGGGTCATATGCCTCTGTCAAGCTCTGGGTCCATGTCACACATGGTTCCTTCGCTCGTCATGGCAGCATCGGCAGCGAATGACCTCATGCCGCTGTCAAATGGTATGTCGATGGAGTCTGACATGAATCTCTCGGCACACAGTATGCAGGGTATGTCGGACGGGAAGTTCTTCCATCCCCAAGGACGAGGACATTGGCCGAACATACAGCCCAATTCACTGGACCCGATGCTACAAGACCATGGCAAGGAGCAGATGCACGCGAACGACCAACTGAACAAGGGAATGAGTCATCAACGACCGCTTGCAATGAGTCCAGGCAACCAGGCTCACTTCACCACCGACTTCAGTATGAACCAGAAGCCGACTAAGCCCAAAGTCAGGGGACGTTTCACAGACTCCAGACGGAAAGAAGTACAGGAAGTGCGAAAACGGGGCGCGTGCATTCGTTGTCGCATGCTCAAAAAGCCATGTTCGGGAGACAATCCATGCAACACATGCCAGAACGTCGAGAGTGCGCGACTATGGAAGCAGCCCTGTATCAGGACAAGGATTGCAGAGGAGTTCGGTCTCTACTCTGCAGGTCTTCATAGCGTCTTAGCATTCCATGCGACAAATCAAGCCAAGGGCCAAATACGGCTCGACCAAACCCCAGGACGCATAGAAGCAACCCACTTCCCTCATTCCGGCATCTTTGCTACTTTCACGCCGTTGAAGTGCCAGCAGACGCAGACAGCGCAGAATGCGGACATCGATCCTGCGATATTCGCTGGACTGGCTACTCCGGATCTCGAGCTCATAGACAGTGATGATGATGTCAGTGGGAAGCTAGACCACTACATCAAGAAGATGGGTGGCCACTTCGCCGATACCGAGGACTCGAACTTCATGAGGATGACTGTACAGACCGCCAAGAGCATTGCATCGTCTAGCGCAGATGGGCTAATATCAAAGGCCCTAGAACTCTGGAATCTCACGCGCGTGCTCACATCCCGGAACTTTGAATGGTTTCTCTTCTCAAATCCATCGCTTGCGCCTACCATAACTCCGTCTACATTGTCACCAGGAGATATGGAGGACGCCATTCGCACGCCCATCACACCCCTCGAGCACGAAACTTCCTACAGCCTCATCACTACACAGCTCATGGGCGCGACAGAAAAGCGAGCCGCGTGTCTAGCGCGCATCGTAATGAACGATCTGGAACGACGCCTCCTACAGCGTCAACAAGCAAACCCCTTTGAAACGTTCCTAGTCGCCGTCATCCTCCTTGCATGTGTAGAGCGCATGTGCTGGCTGTTCCGCTCCTGGGAAATGCCATCCACCAACCTGACCGCCCCCGAAGCTGCTGACGCGTTCAAACACCCACCCAATGCTGACAGCGACTTGGCCTCAGCTCTGCAGTCCACTTCATCACCGCCGGCCTCTCAACTAGACCTCCCTCTCCACCAAGCACCCCGCAACCCCAGATGGCCGCTCGACAAGTCCCCCTCGCTTCTCTCCCAGCAAGGCGAGAAGTTCAGTGACATCCTCAACATGCTCCTCAAAATGCGCGGCGTCCCTCCTAAACCCACGCTACGCACTCCAGATGGCGTGCTCACTGTATGGAGCGAAGACACTACTGACAAAGTAAGGGAATGGTACGATGGTATTGGTGTTACAACACAGATGCTAGACCAGAAGGCAAATGCGCGCTTTGTAGGCGAGGATCCCAAGGAATGGGAGTTGAAGTTTGTTGGAAAAATCATTAGAGGGGATTGAGGAACTGTTTATGTAGGGGTATCAGCCTCCCTTTTCTTCAATCGATGTACTGGAAGAGATGGACAGTGTTGTCACGACGAAACGAAGGAAATTCCTGCTGTGGATGGGTGAATGTACGTGGGAGGATGTCTGAATTACGAATTGATACCAAACACGTTATGAGCCATGTAGTTTGACATGGCGTCATGAGTCGCGTTCGTGCGCTTTGAATGAAGAGATGTCAATACCATATGATCCTGAGAGAGATGTTGTGATCATGCTTGCTACGACAGATGGACTGCGCCATCTTGTCCGCACTTCAGATTTGGGGGTATGCAACTGCTCCTATAGTACGCCTCAACACCATATCAGCGCATCACGCACGCTCTGTCTAGTCTAAAAACCCAAAAGATGCCCGTATATATAGCCCCTCCCACTCAGCTCTTGAGCGCCTCAAGCCTCCCCCGCATCTGCGCCAACATCTCCGCCTGATCCTCTTCCTCCTCCTCTTCCGCCTGCGGCGCAGCCGGCAACTCCTCCTCCTTGGCCTTACTCTGCGGCAACCGATCCTTCAACACCTCACTCAACACCTTATCTACCTCCTCCTCAGCCTCATCCGCCTCACCCTCTAGCATCTCATTCTCGCCCAGCGTATCATCCAGCATCTCCTCTATGATCCCCGCCTTCATAAGCTCAGAGCTAAGTTCGCGCATCGTGCCCGTCAGCTCGGGTAACCTGACCAAACTATTCACGTCCTTCATGATGCCCGTGCTAGCCTTGATGCTGCCTTCGATTTTTCTTACCGAAAACGCTTCGTTGACTTGCATCTGCACGCTGTTGAGCTGCGCTTTGGAGGTCATGAGGCGGTTGTTTTGCTTTCGTACGCGCAGGAGTTCGCGCGCGAAGATGCGGACGTCTTGGTTGGCTTGCTTGGCCATGGATGGGTTTCGCTGCGCGCGTTTGGAGGATTGTTGGATGAGCGTTTTGGTTTTTTGTTCAGTCGCTTTGAGTTGTTGGATGTCGCGGTCGAGTTTGCGGACGTTTTGGCGGACGAGGGCATTGCATTTGCGCTTCTGGGGGAGGTTAGATGTGGTGTGGAGGAGGTGGGTGTGGGGTTGGGGTTGTGTACTTGTTCCTCTGGTGTGGGCTTCCACAGGAGACCTCTGATGGTCTCCATGGTGGGCGCTCAATCTGGTGTGCTCTGCGCGATTGAATTACTTGATGCCTTAGGTAGGTGATGTATGCGCAAGTGATGCGGGTAACGCGGGAGTCGGTGAAGGTGTTGCAGATACAGCGTCTCGTTCACGTGGCTAATGTGCTTGAAGGGGATTGCGTGAGTGGAATATGGCTCAGAGAGTTGTGGTAGATTGAAGAATGAAAGAACTCATGTGCACGTGTAAGGGCCCGAGGCGTTGTTCGGGTGCCTTGCAACCGCTCCAGGATCGAGCTCGGGCCCATTGTGACGTTGAGCTCTTCGCGGGGCAGTCGCAACAACCCGCTAGCCCCAAGCATCCAGCATTGTCTCGACGCAGCACTGGGAGAGACAGTCAGGCGCATCTAAGACACCTATAGAATCTACCGCTGCATCCTCCTGCGAGTTGCTTTCCGTAATTGATCGACCAAAACCGGGGCCTTCAACTCTAAGTTTCCATAGAGCTTCTATTGCTTTCCACGCTAGTCCCTCCACATCACTGCATTTCTTCCGCCCTCAAACTGCTTCGTCTACACAAACACTACACCACAACTACACAGCACACTCCCCGTAAATCTACTCCTACATCCTGAACGACAGTTCGAACTCGATTGGAAACAACAACAACGAACTACCACCCTCAACATGACCACTGTTACTCCCGAAGGTAAGCTGCAGCCTTGCCCGCTATGCAAGCTCTGAGATGTTATCGGAGCGCACCACATGGCTGTTCGCCCGCTTTCAGCCCTTGGTCCCATGTGCGCCTCGCACCACCTTTCCCAACCGATCTATAGCATCTTCAGAGCCTGCAATCATTATGTTCAACAAATACTAACGCGCGACAGTCACCTGGGCGCAACGCTCGTCCGCTGACGACCCGGAGAAGAACTACGTATACCTCACCATCGTCGCCGCCGATGTACCCGAGTCAGACCTCAAGCTAGACCTTAAGGAGCAGTCACTTAGCTTCAAGGGTACCTCAACATCCAAGAAGTGCACATACGCCATCGACCTCGAGTTCTTCGCCGAGATCGACCCCAAGGAGTCTAAGATTAGCCACAGCGGTCGCGATGTCACAATGGTACTGCGTAAGAAGGAGATGAAGGAGGAGTTCTGGCCCCGTCTGCTAAAGGACACCAAGAAGATGCACTTCTTGAAGACCAACTTCGACAAGGTAGGCTGAGCGATATCGGAGCATTCAAGAGCAGCACGCTAACGCATCACAGTGGGTCGACGAGGACGAGCAAGACGAGGCACCCGAGGACGAGTCCATGAACCAGATGAACCCAATGGCCGGCGGTGGCGGTGGCGACGGTGGTTTCGGCGGTATCGACTTCAGCAAGCTTGGCGCTGGCGGCGGCGGCATGCCTGGAATGGAGGGCATGGACATGGCCAGCATGATGCAGGGTATGGGCGGTGCCGGCGGTATGGGAGGTATGCCAGGTATGGGTGGCATGGGTGGAGACGACAGCGACGACGATGACGACGACATGCCCGAACTCGAGAACGACGACGAGAACAAGGCCAGCCAGGACAAGGCCCCCGAGGCGGCCGCATCAGGCGACAAGCCCAAGATTGAGGAAGTGGCGTAGTTGCTCCATCTTCTTGCGACAAGCGTATGACTGCACGAGATGGATTGGGTGGGCATGGCGCGCATGACTGGTGACCGGCGTTTCTGCCTCAATATCTTTTTGAGGCAAGAGGGGTTGGAGTCTGATACCTGACTGAAAGATGGAGAAGAGAGGTTGCATCTATAGGTCGCTTGCGTATTTCCGGGTCCTCTATCCTAGTGTGCTGGTGCTGGTGCGGGTTAATGATCACATCATGGAGTATATGACAAAAGAATACGAATCATGTTTTCATGACTAAATTTGAATTGCAGCAGGTTTGACATTTAGTGTTCAAGACTCGATGATCTTTGGGATCTTCCTCATATCCTATAGTACACGCATCAACTGACTGACAAACCCATATTCTACGTTTAGCAAAGCAAACCAGCCCATCTATACCTCTTACGCCTTATCACCCATCCCATAACTATCATACGGAAAGTCTTCCAAGCTCTTATGCAACCTCCCCCACCCATCGTCAATCTCCCCCGGCATACCAACCTTCCTCTTCCCCTGTGTCACCTCAACCTCACTCTTCTGCAACTGTTTCTCCTCATCCTCTTTATGTTCGCCCGTCAACCCCGCCAGAACCTCCTTCTCCCTCCCCTTATACTCCACCAGCAACTCCGGATGCGGACACCAAACTACCTGCATACCCGCTCTCCTTCCCGACTCAACGCCCGGCACGCTGTCTTCAAATACAAGACATTCTTCTGGTTGAATGGGTGCCTGGCCTTCTGCTTCGAGGGACTTGTTGAGTGTGGAGAGAGCGAGGAGGTAGATGTCCGGCGCGGGTTTCCCGCGTCCAGAAGGTATCCTGGGGTCGTCGCCTAGGACTTGATGTTCCTTCTTGAAGTGCTCAAACAGATCGCCCAGATGCTTGCTCTTGATCTCGAAGTTGTTCTTGTTACTGCTCGTCGCAAGCGCCATGTGTACGCCCCTGCTCTTCAACCCTGCAAGCAAGTCCATAACACCTGGTAACGGCTTCGTGTTCTTGAAGATATCTTTCTGAAGCTCTTTTTGCTCGACAAGGAATTGTTCGTGTGAGATGGGGAGTTGCGCCCAGTCGTGGAAGATCTTGCCGGCTTGGGGGCCGGGTCGGCCTTGTAGTTGCGCTTTTATGGACCATGGGAGGGGAGGGCGACCGTAGCGTTCGAGGATCTTGTTGGTTACTATGCTGTAGAGGTCTTCGGAGTCGATGAGGAGACCTGGGGAGGTTGTTAGTGGTGGTGAGGGGAAAGTGATGGGTGGCTTACCGTCCATGTCGAAGAGCGCTGCTCGGATGCGGGGTGGTGGGGTGGTACTGAGGATGGTTAGGATGGGTGAGTGTTATATTCGAGGATGTTGCTTACGTAGAGCTCATCTTGGACGTATCTAGGGGGCTTGTAATCGAAAATCTGGCTGTTTCAAAGTGTTATGCAGGTTCAATTGAGGCTTGTCGAAAGTTGGGGTTAGGTGAATGTTTACCCCACGTGGCCGAGGCACGCTAACGTAGTCGGACCCCGACCACAGACGTCACTTCGAAAACAGATCGACCTTTTCTCCAAACACACTCACGTATCCTATACACACTTTACGCGTCAGCTCTACTTTAGAATTAAGCCACCATGGCATTACGGGAAGAAACAGCGACCAAAGCAGAAGCATCTGCAATCGAAACCTCAACACCAGAAATCTTCTCTCCAGACGAGGAGAAGAAGCTACTCGACGAGTCCAACACCGAGAAAACTTCAGCGAACAAGATCTTCACATCCGGCGAATACAACGGCGCGATACAAGGCTACGAAAAAGCTTTAGCAGTCTGCCCCTCATACCTCGAATACGACATCGCCGTCCTCCGTTCCAACATCGCAGCGTGCCACCTAAAGCTCTCAGAATGGAAACAAGCCGTAGAATCCGCAACACAAGCACTTGAAGCACTAGACCGAATAGACCCACCAGCACAAAAAGACACCGGAAAAGATGGCGCGAACGAAACAACAGGCGGCGGCGCAATCGCAGAAATCGACGACACGACAGAACTTTACCTCGACGCCCTAACCCGCACTAATCACACCATAAACGACGTCCATAAACTCCGCACGAAAGCCCTTCTGCGCCGCGCAAAAGCCAGGCATGAAGTTGGGGGTTGGGCGTCTCTTCAAGGCTCATTGGAAGACTACCAAGCCCTTTCCAAACCACCACACCAGCTCTCGAGCCTCGATCAGAAAGCCGTACAAGCCGCGTTGCGAAAGTTACCGTCGGAACTGGATGAGGCGAAGAACACGGAGATGGCAGATATGATGGGGAAGCTGAAGCAATTGGGGAATGGGATATTGAAGCCGTTTGGGCTCAGTACGGAGAACTTTCAGTTTACTAAAGATGAGAAGAGTGGGGGGTATAGTATGAATTTCAATCAGGGGGGGAAGTAGATGATGGCGGGGGTTTAGTGATATGGGTTGTTCAGAGCTGCGTCTCCAGTATGGGAATCGTAGACTCCATCGCATGACCGACTACATCCATGCAATGTAGTTACGACCTAACCATGCATATCAATACGCCAACTGAGTAGTTTTTGCGATAAGGGAAGCAACTGACCATGGATGTCTGTCACAACGCGATCTGCTCGCCACTGATCATAGCTCCACCACTGTATATACCATTCATGAGCTAACGCCCTACCGTTAGTTACAACCCCATATTATCAGATCAGAAAGGCATATACCAGAATCATCATAGACCTGCCGATAATAATGACCCGCCATATCTGCCCGCCATTTGATCGGTCCTTGAAGTTTTACATGAACACGGTGGCGTCGGTATACTTTCGGCGGGGGCTGGTTGTATTCTTGGTGCTGTTGACCATATAGTCCTGCGATCCGTGTTAACGTTGCTTGATGGGCTCTGTTCCGGTCCTTCTTACGCTGGCAGGTGTAGATGTCTTGCGGAGCTGGAGGTGATTAGATGGTTCTCTAGAAGGTTTCCGTTGCTTACGCATTGGAAATGGCGTTCTTGAAACGACGTAGTCTTCAACGAGATATTCGGCGTCGGCCTGAGGGATGGTGACTTCGAAGGACCGTACCGTCCCGTCGGGGGTAGGGGAAGGGAGAACTGGCAGTGGGTTCTCAAGCATTTCGGCACGGCTGAAGTGACACCAAAAGGTGAGTATATAGGCTAGTCTGAACATCATCTTGTTTGATGCACTGATATGAAGACTAGGTTGTTTGAAGTGTCACTTTCGCTTGGGTGTTGTCAAAAGAAAGACTTTGATGGAAAAGTTTGCAATCGTGAAGCTGCTACATCGCTCCCACTCTCTCTTCTCTCTTCTCAGAACCCGTCATGCTCCATTTACCACGGGGCTGTGCTTCAACATGACACGATTTCATCAAAGACTCCAGGTCACAAGAAGTCTGACTGTGAGGGCGTATGGCCGTAAACGAGCTTCACCGGTTTGCCAGGCTGATTGATCGCGTAGCTGACTACATAATTGACGTGTGGCGCAGCAACACCAGGAGAAATGTAAAGGCTCTTGCTGACAGGTTCAGGTTCACCTCCGTACAGGTTATTTTGGTGGGCGGAACTAATGGCGAGCGCGGACAGTGCCAGTGCGTCTAGTAATATTGGATATGCGACAAAAGGTTCCAGTTCTTGATGTCACGTCCGTCCGGCCATTTGCACATAATCACTCCAAGTGAAAGTGGAAGAACATGCTTTTTCTTCCTCATCTGGCCGTACAAGGGTGCATGACAGAATTTCTAGAAGGGTGTGAGACAGGCTTGTCGAAGCATCGCCATCCTTGCAGGGCAGCATTAGCTCCCGTTGTCTAACGACTAGTCAGGTCCCCTTTCTCAATGTCGCTGCATCATCCTCGTCGCGTCTGAGAAGGCGTTGTGAGCATACTATGGTTTTATACGACGCGTGTGGCCGCCGGGAAATATCCAGGGCTGGAGTTGGAATGTCCGGTAGCCTCTTCGGCGGGGTATCAGGATCTGTCGTCCAGTCGTTGGAAGCTGGCAATGACGCATCCAGACATGACGTGCCGGGACGCGATTGGCTGCGAGGGTTTGTCCCGGCAATGAGGCACCCATGTCATGTCGAAATGTCGTGTTATTAGCACTCGTAGCAAATGACTGGAGACGCGTCGTGTACGACAAGAGGAGACTGCAGATACTCTCAAACGTGAGAGATGATGGCAATAATTATGACGATCAACAGCGAACGACTTCTGAGGGTGTCGGATATTTGATGCATGGCGTCTGCAGCTCTTTGTTCCCATGTGGCCTCGGCGGAAAGGCCCCTGACGCCAACTGGCATAGGCCGCTAGCAGCGTGCATGGCTGACTTTAGCCTCGCCTGCTCTCCTGTCCGTGTCCACATTTTGTCGACGACACTGGCACGCCTCTGACTGCCACTCTTCCTGCTTCATCCGCTGTTGCTGCTGCCTCGGGATGTTCGCTCGTCCTGTAGTCTCCAGAATCGTGCATCTATCCCACCTTATGTCGCTCTTTTAGCCACCTGCACCCAGCCTTTCCTTGATATATTACCTTGTAATCCTACAGCAGCGCCCAACAGCCTGCGCGCGAGTCTCTCTACGCGCGTTTCTTTGCCCGAGCACTGACTGCAGCGTCGTCGGAACATTTGTCGCCTGTTTGACGCGCGCAATATCCGAGACGGAAAAAGAAGAGTTGCAGCTCGTCGAGTTGTACTAACGCGGGAACCCTTGGATGCACGCTCGACGGTCCATATCGTCCTCGCAGCCGCCGCCCTCATCGCCTCCATTTGCTCCCGAGCACTTTGGCGAAGCGTCGACTCCGCCCGAGGCGCGTGAAGCAGTCTCTCCCACCTGGACGGCCCCCTCACCGGCTCGCACCCTTGCCAACTCGAGCCCAGAGCTCCCTACGCTTCCGTCCTTTTCCATACTGGGCAGCAACCCGCGTACCCCGTCCAACGCTGCGAGACACGAACGAACCGACACCTCCTACTACACGGCCAGCTGGGGCAGTCCATACAGACACCCGCCTCCCGTCTTTAATCCGTCGCGTCAGGTCTCGACAAACTTCGGCAGCGACGACTTTGAAGAGGAAAATTCTGGACTCACATTCGGCCTCGGACATCTACTTCCATCCCGGCTAGATCTTCAGGAAGAGTCGCCGAACCAGTTCAATCTCGAGCATCTTATACCGCGTCTAGAACGGAACGCCTCGCCGAACCAGTTCACGCTCGAACATCTAATCCGATCTCGACTGCCAAATTTAGTCACTCCCACCAAAGAACCGCGAGCTTCCGGTACTACTCCCCGCGCGTCTGACACGAACCCGACTTCGCAAGAGTGGGTTGAGCGATTCTTAGAAGAGCGTTGGAACCGCGAGACAAACGACTGGCGGAGCAATAACAGCGATACAGAGGGATCAGGTGGAGAACCGGACATACCAATTGCGCCTCCGCCGAAAAGAGGACACAAGCAGAGGAACAACAATAAGACTCTGAACCAGCAGGACTTTTGGCGCCACTTTAGTAAAGATCAGAAGGAAGCACTCGGCAAGATGATGGCCTCAAAGTACGCGGATCCTGAGCTCGTGACAGCCAGGCAGAACTCCGCATCAGGTCCCAGTACGAACGGACACAGTGCCCAGACTGAGAAGACGCCGGTACCAACACCTTCAAAAACAGCTAAGCCGGCAGATGAAACTCCCAGCAAGCAGTTGAACAAGGACGCATCCAAAGTAAACCAGGAGTTGTCGAACAAGCCACTTCCCGACACCCCAAGCAAGTCGTTCTTGGCTCCTCCAAGTGCGGCACCTGCGCAACCTCGGATGCGAAAGAAGGTCATTGTTAAGGGCAAGGGCTGCATCATCTCGATACCGCGGGATATTCCTAGGGGCAACCCTGGGTTCCCTCCGAAGCCGATGACTGCAGAGGCTGTTAACGACAAGCTCCGACAGCTTCAACAGCAGGGCTACGACACCCGTGGCTTCAGTACTGGAGGCTTGGAGACGCACAATCGTGCCATCTGGCCCGCAGAGGACGATGTCAAAGCAGAACGCGCCAACTCCAACAGACAGTACAAGGTCCGCGTCTCCAAGGAATCAGAATGGAAGGACTACCAGAACTCCTTGCTCGAAGCCAAGCTTGCAGCACTTGGTGTCAGTACTGGTGGCGAGGAAGATATCCCTCTGCCGATGTCGCGAACCGCGTCATCACAGCAACACCCGGGGCAAGGGTTCACTCCACCGATTCCTACCTCTTCAGCTGGCAGTCTTCGCATGGCCAGGCAAGGCAGCATCGCCGGCGCCTTTCCGTTCGGACCCTCGCCAGGGCACATGTCCCGACAATCGATCGCGTCTCCAGCTGCTTTTGGAAATCAGCGTCCCAGCATGCACATGCATCGCCATTCGACTTTCGGATCGCCTGCCAACTTTGCTCAACATGGTTACTCACCTTCAGGCACTTGGTCGCCCGCTGGATACTTCAACTCTCAAGATGGACGCAGTGGGTCCCCTGCTCTTGCTTTGAGCAGGCCTGACCTTTCTGGAATGATCTCGCCACATTCTCCATTCGGCATGAGACCCAACCAGCAGTTTCCCATTACGCCGACGCAGAGGGACGACTTCCAACTGCAGATGCAATTGCAACAGCAGCAGCTACAGAACCAGCTTCTACAGCAGCAACAGCAGCAAGTCCTTGGCTTGCGCCCGTCCTCCACTCTGGCAGAAGTACCCGAAGATGAAGACGAAGAGGATGAGGTTCCGGCTATGAAGCATGCCACTAAATCTGCACCGGAGATTGCTGTACCAACTCCTCGCAGTCATCGCCATAACCTTAGCGAGAACCTTGAACGCGAGGCGGCGAACGAAGAGTATCACTTGGAAGAAGCTATCGACAAGCAGTTTGCGGAAGGAGGTGACTTCAGTACGGAGCCAGAGACTAACGTATCCTACAAGCCTTCCAATGCTGTGGCTAACCCTACGTGGGAGGAGCCGCGAACGATCCTGCACCAGCCTCAGCCGCACAGCAAGTCGCATTCACTCACCAAGTCGCAGAAGCCTGTCTCCTTCTCGTTCCCTGCCCAGCAGAACCCTCGCTCCGACAGCGACGGTGCGAAAACGAACATCTCAGAGAACACAAACCCCAGCTTGGAAGATGGAGAGGTACGCAACCCTACACAGAGCTCTGCGCAGCACTCCCAAGCACCGTCTCAGGTCAGCAACTCATGGAAGGACAACAAGTTCGCATTTAGCAAGCCTGCGTCGGCGATTCACAGCAAGCACGCTTCGCGTTCCTCCATCTCGAAGCTCAATGTTGAGGCCAAGGAGTTCAAGTTCAACCCCGCAGCGTCTTTCCAGCCAGGATCCTTCTCCTCAGGTTTCAGCTTTGCACCCGCAGTCAAGCCACCTACAGCTGCTGCTCCTGCTGCTGTACCAGCCAACAACAAGCCCAGCATCGATACATTGACCAACTTTAACGTGTCGGCTCCTGCCTTCAAACCGGATGCACCCGTATTCAAGCCTGATGCTCCCGCGTTCAAGCCGGTGGCTGAAGCTCCTGTGTTCAAACCTGCAGCAGACAGCTCTCCATTCCCGTCCGGTGGCTTCAACTTCTCAAGCCCGCCAGCCTTCAAGCCGGATGCGCCCGCGTTCAACCCTGGGGTATCTACCTTCAACCCTAACAAGCCGGCTCCCGCTCCAACAAGCTTCTCATCGAAGATCTTTGGAGATGTCAACCTATCTCAGAGCGACATCATCAAGCCCGCCACACGCTCGAAGGCCGTGCC